TTGGCGTACATAGTTTCAGGTGGTTGTGAATAAACACAGTAAGCAGATGTGAGCTTTATTAAATTCTATTTGGGTCTTCAAAGGACGTAGTTGCAAAGTTGCAATTATTACCTATATTACTACATTTACTACAGTTCTAAATATGAAATAGGTCACTTTGCATGTAAAAATAAAAAAATCAGGGTTTTTAAATAAAATAGCATTTTATTAGCGAAAGAAAATAAGCGACGCGAAGTGAAGAGACATGAGTTTACACAATTAGATATCATTGATTACAATAATACAGCGAATACTAATTACTGTGTACGTATCAAAAGCTGTTCTCGAAATAGAGTACTACATACTGATGAGAATAATGACTGTTGACCTATTATACTCGAAACAAAGCATTTTCTCTGCCAATTATTGTATTAGGTATCACACTAAACGTAATAGTAGTAGTATTATGAAAGATTTAAAAGAACGTTATAGCTATCTATATTGTCTATATACTGATTACTTGGCTATTTGTAACGGAGATGCCTACAGTTACTAAGCTAAATCATCTGAAACTCAGTGATCACTGGTAAAATAAATAATATAATAATATTTTAGTAAAAATCTCAGTGATCAGTTTCATACAAACCATTTGAGTTTCTGTTTTTTAATGCATATTATCACTATAGTATATTTTATTAGAATTAGTATAGATGGTCTATAGGATTTGCTCATGCTATTGAAATTCAATAGAGAAATCATTAAAGTCTAGTGAGAAAAAGTGTCGTTGATCGTAGAAGCTCTTTTTAATTAGTTTTATTTATTTATTATTTATTGACCACATTGATTAATTTATGTATATGAATAATTTCTGTAGATGGTATCAAACAATCTGATTCTTTCATGAATTAAATTAATTTTAACTACCACATGGAAAAAATCGCAGACAGTTAGTCTTGTATATTGCTATGATATTTTTTTTATATTAGGTATGCTTATTACATATTTTTTTTTTTGTGGAAATTAGTTTTCCGGGTGATGTATGTCAATTCATTTAGCGGGTTTTTGCTATGCTAACACAAGCAACGGACTAATGTTGACAATGTTTTTATTGTCAATTGCCTACGTTATTTTCATGTCTCAATGTCAACTAATTCCAGTTACTGGGTGGATTGATAGATGAGATTTTTTTTTGTTGATTTTATATCATTGAACTTGATTTAAATAAAAAAATTAACGGAAAAAAGTTTTTCAATCCGATTGTATTTTTTTATGTTTATTACCTCAGAAATCCATCATTAATATACCAATTAGCAAAATCATTTTCTATTTGAAAGGATACACTTTCCAGCTATTTCCATAGAAATTTTATTAAAATAGGTTCAACAGTTTAGTGTTGAAATCAAAATAACTGCCACGATTGAAATCGGTGTTTTTTCTGGGGAACAAAATGTACTTGTTATTACATTATACTTTTATTAGAGTGTCGACACAGAATCTAGTTTGTAGCCAATTGTTACCACTTTTTCATTCTTTGTGTCTTTATCAGTGTGCATTTTATTCTCGTTGGGATTTGTGTCAGGTTATCGGGATAAAAATTACTTGTTAACTGCTTAATCTAATCTATAATTTAAACTAGTCTAAATTTTAATTATTTGGTACATTATTTTTTCATAAAACAAACATAATTTTTGAAATATATACGTATTGTCTCGTGTTCAATAACGTGACTCTAAAATGTGAATTACAAACAAAGTCAAAAAATAGTTTTTAACGATAACATCGTTTAGACTCGTTTTATTATCTACTGTTTATCCAAGATTTGTAGTCTCTAAATTTTTGCTGGATTAATTTCTACACCAACTACGATAAGGAATTTTCTTTAATTGTCGTTTATGTAATTTTTCTTAATATGCATACTCTTGCTTAATACAATAACAATACACTCATTTTATTCCGATTAAGACAGTTTTTAAAAAATAGGGATGAATTCGAAAAATACTTATTTGGAGATATTCTAGTTTTTAGTATAAATAATTTGTAATAAAACATTTATAAATATCTTTTTGTATAAAGTTTAATGACATCTATTATAGTATATATGATAAAAAAATAATTTGATACATATACGTGACTTAATAGTCTTTCTAGTTTATATTCGCAACTTCATCCATGTGATCGGTATATAATCTTATTCATAGATATACCGAGTGAAAAAGTAGCCTATATTCTTCTCCATCCCAAATACTACGTGCACACCAGTTTAATATCAACATTAACTTTCACATTTATAATATTAGTAAGGATACGTCCTGATACCTAAATGATTTTAAGGGATGTATTTATTTAAGTTGTGATTGGAAACTCAATTTATTATCTCTGCTTTATTTATAATGTCTACATGTGAGCTCGATTCGAACCCGCCGATTTTATTTTGTTCCAGTGTTATTTTCTTCAAGTATATAAATAACTTGCATGTGTTAGCGGTACAGTTGCAGCATGTTTCTAGGTATACAGTAGGTAGTAACCTGCATATGACGCTCCAGATCTATTTGAGCTCCAACGACGACATCCTTTATCCAAATTGACACGGTCAATCTGTAGGCGGTGAAGTATCTTCAAAATGCCAAGTAGGTGTAAACGTGATCTACACAAATAGGTACTATCTACAAAAAATGGTAATCTAACTTGTTGGAAATTGTAAGTCGTCATTTAAATATAAATGAGATATGGAATTGAAATTACATGGTATGGCATCATAACGTAGTCCTCTGGAATAGCAGCGTATGAGGGGTTATTATGGCTGCACCATTATGGGCGTCACAGTATATTTTATAATATCCATAGTGCTGTTCACGTTTATAAGCGACGATTACTACTTTACATTTAGGTGGAACGTTTGGTTGTTTGTCATCATAAGTTGTGTAGAAAATAATACTAGAGATACACAAAACAGAATTGGTATATTACGCAGTCTCTGTTTTGTCTCACGAGTGCTATTCCTGAATTGGGACTAATTTCCTGTTTCTATAAAAATATATGTCGTAACATTTTCTGTTTGCGACATAATAAATATTATTGTGAAAATGGTTTTGGAGACATGCATTCACCCTTGGTATGCATCATTGTGGTCAATTCTTGGTGAATTCCTCTCGATGGGCCAACTGACCTGACTTTATTCATACTAATCATCATTCACTGGGATCCCGTTATTGTACCCTATTACCGTTTACGAGGTTACACTACACATCCAATTACATTTATTTAAAAAAAAACCCAGCGTGTGACACAGGAACTCTACCATTAAAGCACGATCATGATTCGATGATGATAATTTAGATAAGTATCTATCTAATTTTATTTTAGAAGAAATGTAGCTACACTGTGCAAGTAATTTAGATTCGACAGTTAGTTCGTTAATTTTAAGTTTGAACTGTTATTTAGGCTTAAAATTTTAATGTAAAAAATGATGCAACGGTTTACTTTATTTTTATGGTTATAAAGATATTAGCTTCTTAAATGACAGAAGGATGTTTGAGACTTCCTTGAATTTTTGTTATAGTATCGATTATTTTAATCTGATCAAACTTTTTAGCAGTATGGACAATTTATTTCAAGTAAATAATGTTGGTACAAATGTTAATACATGTTACCAATGTACATATTTTACAATGTCGTTTGAATTTTATCAAATATAATCAATTTTCCTTTAATGACACTGCGTCAGTACGTTTTGTCGGGTTTTGTATGGTAAAAGATCGTACCCGTACCTTTATTCCATAAAAAAAATTCTCGAATTGACAATTTCCATTTTATACTACTGGATAAGTAGGTATACTATTCCTTCATTTTTATAATTCTGTTGAGTATATATAGATGAGAATTTACTTTTTTAAAGTTGGTTAAAAATTATAAGACAAACTAATAAAATCATTTCAAAGTTGTTAACGAGCGAACAGCTGTCAACCATTCCCGTGAGGGTTACTGTGTGGTTTGTTATTATTATTCATAAATAGAACAGCTTCCAGTAAAAGAATTTTTAGAATCGATCCGTATTAAGTTGACAGATTGGTTACTCTTTGGATATCCGCATTCCAGAGTTTCTACATATCACGACGTATATAAATTTAATATCCTATTTCAATTTAATTTCAGTAGAATACACATTAAAATTAACATGATATAATTTCTTGGATCATTTAAATAGATATCTACTATTAAAAGTCTTTAAAAGAATGCCAACTATTTCACACCTATGCAGGTAATAATAGATTTATCTTATCTTATCCAATTTATCAATTGTGAAAAGCATGTATCAGCATCAGTGACCTGAATGTTACTACAATAAGTATTTAACGTTATCTCTATAGATACATTACTCTAAACAAACACGAATCAAAATAACTTTGTATGTATGTATTTTTATGAATATTCCACAATTGTAAAGTAAGCACTTTATGAAAAATTGTAATCAAATATAGTTTTCCATTAAAAGAATTAAATTCCAATTATAATGATAATAATATTAATGATAAACATTAACTTTTTTGTTTTCTGTTTATTAATATTCTTTATGTGCAAGTAATTTTTCTATGAGATATTATAATTATTTTGTTGTTCATTAAACAATCAATCTTAGATGTAATTTATTCTAATAATCAATATTAAAAATAAAGCTCTGTTGAATTTCATTAAATACTTTGGATAGTTCATTTTGTCAATTAAATTAGGTGGAAGTAAATATGTCTATTGAGTCGCCCATGCAGTTTAGTAGTATTTAAAATAATTCATTGAAACAAAAAAAATATTATTTTTATATATGTGATTACTTTATGCTCTACACTATATTTGGAGAATTATAGACAGCGTTAGAAAATAACCCTGTAATAATTTTTGGCAGAATATTTGCAATAAATTGTAAAAATTTTACTGAATTATTGCGTTATTTTTTTATTTACTTTTGAGTCCTTTAATTTATTTTAACTTATTGCAGATGTCTATTCCAAAATGCTTATTGTACTTACGATAATAAAATGGACGCCGAAAATCTTCGTAGGGTAAATTTATAAGCACCTTTACACCACACTAATTAATATATAAGTATTTTTAATTAAAAAAAATCAGCCTGTAAATCGTTTGACGCCCGGCGCAACCGGCTATCGCGCTTTTTTGAGATCGTTTGAATTCGTTTTGAACAAACCGCCTTGCAGTCTGGCGGGAAATGCTAGTGCTATCGAGACGACATCTTTTGAGATTATATGCAACTTTCAGAACATGACATCTAGTGACGAGTAGTTGGGTTAGTAGTTTTGGTAGAACGCGGTATTATATTGAATAAAAAAAGCAGATAAGTACTCGTAGTAGGTACGTAATCGTATTACATGTATTTAGCTGTGGTGTATTATAATTAAAATCTTTACGTTGTAGTAAACTTGGACAATATTTATTATTATAAATAGAAACCCAAGTAGTAATGGCCGAAACTCTTAGGAACCTGTGTAGGTACTCTTCATTATTTTTAAAAATAAGACGCTGAAATATAATATATATATTTATTATATTTTCTTATCCATTTCTATGACCCTATAATGTACATAACAAATTCACGAATTTGTATAATACATACTATTAATAATTGAATACTAAAACATAAATTAGACAAATTATCTTAAGGTAATATTTTTATGAATAGAATGGAAATTCCATATTGTGTATTAAAAAATTTTATTTATCTTCATAACTATATAAAATAATACAACAGTCAGAAGCTGTGAGAAGAAAAATAATGCATAAAACTTGCTTAGTAGTAAATTAGATATATACTTGTCTATTTATTTGATTCAATACAAATAAATTGCTCTATGAGAAAAAGCTAGAAGCTTATATAAACAGAATAACTGTTCAATTATGAAATAACGAAATAATTACCTAAAATACAGTATGTGCCAATATGTGATAAATTAACAAAATATCAGATATATATATATATATATATATATATATATATATATATATATATATATATATATATATATATATATATATATATATATATACTTAATTAACATTATTTCATTTTATGTCTAATTGATAGCACAAAGACAGAGATGTGATTATACATAACCGCATCTCTATCTGTATGATATAGTTTTTTCACTTCCGTGGCTTGCGGTGTCGACGCGAGTTGCAAGATTAATTCTTGTTGTTATACACAATTTGTAGTAATATTTTTTTGTGAAGAATTTTGTGATGAAATTAAATACTTTACAATCAGTGAATCTTCACGAGAATACCTATAGGCTATAATCTAATCAAATCTATTTGGAAATATTACACACTTTACGTCACTAAGTAGATCTATTTCTTATAACAAAATACGATATGCTTATCGTACAATATAGATAATTTATGAATTGTTTCATTTGAAGAAAATATTATGTATAGTACTAAGCATTTTTTTTTATAAATTCTTGCTCTCGTCCGTTTTTATTTTCTTCGCTGGAGATTCTTTCAAGGTTTCTGCAAGCAAAAAGGAACATAAATAAAGTATAAAAGATCCACTATACTTATATCATCACGATATAACTTGGGAATAATTTCTCTTAGTTGGATGGGAATAATTCTCTTAGTCACCTCTTATGAAACCCATGGGAAATGAAAGTGTGGTTCAAGACCACAAGGACTAAGTAAAATACGAAACAGTAATGGACTTAAAATTGTATAAAAGAATACTATAATATAGTTTCGTTTTCTTTACTCACCTTTTTCGCCGACTAAGGTTGATTTAAGCGCGAGTGGGTCAGCAGTTGGTAATTTGATTCCTTGTTTCAATACCATTGTGCCATCCTGAAAATTAATTTCTTTATAACAATTGTAAAAAGTGAATAGAATTATAGGTGTTTTACTATGATAGAATAAAATATTTTGGTTTACTGCTTTAATAATTATGTTTTGAAAACAATACTGAAAATTGAACGGTAAAATTAGTGTTGAATTTTCCGTAATTGGTAAGCATCGATGGCAAAACTATTAATTCGTGAGATGGCGGTAGATTACTCATTCTATCTTTGAATTTTAATATCGGCTAATACCAAATGTTATGTTTAATACAATGAGAACAGTCGTCTCTTACTATATAACTTACAAATTTTCAAAATTATTGTTATAGTTTCCTTCTATCTATATGCAATAATTTAAGAATTAATATTAAAATACTTACCTTCATTTCTACTAAACCCTTTTTAGCCATAGCTTCAACTTCGGCCTTGGTCATCACAATCTTTTGTACTTTGACCATTTTTTTACCGATTTGCATTTCGCACAACTCCCCAGTACCTATAGCTAAAATAAAAATGTTTGAAGTTTTAATTAGTCAACATCTGATTAAACATTGTAATAAATTGTCGATATAGGTAAAAATTACTTACGTCTGGTAGTGGCGGGTAATGGAAGGGGCTTGACTCCTGGTGGCAGAGCCTTTATGGGTACCTATAATTAAAATAAAATATTAATTATTGTTTTTATATTACTAAATATTTATTTACATATTTGTATTCTTGTATTCTACTTGTATTATTAATTTTACTATACTCTTATACCTATATTTAATTTTCATCCATTTGGGTCATACGAAGTTGCAATTAGATTTGAAGGAAACACAACTCCAAATTATAAAAATAACTGGTACTTATAGATAATAAAAATATCATAGAATTCATGGTTATCATGTATTGCTTAGACAGATGTTATGAAATAAGTGTTTAGTTAACATTTATTTCATGAATCTATATGTAATCTGATTTAGATATAAAATTGGTTATACATACTTTTTTTAAAGTTTGTCCTGTTGGTGACACTAAAACATCAGATGGTGATTTTGTTTCACTATTATCAGATGTCTTGTTCGGCTCCTGCAATTAATGTTTTTATTATATTTTTGTTGATATTTTTTTTGAGATTTTATCGATAACCTTTTAAGATTTTATCGTAATTGTTAAAGATTTTTTAATACGTTTAAAAGTATAATTAAATTAAATGTAATGGAATAATATTCCATTTAATTTTATTTAATATAGAGTTAACATTACAGTTTAACATTTGACTATAAAATCTAATGTTATACATTTGTATAACATTTGATCGACAACAATCTTTGACTATTTTCGTGAATCTGTCTTTTATGTTTACAGGTATTATATTTGGTCTATATGATTGCAAATTTATTCTTGAATTTAAAATTGATATCAATGCCATTTATTGCCAATGACAATAAATTAGGATATAATATTATGCATTTATCAAAATAATATCAAACTATTATGTCGCTGGTATTGCAATTTGAGAGTGTGAAACGTTTACAAGAGTTGGACATTGAAATTACCTAAATATGATATATTCAAATATATTATTACATTTAGATTTCAATAGGTTCTTCATTAAATGGAAAGTCATGTATTAATTTTTTTCATACCACTGAGGTCGTAAAATAGGATATGGATGACCTGAAGTGGTTAGTGCAGCCTATGAACGCCTACAATACGGCATTACGTGCGTGTTACAGACTCTGAAGAAACCACTTTAATCCCTTTTTGAACAACCCCATGCATCTCTTGGAAAAACCTTGCTACAAAATATTTTTAGTCTTTTCCAATTATTGCAGTTTGATATTTTATAACTATTAACATTAGTATCGATACATTTTTTTTAATAACTTTTTACTCACCGTTTCACGATTTTCAGATGCATCTTCATTTTTATTTTCTTTTTCAGGACTTGGCGATTTCTTTTTATCATTTGGTGTTTCTGCTTTCTTTTCTTTAACATCTTCTTCGGTTTGTTCCTCTTTCTTTAATTTATTGGGTCTGCAATTATTATAAATGATAAATTAAAATTATCTGATCCATTTTAGAATGATAAGTAATCATTGTAACATAATTACACAGATATTGCTATTTATAAAAGCTTTCGGAAGTAATATTTGTAATTTCATCAAATAAAATAATGAAATAAATTTTATGTAAGATTCTATAATGGTAATGAGAGCAAAATAGGCTTTATTTAATTTAGGTCTAAAATATGCACTGGAAGTGTTTTTAAACTATATCTGAGTAAATATACTTTTGTTAACCCACACATAAAAAAGAACAAGACACCGTATGTCGTTGTTTTGTTCTATCATGTATGCAGTAGCGATTTTTTTTTATACAACTTAGAATGGCAAATAAGCTGACAGCCCACCTGATGGAAAGTGGTAACCATCGCCTATAGACATGAGCAGACATAACAGAGTATACTGTTTCGCCCATGAGCAGTATTTGTTTCTCAGGGATGTGCTATAATAAAAAACATATCGGTAATTCAACTGTGTAAACAGCATTTTACTAACACTTCTTTCGGTTGGTCTTTGCGCGGACGACCTCGCTTCCTAGTGGCTGGCGTGGCAACGGCAGTCGGGCTGGAACTAGCCTGTTGGTTAGGTTTCGGAGGCACTTTATTGCGTCGTACCTTGACTCGACTCTGAAACGTCAATATTACAAAGTTTATACAGTAACCAATTTTGTGAGAGAAAAAGAAAGTTTTTAATTTATACGTAAAAATACTTGTATATTTTTTGCCAATTCTATTCTATAATAAAGAATGACAACTTTAGGAACATATAAAATTATATTCTTATTTTTTTCTTAAAAAGATAAGAATTATGTTATTAACATAACAATTATGTTGGTGTTGAATTTACTAAGAAGTTTAGTATCAATATATCGTCATAGTTGTAGAATACTGACGGATATATATATGTAATTTTTGTCAGACCCGTAAGTATTCTACGACTATGACGATAAAGAGGTATCAATCATTATTACAATTATCGTAATTAAATGCACATTACCACATATAAATACGATTATAAGTAGGGCGCAGTTATAATTAATATTTGGTAATCAAATAATATTCTTACATCAGTTTGTTTTTCATCATATTCTTCATCATCCATATCAGAGTCCTCTTCTTCTGATTCTTGGGTTCTGTGAAAAGAACATTAGTATTTCAGTTAATATCTATAGTATATTCTCACTATTTGCTTTGAAAGCGCCAGGTTTATATTATGTACCATGTTGATTATTATTAACGTTACCTACCTGTCGCGTATCATTTTCGCATAATCCTTGATCTTGGAGGGCCGCGTGGAACGACGAACGTTATCCTCTGAACTATTTTTATCACTGTTGCCATTCTTAATAACACTCTGAAAAATATTTTTCATTAACAAGAGCAAAGACAATTATGATGAAAAGATATAATAAAATATTATAATTTAATTTATAAAGAAAAAGTAAATTGCATTTTTTTTTGTAAACTTCAACCAGTATTAAGTCTTGAAAATTCACATTAAGATTTGATAAATAAAAGAGTGTCAATACTTACTTTTGATGCATCTTTTTCTTTAAGCTCTTTCTCTTTAAGTTCTTTTTCCTTTACTTCTTTTTCTTTCAGTTCCTTTTCTTTTAGTTCTTTCTCATTATTATCTTTAACATTTGTGTTGGACGTTTTGACTTCCTTTATTTCTTTTGGCTCCTTGTTCTCTTTTGTGATTGTTCGACGTTCAGGCACTTTCTTTTCTATTGCTGTCTTCAATGGTGGTTGTGGTTTCTTTTCATCGAGCCTTAAAATATTTTTAAATTAAAAAAATTAATTAAAATTCGTTGCAAAACTTTAAATTGGAATGAAATGACAATACAATAATGGAATGTAGTAAGTAATTAATAATATCAAAATCATAAAAAGGGAAATTATCATTAACAAGAAAATCAAACAAGAAATTATGTTTCATAAATTAATAAATACCTCTGTTTTGGAGTGGATGTATGAATCTGTGGTCGCCTAAGCCTGAATGTATCTGAATTCTTTGCAGGCATCTTAGCTGGTTCACTGCGAGAGTTAGTCTGGAATTTTTTAAGTATCCAGTATAAGATTCTTGATATTTCATCTATATTTAAGGCATAAATGTATTTGGAAATTAAGAATGTATAGTAATATTAAAATGTTGGTTAAAATTAATGAGCTTGATTTTGCGATAGATTACAAATTGTTAATAATTATTATATTATGTACCATAATTACTTCCTAATTGACATATGCATTTTCTGCTGTCAACCAGCTTCAGTAGCAAATAAAAATAGATAGAATTAGGCTCGCATGTAATAATTGTTGGTGTATGCTTTGTATAGGCAGTAACAATTAATGAATAATATCGACAATTAGAGCCAATCTTTTTTTAACAAGTTTTGTTTTGTATAATTATTGCTATAGCAAACTTATTAAAAGAATTTTTTTATACAACTTAGAATGGCAAACAAGCTGACGGCCCTCCTGATGGAAAGTGGTAACCGTAGCCTATAGACATGAGCAGTACCATGGACATAATAGAGTATACTGTTTCGCCCGTGATACCTCCCATGCGTTGAAAAGATACGTGATCAATAAGCGGGGCCCCTTGTAAAAGAGACTGATACTTACCCTTTTTAAGTCTTGTAATTCTTTTTCTAGTAGACGCAAGGATTTATCACTTGCGCCAACGCTGTTTGTGCTCTCAACTTTATTATTGGGTTTTTCTTTATTCTTTTCTTCAGATACTACAAAAGAAATAATGCTTTGAGACGATTGTTCAGTTTTATCTAATATAGTGTGTAATAGTCAAAACAAATAATCATGTTCTTGTATATCTGTAAAAACTTACATTTGTTTGTTTCTAATGTGGATTGTTGGGCTTTTCTCTTTATCTCTTCAGCTTTACGTAGGATACTTGCAGTCTGGAATTATTAATAAAACTTTATTATATATTTATTTTTTCTTTATGTATCATCAAAGGCAATAAATTGGAAATAGATATTTGTTAGAGTGATTTTCGAAGTGAATGAGAAATTTTAATAGACAAAATGTACATCTGTTCTATTTAAATTTTGTATTCAGTATCGTTCTATTTCTATTCTATTTCGGGTTTAATAGTCGGAATATTATATCACTAAGACAGGGAGTTAAATTTCTTCGGGCCTTGTCTATATTTTTAGTGTTAATTTATAGGGTATCTCAATTATAAAACTATCAGGTTTGAAGCGCTCATAGAAAGTCCCCCACCCTTATCTTCTCAATTATAAAACTGAAATATGACACAAATCTATATTTAGTCGTTGTTTACTTTTTTTTTTCGTACAAAATTCTTATTTAAAAACACAGTCTAATAATTAAAATAAGTTAAGTTTTAATTAATAATATTAAAAAATTAACCTGTTTAGTGTCATTTTTGCTACTGTTGCCAGGCGTTGCGGCTGCGGTTGCGGCAGGAGTGACAGATGCGGTGGAAGTGATAGATGCGGTGGGCGTGACAGATGCGACGGGCGTAACAGATGCGGCGGGTGTGGCGGATACGATGGGTGTAGCTGTAGTCCGCTTGGGTGGCACTTTCTCGGGTGTTTTGACAAGCGATTCCTTCCTCACTACGGCTAAAGTATCTACTGTCGACAGCTCCGTATAGGTCGCTTCCGATTCACTCTCTATGATTATACAATAATCAAATATGAAGCGAGAACAGTTTGTGCGATCTTAATTAATCTGATTTGGACTTTAGAAATATCATTTGTTAAATAAAGGTCATCATTTTAAAATATTAGTGAAACTCGATACTTTTTGCAGCGAAACAATTAAAAAGAGCAAAAAATTTAGAGCTTCCCAATAATATAATACCAACTAGATTCCTTTGGAAAAAGTTTCACATTAATGAGTCTTCTAAAAAAGATGCTAATGATTCATATTGCACTCTGTACATATTACATATGTAAGAGCTAATTATTAAGCAATCAAATCGGAATAATATAATGATAGTTAAGTAAGAAGTGTTTGTAAGGGCTGGCTTCGTGCCAGACTCCTGCTCATAGGGAACAGATAAATAATGTCATTTGATTCTTACCTTCAGAATTAGTGTTGTCAATTTTGGATTCAGATTCATCCGGTACATTGAGCTGGAAGAGAAATTTAAAATATAAGTTAATTTGTCAGTCACATTGACACAAATTAATAGATGTTAAATGTACCTACTAACCATAAAGTTATCTGCTTTCTTTATTTCAACTATCATGTGGTCTCCTTCTTCTTTCACTGGAAATTAATAAAAAAATTTATAGTTTAGTAGATCTATTAGCAAATCTATAGAAAATGTTTTGAAAAAAAAAACTTCTAGAGATTATCATAATTACCATTGATTCCGTTATCATCATCCTCATCTTCCGCATCCATCTCCATAGAGGAGTCCTGTTGATGAGCAAATCATATATTAATATAGTAAGTTGTAAAGTTTTTAATGACTATTTTTATGGTCACCAATTATAGAGATAATTTATGGTCTTTGCAAACAAGGGACATTTTGTTAGCGAATAATTTCTTTTTGCGTTAACTTTTTCTTCCCACGCTATTCAGTCCAACGAGAGAGTCCTCGGCTAAAATTTTATTACTGTTTTAATTATATACCAGAAATTGCATGTAACAACTTGTTAGCATACAATTTACAGAGAGAAAAAAATATACCTATAGACAAATGTTCATTGCCTGCACATGTATTTATGTTTGATCTAATATAAATTTAGTAATGTAATATGGGGCTTAGCTATAAACTTACTTGCGAATTCCGTAGCTCATCCTCATGCGCGGTAGTTAGATGGCAGTCGAGTTTTTCCTTCGAAGTAAAGACTAGTTCGCACAGGTCGCACATGAACTCTATACCTGCATGAGAAATGTCAACAGTTTATATATCTTATTTCGAAAGATGACATTTTAGGAGAGCTTGTAAAGAAGTCTAGAAGTCTATTTGAATAAAGATTATTTTTATTTTATGGTATAATAATACTTACCATTAACATGTGACTTAATATGTGTAGTGACAGCATCAACATTTTCGAACTTCTCCTGGCAGAGTGGACAGGTGAGATTCTGGGTGGCGTGTATGGCCGAGTGATATATGAGTTCATCCTGTGTAGTGAATGTGTCCTCACATTGCTCGCACCGAAATTGCTCCATCTGTCCGAAGGGGCCTCGATTGCCATGTAGCGCTAGGCGGTGCTTAACACGTAAATGCCTGAAAATATTCGAATAATAGTTAATAGTGAAATATAGAATAAATAATAATACAAATACAGCTGAATAGTGATGGAGCTGCGAAAACAATGTCACTATTACTTTCCATCCTCAGATATCAGATGAAGTCTATGGTACCAGCCTTAAGGGGGGGGGGGGGGGGGAGAGTTGGGCGTCTCTTAAGGTCACTGAGGTTCAAAAAGAGTATCGAGTAAAAACTGCTGTGCCTTTTAGGGCTTCTGATATGGACTGTATGATTAAAATTTAAGTTACTGATAACATTAATATCAATAATGATAAAATTTATATTGATTTGGATATAATTTTATACATTTTAATAATATTTAATAACAACTGTAAAACATATTTATCGCATTACCTTGTGTAGTGATGTGACTTTATAAAGCTTTTATTGCAATACTTGCATGGGTAAGCCCTTTTGCCTGCGTGAGAGCGAACGTGTCTAGTCAATTTTGATACCGAGGAAAACTCTGCGAATTAAAAAATAAAATCATTAATCAATTATAATTCCCAATTATGGCTAATATAGGTTTTATATGTTATTTGCGCATGTTCATAGCTTATTTTAATGAGAGTAAGAATAAGTGATGGGTTTTGATTCCTGTCGACTCACGCTCTGGACAATATTCGCAACGAAATCCCCGTTTCTTATTATGTACGATATCTATGTGCCTTTGCAGTGTATTTCTTTCATGGAATCTGTAAAAAAAAATTGTTTACTGATATGATGGAATTTGAAATATTTACAAGTGAAATCGAAAACATTGTATTGTTTTCAAGGGAGTGTTGTATTAGTAAAACTGGACATTTTTCCCAAAGAAATATGGATTATAACCCTTTAAACAAGGAATAAACGAATCTATGAAAAGAATCGTTTTAATTAGCGCTCACATAAGAAAAAATAAGACAGCGCATGTTGCCATCTCATTTTATTTCATGGCCTCGCTAGCGAGAGCGATTCTATCAATAAATTTGTTTGTAGTTTACGTACAGGGTACAGAATAGGACAATGTGCCACCTCCCTCAACCAATACAACCCACGTCGGGTCCAGCTCTCAATTTATTATTTATTTAAACTTTATTGACCAATAAAATGTGGTACAAAATTACAGGTGGGTGAACATTTTTATACAACATTACCTTAAAATGATGTTTCCACAGTATATATTCCTGACATTACCTTTTATTGCAAACATGACACACATGTTGTCGATAAGCATCGTTGCCATGTTTCCTTTGATGTACTTCTAATTCGTCTTGAGACAAAAATGCCACGATACAATGGTGACACTTAAACTGATACAGATCACTATGCATAACCTAAAATGATAAATTCATTATCTTTCTAAATATGTAGATAGAATAATAAATAATTGTAAAAAATGGATTTTCGAATGTTATGATTGGTATTTAAACGGTATGTTACTTTGATATTATTACAACCTGTAACAGCATTCTAAGCTGCAGTATTAATGAGGACAAAAAGGAGAAAGTAAAGTTTCTTATGTGTAACGACTACACTAAGTTATCAGACGAGGAGTAAGCTTGTTTGCCAATAATGTAATATAAAAAAAAAATAACAGATTATTATTCACCTTTTCATGACGTTTCAATAATATAAAACGCTTGAATTTGCGTCCACAAGCCAAGCACTCAAACGGCATTTCGTCAGAATGTATTAACATATGAGACGCCAAATCGTGTTTGTTGAAAAATTTACTGAAATTAAGGTTTAAACTAATCATAAATGTATTCTCATTTATTTCTTCAAACCTTTGATTTTTTTAAATAATAAAATTGTTACATTATTTTGATTCAGAGTATTTCTAATCTGAGACATTTGGTAAGTTGATACAAAATATGAGTAAAGACAAAAAACATCATTTCATTTTCACTTCTATCAATAAATAATACCAATTAGATGTCTTGTTAAAATGCTGAAAATAGTTGAGTGAAAGTCTTATTTGAGTACCTATTTTTTAAAGTTTAAAACTGAATTTTATTATTGGTATTTGAAATTTATGTTGTACATCGAAATGTTTAAATTTTTAGATAATTTTTTATTTAACATACAGATAGATGATGCCATATTTGAGATTAATTTATGTTTGTAAAGATTTATCTAATTGATATTGTTGGTCGAGATAGAAACTCTTTATATTATTTTTTATTCCACTACAATATTTACTACAGTTTGAGTAAGAATGGCGTCATCTGATGAACAATGGGTACTTTACCAAGGAAATTGAACATTCTTCTCAGAGAAAAATGGTTCGAAATAAGAAAAATTACTTCGAACTGTCTATGAACAGAGTGTGTACTATAGCATCGGGTTATTTAAGAGGGGTAAAGAGGTTTTCTTAGACATGGCAATGCGCGCATAACGCTCCTGGTATTACAGGCGTTCGTAGGTTACGATACTCGTTTACCATCAGGTGGACCGTATGCTTGTTTGCCATCTCAGTGGTATAAAAAAAAGTGTACAACTTTTAAGTTATTTTAGAAATGTGTACTTTTACTGGTGAAAATTTTACTTAAAAATATCATCATTTCAACCATTAACTACTGGACATAGGTCTTAAAAGTATGCTAATACATAATTCATGTTTTATCCAGTATAATAAACTCTTTGTTAAATTTTTTTTTATACAACTTAGAATGGCAAACAAGCTGACGGCCCACCTGATGGAAAGTGGTATCCGTCGCCTATAGACATGAGCAGTACCATGGACATAACAGAGTATACTGTTTCACCCATGATACCCCCCCTATGCGTTGCCATTCCTGAGGACTCAGGTGTTATTCCTTTGTACCCAGTAAATTCACCACTACTGAAATGCATTAAATATGTAATATAAATTATTAATATACCTATAATGCGTACAGATATATAAAAACTAGTAAAGTATTTTTCATAAATGAAAAAGCCTTTTTGGTGTCGGGATTAGATAATATAGAATTATGGTTCGATACTTACGCATTACATTGACTGCAAGAAACAGTTCTGGCTCTGTGCCTTTGGACCTTATGTAACTCTAGCAGTTGTTGTAGGGGATAAGTGCAGTCACACAGGGAGCATGGCCAGCGATTTGTATTTCCTGACGTCACCTCGCCATCTAAGCCTGCGTGACAACTTACGAGTACTAAGAAGAAACTGTATTTTAAAGTGTAAGGAGTTATAAGATTTGGTGATAAGTGTAAATGATACATACCGAGAGAGGGACTTGTTAGTAAAAGAGTATTGCTAGCAATATAGGATATGTTGTGAGATCGAACTCTACCTGACACACTTTCGAAATCGTCATGATTAAATCCTTGTGAATTGTTAATCACGATGGACCCACTAATTTCACTTTATCTATTATTCTTCTCCATATAATGAATAATGAGAATTATGTTTTTAACGTCTTTTTCAATATTGTTCTAATATGGCAGGTTATGAATCTATTGCTGCCATATAAATTATTTTGGTTTGTTAGCTGTGTTAATCAGAAAGTTGGTCGGTAATTTCAATTAAACAATTTAAGAGCCGACCAGTTTCGAATTCGCTACTTTTGGTATATATAAGTTATGGGAATAAATTAATACAGATTATCCTGTATAATATAGTAATTAAATAATATTATAGGTACACAAATCAAATACTTACATGTAACTGAAGTAATAAAGGAAAATGTAAACAGCAACTACTGTTGATAAAATTAAACATATTTACTCTTCATTTGTACGTATTAAAGTGATATATTAAAAAAAAAAAAATATGCATTTCATTAGGTTTGACAATAGTCAAAATATAAATGAAGAGTTAATAACATGTTTAATAATTAGTAAACCATGCTAAATGTAAACAACAAAATATGAAAAAGCTATGAACACACGCAAATTGAAGATAATACTATTACTACTACATAATTATATACATAAAAAATACCTTTCCTGGAGGTTGTTTCTTTGGCAAAATCTGTTTCATTTTTGATCATTTCAGATCCATCTTCCAATTCATTAATCTGTCAAAAAACATTATATATAATATTAATTAAAATTATAATTAAAGTAAAAATAATATCATATTTGCCTTTTTAACATTGAAAATGTGAATTCAGCATTTTTAGTAAGGAAAATGTTTGTTATTATAAATAATTGTCTTATTGAGAAATAAAACTGTTCAGCAAACTCCATTATTGTCATGATGGTCATTGCTGGAGTATTGTTTTGTGAAGAATGAAATTATTATTTCATTCCTTGTAATTTTTAATAATGACATAAATTATAAGCAAATTAGAAAAAAAAAATGTCATATATGTAAAAAATATTGCATGAAAATATAGCAGAAAAAATTATCATAAAAACAAATTCCCATTATGATGAGATAAATAATTGGTGAGTAGTTTTATGCAGTTTGCACAGATAAATATAAATCTTTTTTATTTCAGATACAAAGTAGCAATGTCTCAATGTTGTGTTTTAAATAAATGAAAGAGTATACCTTATTTGCTTTATGCAATATAGGAAACAAGCAAACTACAATTAACAAATATAACGATACATTTGTATAAGTATATAAGTCATATTGCTGAAAGTGATCTTTTCAAGACAACCTTAGGATAATGGACTAATTGTTATACAAGTAGGTATGATAATATTTAAGAATGTTAACAGCGTAAAAAATTAAGGAAAATAATTATAAGTTAATAATAATTATTTATTTCTTATTGCATTCCATAATATAATTAGTAGATAACATTTCAACTTTAATTATGGACCCTGTTGGGCACAGCAAGTAGAAGAGAGGAGGACAACTCTTTTTTTCACTTTAGAAATAGTCTAAGAATTATGTGCTATCTGGCCCCTTTTTTGAAAATATAGACAAAGAAAATGTACTTTTTAATAATACTGCTACTGGTAATAAGTTGGCAGCCCATATGGTCAAAATTAGTATATGTCACCGTAATATGAATAGATCAATGTGCTCATTGGTTGTATAGTGATGTTGAGAATATACATTTGTGATTTTTGGTTATCATAGTGTATGGCTTTCTTCAGTACAAAATACAAAGATAGAATTTTATATTTGAAGCAAACAAATAAGATATCATAGATGTCACAGATTACATCGTGATGCTGACCCCTCATATATTGACATTTAACAACCCCTCCCCCCACAGTACTAAGGTGTTATGCCTTCATATTCTCTAATTTCACTGCCATGGCCTATCATTCAAACCAAAATACAGCCATGTATGCAGTTGCTTTGCAGTAAAAATAAAAGTACAACAGAGCTATTAATTAAACAGACAAATTTTGTACAATCTCTCTCTTTTACTGAAATAAGTGTTCTGGCATACCTTTACATTATACATATTGTCATCATCCTCACTGTCATATTCTTGGGAGGTTACATGGACTGTTGCACCACCCTCGACTATAGAGTTGATCACAGGCTCCTTCAAGATTGTTTTAGCAGATTTATACAGCTGAAATATTAAAACATTCCATTATAATTCAAAAGTACTGAATTAAGAGACTTCAGTTATTACCAAATAAATTACTTTGCTATACTTACTTTAGTAAGTTGAGAAGGCCATGCAATGCTTTCCATTGGAGTTCCATTTTGAATATAATTCAAGATGGTCTCATCCGTTTGATGGCAAAGTTGTTTAAATTCATAACAAATATCCATGAAGAATCTACACCGATTACATATAAATGATGGCATCTTGTCTGATGGAAATATCTGTAAAATAAAAGTTATATTAAAATAACAATAAGTAAAATTGGAAATTACAATAATAATTTTATTCATATTATTTATGTAGTCCACTTTTTAGTAGCTATAGGTGGCGCTTGTACTGATGACAAATGATTCTAAATTTCTTTTTTATCAGTATCTCATAATAATTATATCAGACGCTTATGTAGAAGTATGTGATCTCAGTTTTTGGAAAATGAAGACCTCAAAAAACATAATAATAGATAAAAATCGAGTTTTCGGCGCCATTAGGCAGACTAATACGTAGGCAAACCCCTTAGATTATAGGTGGCGTCTTTATAGTAACCTAAATTATATACTAAATAGTAATATTAAGATTAATAATGTGAAAATAATAATAACAAAATTTACCTCGATAGATATGCTTGATAGAATTTTGACGGACAGAGGAATTGCATTTTTAGGTTTTCTTGATCTGTCATACAAGTTTGTTATGGAATTGTCTTGACATAAACAAAATCTACACAGTTTTAATGCACTCAAAGATTCTTTTCGTTTCTCCATTTTACATGTGATTTATAATAACTAATGTACAAAATATATTTGTTACTCCATAACCTCTATTAAATTTCCACAAAAGAACAAACCAAACGCTTCACTCTGAGTCACACTAGCGCCATTGAAACAAATTGGACGCGTTTAATAGCAATGCGGCGACGCTAATCTGCAGCGCTACAGGTGGAGAGTGGTAAACAGCAGAAACAAGAATGAAATTACAAGCGCCATCTAGGTTTACAATTTCTTCTATTCATCAAAAGGTTGCGCTACCATACAGTATGTATGCTACCAAATAAATAAGCATGGGCATAAGAATAAATAATCAAATTTTATGTGATAGGACTCAACGGAATTTTGCAAAATGTAGTTGGTAGTTACGTAGTAGCAATAAAGACAATGATGTGAAAAACTGTCGATGGATTTTCCAATGTTATACCTACCACAACTACATAGATACTATCGATACCTACTGATGGGTCTTTTCGTTTGTGGAAGTAGATATTTTAGATAACTACTTTTAATTTTAAATTTGGTGTAGATAAATTATATCTCCAGTATACATTTTCACATAGGTACATATAGAATTTTAAGTAGAAATTGTTTGGCCTTTTAAGTTGCAAAAAGATATAAACCTATTGTTACAACTTAAAAAAGCAAACAATCTGCCAAGTAATGAGCGGATTTAAGGGCGGCGGGGGGGGGGGGGGGGGGGGGAGGTTTGTTAATAATGAGATTTAACGGCCCCATTGCTGGAAATTATTATGGTTTACTCTTGATAAATTCGTCATGACAGGCTTACTGAACTGACTTCATCTTAACCAATTATCATTAACTGGAACCTTGCCAGTGCAAATCCTTTAGGGCAGGTGCGGTTAATATTCTATTATCATTTGGCAAAAAATAATGCCTTCTGATTGATTTGATTCTTAAAGACTGTATATATATCTTCACATATCAGGTAGTTTCCCGTGTTATTGCACCTTTTAAACTGAAACAGCCATGCAAGCATAGCCGCTTGGAGACAAAAATACGAGTGGGATAGCAGGTAAATGACTTTATTATTGAATAGATTTTTTAATTTGGAAAAAGTGAAAAATAATATCTATGTAAATAAAATCAAAGTCCACTCGAAAGACGTTTGTAAGGGAGCACCTCGGTGTAGATAAAAACGTTTTTTATCGATATCTTATTAATCAGATTAATGTTATCGTATTTAGTACGTCTAACTACATGTAAAATCAGTAAATACTTCAATTGAAATTTAATTAAGACGTTGAGTGTGTGTTTGAAATGTTAAAATAAAGTGAAATAATTGTTTAGACATGGGAAGTGAAAATAATAATCATGCTGAGCTGCCTCGTCGTTCTATAGATTCCAATGCTAGTAGTAGTGCTAGCAGTGCAGTGGTGCTTCGAAAAAAGAATAGTTTCTCTAGTCTGTAAGTTTTTATATTTATTTTAAATCGGTTTTAACAGAATACCTAGGTATCTATGTAGGTAGTTATTTAAAACCTGTTTTAAATTTTAACCGAGCCAAACGTCTTTAATATTTATCAATAAATATTTAATAAAAATGAAAACTGTACAGTATGGAGTGATTTAAATAGCTATTACTACACGAATGGTATACTAATCGTCACTTTAGATAATTAGTTTACTTACGTTTTCTGTATTTTCTTTTATTATGATCTTCTTTATAGATGGCGTGGCAGCAAGAAAAAAAGGTCACTATTAGAATCTATACCATCTACAGAAAATCTTGATACTACTTCGATCGGCACAAATTATACGGTATATTTTTAGCAATTTTTTTTTATTACGATTATAATTAACCATTTTAAATTTAAGAAAGTTTATACTGTAAGAATGTTTACATCTTTGTTAAATAGGTATCTGAAAAAAATATTTATATATATATATATGTCTTCTGTATCACGAACTACTACTAACTAGCCTTAGTGAAATAAACTTTAATTCTTAGGCATCACTGAAATTTTATAATCTCATGTCAGAAAAGTATTTATTAGGAACTTTTTTTATGCAACTTAAAATGAGAAATAAGCTCATAGTCCACCTGATGGTAAATGGTAATCATCGTCTATAGACATGAGTTGCACCATGGACATCACACAATACATTGTAAAGTCTGTGGTACTTCTCATTCGTTGGCATCTCTGGGAATTAAATTGTTCTCTGAATTTCTCTGCCATATGCCACTTATTATTTCAAAACATGACTGCTTATAGTGGCAGAAACACGAGTGCAAATGACTTTTGTATAAACATTTGCACTTTATTTAACAACCAATTAATAATAAATTTAATTTGTTAAGTCATGTAAAGTTCTAAAGAAGTTTCATCTTATACCATAGATCGATAAAACAACAGGCAAAAAGTATATCAAAGGCACAGTTGTAACAGTAGTGTTAGTAGAAGCTAAAGATCTTCCAAACACGCCTGATGATGGCTCCACTCATGGACTCTTTTGCAGGATCAGGTAAGAACTTAACGGTAATATAATGTTTTGTATTTGAATACTGGTATTATTTAACAGATCTTAAACTATTACAATAGCATATAGATATCAAATTGTCTTAATTCAATAAAACTATTTTACAATGGAGTAGATACTTAATGAAGTCAAAGGTAAAATTTGTTAATAAAAGTTGAACAATTTTGAGATGGATGTCTAATGACGCACTGTAGCTCTATTATTTGAGCAAAATAATCGTACTAATATCAGTTTTTATTGTTTTACAATCTCAAATCAATTGCTTAAAATTAAAATTCGTCCAAAATGATCAGGCGAAACAAATCGATCGATTTTTTTTAATAAATGAAAGGAGTTTCTAAGCTAAGATTGACTAGTTCTTTTATCAAATTTACTTTCAAAAAACTATGCTACCTACTCCTATATAAGTATAACAAGTGAAAATAATTTTCAAAAGGTTGGGGTCAAAAACATTGATATCGAAGGTATCAACAAGTATCAACCACCCGGAATGGAAAGAACGATTCGAATTACAATTAAGTGAGGATCACCTTCTGAGGATTTCATTATGGGATAAAGGAAAACAAAAGAATTTTATGGGCAGGTAGGTATTATATAGTAAATTACCTTGGTAAATTTATCGGAATTATATTATCTTACATCAAGTCCAATGTAAAAAAATATTTAATTAAATAATTATACCTAAACTTTATAAACTAGCAAATATTTTTTTAATTCATTTATTCTTTTGTTATTTTTTTTTATTGGATGAAAATGGACTGGTAATCCCGCCTGCGCTAATGGGATACGCTGGCGGGGCACCAGTGAAGGGTGATCGATGAGGATGAAAACAGGCCAGTTAGCCCATCATGATGAATTCATCAGGAATTAATCATGATAGTTTCCAGGGGAACCGCGAGGATGTCGACCTGGTTGGATATATTGCTACCAATGGGATTCTCAGTCTCCATTACTAACAATCCCTTTTCCCCCCTTTTTTTTGTTATTCATTTTACTTTTTTATTAATTTCGATTTTATAATTAATCTTATTAGAAAAAATGTAAGGGTTATCCTTTTTATATGTTCGCTTTTCGTTTTTAGATGTGTTTTAGATCTGTTACATCTTGAAAAGGATCGTACACATGAGTTTTGGCAACAGTTGGATGACGGTTATGGTTCAGTACATTTCTCGGTGACGCTGTGTGACACTCGTAAGAGCATCCCACCCTCTACTAATGACGTAATAACTAATGACGTCATCGAAAAATATGTTTGTATATCTTTATTATGATTTCTTATTTATAAGCAATGGAATTGACTGATGTGCATGTTATCTCTACTGTGTGACAGAGAATGGGATAGTAACAGGCTGGATCTTATTTTTTCTAATGTGTATTCTAACAAAATATATCTACTGATTCCTTTGTTAGTAACTAAGACTAAATCAGTTATAAAAATTAAAACGTCTTTTAGGCAATTCATAACTTAACCAATGATTGGAATGAAGTTGGACAGCTTCATGTGAAAGTCATAGGGGCGAAAGGATTTAATGCCAATCTTAATGCGTATTGCACATTGGAACTTGATAATCAAAGGGTCCAAACGCACAGTGTTCGTGTTTTCAATGATCAATATTCTTGGGACAGAAGCTATGTTTTGTAAGTACCATTTCTATAAACGTAGTAAATAAGGTCTAGATCAGAATAAACAAATATATTGTTCTTAAAGATATATTTTATTAACTATATCATAGCAAACAGACTGATATTTGATGCAAAATAGGGACTGCTTCCATCCACTGCTTCCAAGACATGTTAAACACCATCTATACCTATCATAAAATACTTTAGGATACTTACTTGTATTTTAGAAGAGATGTTTATAACAGAATAGATATAAAATATGCTGACTATGAAAGCTCTAGTATTTTTTATTTCTGAGGATAAAAGTATTGGGTTGTTAATGGATGTTATTTTGTGTCAAAGATTCTGTTTTATCATCAGTATCGAAACACAGTAACTGCTACGGTACAGCAGAATTAGTTATGACGCTATACTTAGACGGGTAATAGAAAACTTTATTACTAAGTATTTAATTTATAATGTTTTGAGTAAGTTTTCAATAATTTTTGTATTAATTTCATTTCAGCAATGTCTACGATATCACATCAAGTTTAGATCTTAAAGTATATGATGATTCTATATTAAATTCGATACGAAGTGATAGTTTGGGACGAGTTTCTATCCCGTTGTTGAGAATAAGCAACAAAACGCCGCGATGGTATGCTTTGAAAGATAAATCTAAAAAGAATGCTGCTAAAGGAAATTGTCCTAGACTTCTGTTAGAAATGTCTGTTTATTGGAATCCGGTTAGTATCCTAAATATTTAGGTATATTAAATACAAAGATAACAAGCTTATATGTTGAGTAATAATAAATAAGTGGTCTATAAATATGATATTGTGTAACATAGTACCTAACTCAACTATCTAAAATTGATAACTAGGTACAGGTAGATAGTATGTAAACTGATATTATTTTCATAATTTACTTTTATTTTAATTAAATGTATAATTAATATTTTATTAAGAATTGATAGATTGTAAAGGAAATTTTGTTTTATAGGTGAAAGCTGCAGTCAAGATGTTTCGGCCAAAGGAGGTGAAATACCTCAAAAAACCTCCCAAGTTCGATGTCATCCTTGTTCACAGCAATTTGGAATTCATAAGAGATACATTTGAAGCCTTGTATCAAGCCAATGAGCAGTTCAAGTAATATTTTTTGTTATATTACACATAAAAGTCAGATTGTTAAGAAATATAGTTTATTCACATGTAATTTGTACTTGACATAATAACGCTTAAATGGCTGAATAGATTTTAATAAAATTTTGCATACGAATAGACCATCAAGCATATACCAGAGAGTATCCTAATTTATATATTGAATATTTTGAATTTTATGCATATCATATTCAAGTGCAGAGAATTCTATAGTGGAGTTGCTTGTATTATGAACGTTTGTGATATACTTGTATTATAATAGAGATTATAATATTGTTCACAGGCATTTATTTGAATGGGAAAACCAGGAATTGTCTTTTATCGCTTTGGTCATATGGATATGGTTCTGGTATTGCTTCAGAATGTGGACGACGCCACTTTTATTGTTGATACCTTTTATATATAGTTGGCTCTCTCAACGAAATAAGAGTAATTATTCTTTTATTACTTTATCTTTGAGTATTTTTAAAAGTATTCGTATAGCATTTATCATTTTAGATGAATTATGTTTCATAATGTTGTTTTTTTATATGAGTATCTGTTTCTATACTTTTTTTTGTTAAATATCACACAATCACATAGATCGTCTGATCTTTAAGCTAGCAAGTCCTGTATTATTAGAAAGTAATGAATATTTAGGGGCACAATTCGGATCATCCAGATCCGAGTCCATTCATTAAATTGGTCCGACCATTATTCGAACCCTCATCGAATAATGCGAAATGCTAATGATACAGTTTTCAATACCTTTTATATCAAATTTATTTTATAAGGACGAGTGTTCATTGCACTAGATATTACGTAGAGGCTGAAAATATACTATTGTTTCATACTGATAGAATACTAAGTATAAGAGTACATTAGCTGCCTTAACGATTAGAGTTTTTTTTCGATTAAATTTTAATTCGATTTAAAAAAATCTTTAAAAAAAATGCCATGAATATTTACATAGTTACAAACTTTATTAAATGTTTTTTCCTCTATTTTTAGACCAAATGCGTTCTAGGACTGTTAACAAGAACGATAGCGATCGATCGATAACAGTAAGCGATGTGAGCGACAATGAAAAGGTATTTTCATTAATTTCTTGTTAATATTTACTAAATCTTTAATTCATTTACTAACAGTTAATATTTGACTTAGGATATATAATTATTAAATATATAACATAAAAATAAATAAAAGACACTTATTGAATACGTTTCACCAAATACTGCCCTTTTTTAACTTCTCTGCCTTCCTAAATTTTACCGCACTTCATTTCTGTTACTTTGTGCATTTATCCGACTGCAAATATTTAAAATATGGGTATATCGAGTGTAAGGTTCACTAAATGAAGATATGACAACATGAAACTATAGTTGAGATCATATAGGTGAAAGTACGATTGTCAGCTACTTGAATGTACGAGTATAAACTTTAATAATTAAAGTATAAACTAAATAATTGTATTAATATCTACTATAAATGTCAAATTTGTGTACGATGAATGGATGGATATTAGTTACTAAATCTGATGAACAGATTTAAATGAATTTTGGTAAATGGAAAGGTTATATCCTAACATAGCACACATTTTTTGTTTTCTCAATGTTCTCTACTCCAAGGTTGTCTGGAAGATTTTGCTTAGCGATAAGGCCGCCTTTTTTCATTTCTCATTACAATTAAATGTATCTACTGTTTTATAAATGGTGCAATAAAGTGTAAAATAAAAAATAAAATACTTTATATACTAATTCACACTGGTGAAGCCGCGGGATATTGCTATTAAAACAATATTTATCTAGTAACTAAGTGCAAGCGTTAATATCGTATCAGGGCTGTTCGTTAATATTTTGATAACCCTTACGAGGTTTACATAGGAGCGAGATTGGCAAATAAATAAGCTTAGGTAACATAGGTATTTAGAAATAAAAAAAAAAAAATCATTTGCGTGATTTACCCGTCCTTCAACTATTAGCCTCGAGTATTAATAATCGATCATTTTATTGATGCTCTACTTGGTAATTTTCTTTTCTCAGTGAACAATGTACCTGCTAATTTTAAACTTTCGAGTTGTCGACATATATTTTAAATATAGTTGTACTATTGGGACTTAACGCGATGAATAATTGCAGGTAACTACAATAGTAACTACATACCTGTAATATTTTATCGTGTTAAGTCCTGATAATGTATCTACTATTTTATCTATACTCGTAATTGTTATTAATCTTAACTTAATTTTCAGCTAGACTTTAAGACTATGGCTGGAAAAATGCAGGGACTACCAGAAATGACGCTTTACATAACGAAATGTGTGGAGTACATGGTTTGTTTATCGGAAAGAATACAAAAGTAAGTTTTTTTAACATATGACTTTGTTGCTTAAAAACAGTGATGTAGAATATGATAAACGACCATTATTCTGATAATAAACTCTATCAATTATAAAGATAATTATGAAAATCGACTTAGGATTGGCGAAAATATTGTATAATATGATAGTTACAAAAAAGTTGAAAACTCTTGTTTATATTCTCTGCCGTTAATTGTCCACAGTTGAACATAGTCTCCCCTATAAGGGGATTTGCGAGTAGTTGCCACGCTTGGCAGGCAGATTGGTAACCGCAGTTAGACTTTTACTCTCTCTTACGACACCGACGGGAAAAGTAGGGGTAGCTAATTAAATGCCGGGATGACGCAGCTAAAACACTTACCTTTTGAAATTCCTAAAAAAAGTTAGTAGGACATCATATTAATGATATTTATATTTTTCCAGTTTGGCGACATTCCAAGTGCCATTTTTAAGTTATTTGGGGATGTTGTTTTTAGTCATCGCATCCATTGGACTTTATCTTATACCCTTCAACTACATGATGATTGGTTTGGGTAAGTTACGTAATTCTAGTTTAATCTCATGACTTAATTCGAGTGAATCTCTGTATGAAGTATCCTATGTTCTAAGTATGATGTAATATATCTGTATACTAATTTTTGTTCAAATTATTTCAGTAGTTTTTGTATGAACAAACGTCAAAGCATATGTACATTCTCACAAATTTTCGTATTTATAATAGTAGTAGGGTTAGAGCACAGATTAATATGTTATTAAAGGTTCAGGACTGCTATTATTAATGCTATTTCGTTAAGAAACTGGAAAATGACCTAGAATATACCTACATACATACATATACCTGGAATATAACCTAGAAGTACAATATAATTAAATTGTGTTCCACAAAAAGAAACAGACTTCAATTATGGCAAAACCAGATATTTTGATTTATAAATGAACCCATTTTGATAAAATTTCTATGGAACCAATCTTTAATATGCGCTTTCAGATAAAAAAAAATCTAAATCAGTTTACATCTAATAGAATTATGAAGTAATAAACATAAATAAAACACAATCGAATTGAAAATAAATGAATTTTTATAGTGATGTACAACTATTTATTAACAATTTCTTTTATGAACATGGATGAAGTAAGAAATTAATTTTTGAATCTATTTACTACATTCATCACGAGTTCACGTGGTTTAGATCAGTTTAATAATCCATAAACATAACGTTTTATGTGTGTTTTTTATTCACAGGTATTTACAAGTTTACTAGGAAGTATATGGATCCAGAACGGACACCTAATAATGATATACTTGACTTTATTTCGAGGATACCTGATAACGAACAATTGGTAAGTAATTGGTAAAAAAGTAAACTTCGATTCTTATGTTGGTAATGTTTGACATGAAACTTTTAAAAAAAGAGCATGGTCCTTTTTAAAGGGCGGCAATAAACTTGCAATTTCTCTGAACGTTGCGGGTGCTTATGGGCGACGTTACCCATTTACCATCAGGTTAGCCGCAAGCTTGTTTGCCCCCTATGTTAAAAAAGGTAGGGCAGTAAGCTTAACAAATTCAAAAAAACTTTTTCAAGTGGATGCCATTAACACAAATATAGAAATTGAGTTGCAATGTATAGATAGATACTTAGGTACTCTTTATTGTTTCCTCCAAAAGATTACAATTGTAAACTTATTATAGATACAAACATTTAGTATAATTCAATTTGAATAGTTAACAGTAATATCTAATACATAAGTATTAACGTAAGTAAGTAATAACTTCCCCTTGGGGGGAAAGGGATTGTTAGTAATGGAGACTGAGAATCCCATTGCTAGCGATATACCCAACCAGGTCGACCTCGCGGTTCTCCCTGGAAACTATCATGGTTAATTCCCGATGTATTCATCATGATTGGCTAACTGGTCTGTTTTCATTCTCACTCTTCACTGGTGCTCCGCCAGCGTATCTCGTTAGCGCAGGCGGGGTTACCATACCATTTTCACTCATCAAAAAAAAAAAAACTTTCCTTGATACACAAGTACCAATTTGTTAGTTAATGAGCTAATGAGGTTGATAAACCTTATTGCTACCAATATATATATATATATATATATATAATATATATATGTCAGGTCGTCCGTCTCGTCATCCCCCCCTGGAAATTGACGTGATTAATACCCGATATCAACTTCTATAATCATACAATCGTTTGTTATTCACGATTATCTTTGGTATAATGATTTGCATCACAGGTGCTCCAGTAAATGTTTTTTTTTTTGTTATTGCAGAGACAATGGAAGGAATTAAATGTTCCGGAACCGTTACAAACAAATCACATTGTAAATAAACCACCTATAGCTAGATCATTTAGCACATTGTGAAAATTATCTACCTGATATGAAAGATATATTTATTGAAAGTGTAGGTTTAAAGTGATGCAAAAGGTCGATGTATGCAAATGGCTCAGGATCATACTTTTTAACGAAATATGAAGAAAGAAAACGATATTTCATTAGGGAACTGATAGTTACCAATTTATGTTTCTAATATTTAGAAAACATCCTAAAAACAAGAAAGATTAATTATACGAAAATGTAATATTGTTTTTATTTAGATTATAAATAAAATCATGTTTATTTTTTTATTTTTGGAGAGGGTATCTGGATAACATTTTTTTTTCTTTATATTACCTGGTTTTTGTTTCAAATATGAATGTATAATAGAGCTTCCACAGGCAACCAAATAACTTTGAAGTGAATAATAAAAAGCGATATTAAAATGCATTGTTTTATTCCTTAATTACCCTAAACTAACGATAACAGACCTAATAGTACTTAATTGACTATTATTATTTAGTTCTAGGTATCCCGTACTAAGTTCGATACTGGCTCACTATTTGTCTTAGTGTGGTACACGAGCAGTTGACTCAATGAATTAGGACAAAGGTGGAGAGTGGGTCAGCATCAGTCATAAAGTATTGGGTATTTTTGTAACATTCCACTTACTATATCTTATAAAGTACAATTCGTTTGAGGGGTACTCTTGTACTTGAAAAGAAAGAATCTCACGATTTAAAATTCGTGTATTGTTTCCACGGGTACCAACTTAGAAACTAAAATCTAGACAGCGTATAACGAGATCGGGGATTTGACTGTTGATAACCTTTAACTTACCAGACTAATACATTTTCACAAATATATCCCTTTCCTTTATATATATATACAATCTATATAATAACAGAAAAGTCAGAACAGTCATGTTGTAATGCTGATGCATACGTAATGTTTGCCATTGCCTCAGTTAAAAATGCCCTTACCTTTCTACTTCTACCCCGTTAATTTCTAGACAATAAACATCAGCAAATATTTCCCCGGAAATGGCATATATTCCTCTTCTTCAACCATGATATTCGGTTCATAAACTATCTACAGTGAAATCTTATAAGTATACTCAAGTGGGAATGTATGGCAAGATTGCCTCGATATATAATAGACAAGGGTTATTAAAATTAGGAAAGTTTGTTCATGAATGCTCACTTAACATTTTTTTGAGATTCAATTGTCTCTGTATAAATGGCGTCATTAGTCTATAGTCAAATATTTTAAGGTTAGAAAATGTAAAAAAGTTTTCGAATTTCAACATCCGAATATAAACCAATGAGGCCATTATATATGGCACCAATAGCTATAATAATATTGTATCACAGAATCTTAGGAGCTGAGAGTTGACAAAATTTAATTATTATCACAAATTATTTAATTTTCTTCTTGCACTTCTTTTTTTCGAGTTGATCCAGAGCGGCTGAGATTTGGTTCTGGAACTTTCAACTCACGCCATTGTTTCTGAAAATAATAAAATAAATTAATTTCTTCATACAAGGATTCAAATCTAATCTAAATTGACAAATTATAGATAGTAGCGCTGCTACAAGTAATGGGAGCATATTTATGCTTGCATTTGCAAGACATACAAGCTTTAATTCATAATTTTAAAAATTATCTAGTTTAAGAATTTGAATTTATGTATGTATGTTTGCTTGACTTGGATGAAACTAAAACCTATTTTTGAAATTCTTTAAGGTATAAAAAGTTATCTGTTTCAGTGAGTAACATAGACTATATTTTTTTTAAATAATTTTTTCTACAAAAATTACAATAATGTAACCAGAAGTACCAAAAAATTTCCTATTGAAGCCATTTTATAAATACTAATTTATCTTTTTATATATCTACCCGTGTGAAACCGAGGCGGACAGCCGAGTCGGCAGTGTAATTTCTAAGCAATATTTTTTTACTATACTATATAGTAGAAATGCAGAAGATAAGATATATGAACGATACCATGTTGTTTAGGTATCTTTAACACAAACTATTGTATTATATTTGAAGTATGTATATTAAAAGTTCACAGAACTGGTGGAAATCTGAACGACGTGTAATGAAAAGGAGATAATCATGAAAATTCCAACCGAATTACGAATATTGTATATACCTACTTGTAATTTCAAATTATTTTCGCCCTGAGTATATTCGGATATACTTATTATAGTTTTTTAGATAGATAGATCTACTAGTCACCTTGCGGTGACTAACGGAACAAAGTAAGTAGAATCTTAATACTAAGCCATTGTAAGTGATCACTTAATAATTTACCAAAATCTCGTTGTCAGGAACTCGGGAGATAAAGTCCAACAAATCGTTGTTAGGAACTCTCTTAGGATTGAGCAATTTACGAGTAAACTTATAAATACCTGGAATTAAAATAAATTATTATTTATATATTATTTTTATTACATTTAATTAAAAAAGCATATTTTTCTAATAATAATAGTCTAGAATTCAGTAAAAACCTATAAAGTCTGATATTAGTAAATATTAAAGGCTACAACATCAAATAATTATTATTCTCTCTATTTACAATAGTTTCTGAAGAAGGTTGATGGGTAATAACTCATAGTTATAAAATTAGTAATTAATTTATAATATTTGAAAAAATAAGACGCTATTTACATTTAAAAGAATTGAATTATTCACTTGTCGTTGTATATTTTTATTTATGGTGCATTAAAGAGTTAAATAAATAAATAAAAGAAAAAAAATTAAATCTTAGCTACTTACCTAAGGCCATAAATAAATATTTTACAGGAATAAAATAAAACGCAACTGAGGACAATATCAAAACAGATATAGCCAGGTACGTCAAGTACGGCACCGTGAAATTCGTTAAACTGAAAAAGAAAAAAAAAGACTGAGATTTTGTAATTTTCTGCGTAATTTTCTTAGTTTTCGTTTGTCAGAACCTTCTATAAAGTATTAGAAAACAGAAAAAAAATTAATGAAATCGTTTAAGTCGTTATCAAGTGGCGTAACAAGAGTAAACAGCTTCATTTATATATGAATATGTATATTTACTCGTACTATAATATCAGGTAGTTTGTCAGTAGTTGCCGTGTTTGGCAGGCGGTTTGGCAACCGCAGTTAAGTTTTGGCGATATTTAAAGAGTGGCGTTGATGCCTATCCCTCGACACATTAAGTTCCCTTAGTCGTCTCTTACGATATTCATGGGAAAGGAACACGGTAAATATTATATGTACTCGTTAGCAAAATTGGGTAGACAGAGAGTCATATTTCGTTTGCCATTAATCCGGCCATGGAGTATTGAAACAATTTAACAGCATTGTTTCAGTAATTTTGATTATTATTAGATTATTGAGAAGTTTTGGACAGACTTTCCTAGCAGGTAGACTGACGTAATTTATTTCATGAAAGCCAATTTCAAGTTTCTGCAATTGACTTCTATTCTATCAACATATTGTGGTTAGATTCATCACTATAATTAAGAAGTCTATTAAGTAATTTATTATTTTTCTCAGCTAGGATACTTTCGTCTACACATGGTAGCAATATAGAGATTGCTATAAATATGTATAACGCAAATCTAACATATGTATGGTTTTATGCACGTATTATGTATTCCGATGACGGCGGTATTAGTATTATCACATATATTTATTACATTATCAATATTACACCTTCAGACTTTGGTACACCCTGACAAGATAGTAAATATTTGAACACCCAGTTTAGAAAAATTACGCTGTCGCCAATGCTTGGCTGGATTGTTTTATGTTTGAAGTTTTTCAAAATTCGACACTTCATCTATATGAGTATTGTCTGATGCTAAAATCTTGTGGTGTCCAGTATCAAAAGTTACTTATACTATATGGAATTCAGCAAAAAAATAATTAAGATAATTACTTTTTTATCCTTTCAAACACAGATACCATATAGTCGATGCTGTTCTTGATGGTAAACGTGAGATCTTGGAGTCCATATATTCGAGTTTTTAACGTTTTATCATCCTAAAACAATACATGTAATATAATTAATGATACAGATAATATAAAACGTCGAATATCATGTGCAACAATTTTATCAGAGACCAACTTGTGTAATTTATCAGATACTGCTTCTGAATTATGAAATACAAATTGATATCCAATTACGTATAACTCTAGAATTATGAAATACGAATTGATATGCATAGTAGGTAATTACCTACTATTCATAATTTTGTGTGAAGAAATATTAAACATCAAATAAAAAGACCTATAGTCATGAATAGTAACATGGATATCAGAAAATCACAGTGATGCCTATGGTATTCCTCATGTTTTGCTATTCCCGAGGATTACGATATTGGATGGATGATAATAGAATGGATGATGTTGAGGATAATGAATATTTGAGGGATGATAGGTGAGGATAAAAAGGTAGGTAGTTAGCTCTGATGAATACACTTGGAATTCAGCACGATGGTATGGGAATAGAATAGTTGTATTACGGCAAAATACGGGTAGGGTAGAAGCATTCATTTTTATGACTTTTGTATAGTCTCCCTCTAGTCTTTATTTTTGCGTGGTTTCAGTCAAGTATTTTGTCAATTGACTTTCAGAAATACACACAAAATTCATAAAAATAGTTTTTGACAGTTTATAAACAAGTTAAATAAAGATAATTATGCTTAACAGTAACTTACTTTATGTGATTCAAGTTCTTCATCTGAAACATCCTCATCCGAGTGATATAAAGGGACCAACGAATTGTTTTCTAAAAAAATTAAAAAAAAAAGTATTTTTTATTTATTTATTTTTTTATTGCATTCCATAATAATTAATTAATACATAATACATAATTATTACATACGGTTTCAATTATGGACCCTGTTGGGCACAGCAAGTAGGAGAGAGGAGGTATATAGTATATGTACACATAAATATATCTTTACAGTGTATAATTTAAGATAAAAGTTAACCCATGTTTTAATCCAGAAATCTACAAAAATCGGTTTGAGCCGATTTCGATATTTTTTTTTACAAAATATTATTTTAAATTAATTATTAACAACTTACTATTAAAGTATCTCTGGCTTATCCACTGGTGCAGGAATGGTATGAGCAATAGAAGAGGAGTCATCCACAAATTAAAAAAGTACCAGAACACCAGCCATATAACCAAAGCCGTCGCTGACTTCTCTCTGTTGTCCCATTCGAACACTCGTCTGGAAATCACATACACATTTTAATCTTTATCTTAATCATATAATTAAATTAGCGAACTAATTGAAATAAGAGATGTATGCAAACAAATTGCTAATACTCTATTATTTCTGCACACCCTGTAAAAGTGGTGCATGACATTTGTAATGTAATATTACGTAACGATACATTTTATAAGGTAAGATTACGCACTTATAAGATTACGTAGTTCTGGATGCACTTTAAGATATTTAGCATAAATATGCAGATAAAATGTCATTATTAATTACAAATAACAATAAAATCTCACTTGTAATGTTCGTTGGTAATATATAATGCATTAAACAACTCTTTGATAAACTTTAAATTGCTGTAGATCAAGGGTATATTAAATTTCGCTGGCTTTTGCACATATTTCGTTTCCTTTGGATTCAACACCCGAAAAGTTGCTTTAATCTGAAAATAACAAGAGGGAGAAAGTTAATATTGTAGGTAGATCGAGTTTTTAACTGCGCAAGTTCAAAATATATAAGGCTTACGTTTAAAAATGAACAAGGCAACTTGCCTTCTGGTTGTTATTGTTAATTTATTTTTAAATCTTCGCACAATTAGAGATATAAAATGGCTGAGAAGGTACTTATATTACAATTAAGTAATTTAAAATAAGAATCACACAATTACGAAAGTGTTGTAAAATTTCTTACCGGATTCCATATGACAGACATTTGCAAAAGTAGTCTAGGACAGTTGCCTTTTGCGCTGGATTTCTTGGAGCGATCCTTCAAAGCGTACCACTTCATTTCATCGTTTTCGATCCGCAATAGAGGTATGGAGAGTTTACCTAATGTTTCTCCTTTCATAGTATTTATAAGTGACTCATTGTATACTGAGATATCCAATGTAGACGTTATATCGTTAACGATACTGGAATGTAAAATAGGAATTATGTTAATTTAAAAATTGGACAACAAGAAAACGTTAATATTATATTCAAACATAAACGTATATGTATAGGTAAAAATGTACATAAAATTGCAAGGAAAATTTAAAGGTTTCTGTTGAAGTATCATATAATTATTACAGCTCTACTAATATCCACTGCTGTACTTAAATTTCACCACAAAGTATGATCCTGCACTATTTACTGCCACAGATTATCCTTTTAAGATTTTCACTTTCTCTCGTTTTTTTTTTTTTTTTTTTTATACAACTTAGAATGGCAAACAAGCTGACGGCCCACCTGATGGAAAGTGGTAACCGTCGCCTATAGACATGAGCAGTACCATGGACATAACAGAGTATACTGTTTCGCCCATGATACCCCCCATGCGTTGCCATTCCTGAGGACTCAGGTGTTATTCCTCTGTACCCAGTAAATTCACGCCATATCCCACCCTTCAAACCGAAACACAGCCATGCAAACACAACTGCTTCACGGTTGAAACACGAATGGGACAGAGGTACCCACGCAATCGACTTTCGTACAAAGTCTACCTCTCGTGAGGGTCTTCCATAGTATAGAAATATAGATTTTAGTATAATCCTATCACGTATTCTAAATATTATTAGTTTCCAAAGTCTGTAATGTTTTTTATGCAACTTTAGAATGGCAAAGAACCTGATGTCCACCTAATGGTAAGTGGTAATTGTCGCCGTTACACATGTACAATACCATGGACATAAAAGTCGCCCATGATACCCTTCATGCGTTGCCCTTCTTGAGGACTAAAATGTTATGCCAATTAATTGGCAGCTATGATTAGAAAAATTAATGGTCGCGGCTGCGTTCATGTGGCATCTACTTAAGTACTAATAATATTATTATTATTAATTTTTTTTTAAATATTAATGAATGAATGAGTATACTTTTTTTGCATTATACAATATAGGAAATAAGCAATACAGTTTACAAACACAACGATACAATTATATAAGTACAGCAAGGCATATTAATAGTGCATACATGAGTATAGCTACTTAGATAGGATACTTTTTATGATTCTAATGCTGGGTTCGGAATGATGTTATTTGCTGAGAAAAACTTGTAAAAAGTATGCTAACTATACTACAAATGCGTATATAAGTAAAATTTATTATATGGTGCCAAAGATATCTATATTAAATATTAAATATATCAAATACATATAAAGCGATAAATGCCGCGGGTCGTGCCTATGGGCATTATATTATACAATGTAAAACGTATTCTTATCATACTCCAGTACGATTAATTTCAAGGGTACAAAGTATTACGAAATTATCAATAGGTCCGGGTAATTAGGCTGTTTCAGTTTAAAAATATTTTATAAAAAGCATCTATGATAAGATAAATTGTTTGTTGTTGTGAAAATAATGTACAAACAACATCTAGATAGAGTAAATTTATATATCTACAATATTTGTTTGTATGTAATGTAATTTTTTTAAGTTTTAAAATGCTTTTACTGGAATAATATTTTTTAATATAAAACTTTCTATAAAAATGTACAAATACAAATAAGTATGGATGACACCGGAATCAGCAAGCATGTACGAGGAAAATTATGAAAATAGAAGAAAGAAGAGATGCGGGATGGTAAGGATTACAAGATCACACACTGCACAACAAATAACCACTAAGTTAGATGAGCTATAATTGGAATGTCTGCGACATCCACCGTATTGCCCGGACCTTGCTCCAACAGATTACCATTTTTTCCGGAATTTGGACAACTTCTTACAAGAAAAAAAAATCAATTCCGATGCGGCAGTCCAAACCGCCTTCAAAGAGTTTATTGATTCTCGCCCCCGTGGTCTTTTTAGTAAAGGAATCAATGAACTACCTATGAGATGGCAAAAGTACATAGATAACAACGGTGCATACTTTGATTAATTTAATATATTAAAAAAAAAATAACGACTTTATATTCTTCCCGTAAAAAACGCAATTTCATATGTATTTAATAATAATAAATATTATAAGAAAAAATAAAGTCAATTGCTAGCTTTATCTAAAGTACAAAAATATTATACCCAAAATTCATTCATGTCATATCACTGAGAATGAATAAACATTTTATTACTGGCTTATAAACAGATTTCTGTTTATAGATTAGGTATAGACAGACTAATATTTCGGAACAACGACCTATTGCATATATTTTTTTTATTTTTTTTTTTTGCAATTTAAAATGGCCACCAAGCTGTGAATAGTACCATGGACGCAAAATATTATATTGTGTCCCCAATAATACTCCCTGTTGCGTTGCCATTCCTGAGGACTAAGGTGTTCTATTAAGCGGATGATAATGGAATGGCAACCCCGCCTGCGCTATCGGTATACGCTAGCGGGGCACCAGTGAGGAATGATAGGTGACGATGAAAGCAGGCCAGTTAGCCCATCGTGATGAGTTCCACTAGAATTAATCACGATGGTTTCCAGGGGGAATCGCATGGAGGTGGACCTGATACACCCTGTATTGCTGGCAATGGGTCAGTTAGACCCCATTACTAACAATCCCTTTTCCCTCGGACTAAAGTGTTATGCTTCTGTATTCTGAAATTTTATTGCCATACCCTTCAAATTTAAACACAGTCATGCAAACATAACTGTTCCAAAGCGGGGAGAAAGGGATTGTTAATAATGGAGACTAAGAATCCCATTGCTAACAATATACCCAACCAGGTCGACCTCCTCGCGGTTTTCCCTGGAAACTATCATGGTTAATTCCTGATGAATTCTTCATGATGGGCTAACTGGCCTGTTTTCATTCTCATCTATTACCCTTGACGCTCCGCCAGCGTATCCCATTAGCGCAGGCGGGGTAACCATACCATTTTCATCCATTAAAAAAAACTGCTCCAAAGCAATAACACGAATGGGACAGGGGTAACCAAGCAGACGACTTTAAATGTAATGATTTTTTAAAACAGTTCATTGTTGATTTGCTCGTATGAAACATTGTCAATAATGATTTAGGTAAAATTATAAATTAGTTAAACCATAACTAAAATAAATACTGTAACTTATGTTGGGAATCGATCTGAGAATCCCCAGATGAATTTGATCGTCTCAGCTATCACCTCTCGTCATACAATTAACAAAGACCTCTAATTCTACACGATATATCTTGACCCCTCTATTGTATAAAGTACAATGGAAGGGTCACGCCTTATCTTATGATTCGCTCGAGCGATTCTGCTGAAACCATAAATTTAATACTGAGTCAAATCGAATTAGCACCTTTTTCCAAAAAAAGTGTTTCACTGATGTATCTCAATATTTTATTTAAAGAAATATGAGTCAAGATAATTTTATGCCTGTGGTATTAATACCACACCATTGGTATTAATACCATTTCAATATTTTCAAATTTCAATATGAATGACTAATATTTCTTTTTAAAACATTCCCTCAAAATGGTTTTGGGAGAGACTTCGATCGTGAGAAAGTTAATATATGTCCAACAAAAAGACTATCGACTGCAAAATACATCAGGAAAGAAATAATTACGTGATATACATTTAAAAAAATGCAGATGAATCGATAAATTACTTCTTTTGAAAGATACGAGTACATATTATTTACGGGCATTAAAAGTATTTTATAATTATCTAGAATACTATAATCAATCTTCGTAGGTAGTTATCCGATTAAATTCAAATGTATTACGTATATAAATGAGTTATCGTGTAATAAACACCCAAAGTTTTTAAAATATTCACTATTATGATGTATTTTCTAAACTTATAGCCTATGTGCTACTTAAACGTTCTTGAAGATTCAATTTAACGAACTAGGAGTGATATAGACAAAAAATTTTAAAACAAATATTTGAACCTTTTATCTACGTACAATTTATGTATTAATGCAACAAGAAATCTTTCAACAAACTAGTTCTTTTTATGATTTTGATTATATATGAGTACCTATTAATTAAAATGACATACTTAAAAAAAATCACAACCATAATTCATTCCTAATACAGTAGCCAGAGACATATGTTAATTATTGACGTTGTAGTAAATGTAACACTTCAATATAAACAATGCAATAAAAATATAAAGATAAACGTGTTAAAATGAAAAATAAAATTTTGCAATAATATGGCTACACTTATATTAATAAGTATAATTATTCCGATATCTATCAGCATTCGTGACATTGGGAATCTAGGTTATATTTTTTTATCTACTACTTTAGATATTAGTGGTTAAATAAAATCACGTAAACATGACACTATTACCATATATTAATAAGTATTAATTACCTTTTATACTCACTTCTGTTTCAAATATCATAATTCTGGCTAATATTATAAATGTGAAATTGACTTTGGATTTTACTTTATAGCGCTTTAACACGTACTATATGAAATGAAAATGAATATAGGCTACTTTTTATCCTGGTCAGTCATGCGGACAATGTCGCGTGTAAAAGCTAGTGATTTATAAATTGTTAATAATTACAATATTAGTGTCATTTAAAGTTTATCGCCTGCTTATAATAATTTACTAGGGGCGACAGTTGCATAAGTTGCATAATTGAAACAATCTTATCAATCACAAACACGAACTATGCATTTAGTTTAAGTATACTACTACTAGTACTAGATATAAACTAATATTTAGTTCTTACGTAGATAGAGCATCAAGTCTCAAAAACGGACCAACTTTTTACCAGCTAATTGTTAAATTAGCTGACTCGTTTTTTATGAGTGTTCTATATACTCACACAATGTATCTTGATGTATTTATATTTAGTTATTTAATAAATAAAATGAGTTTTTATGCATTAAAAAGATGCGAAATTTGTAAGACAAAATAAATATAGAGGGTTATAAAGGAATCACTCATAACTATTTATCACGCAAAATTCTATTAAAATTTTTTACCTCTTTTCTCGAAGCATTTGTATGGAGACACTCTATCTGTATAATCTAAGATCTATTGTAGGTAATATTGTTTTTAAACATATATAGAAACGATATTAGATGTTTAATCTGCTCATGTATTTGATATGATAATACAAATCCTTTTAAATTTTTTTGAGTAAAGAATAATTATTGTAAATGCTAAAGTGATCCTGTCTAACTGTTTATTATGTTTTCAGGTCTATTTTGCCAATATAAAAGAAAATAAGGGCAGTGAATAAGAAATATGTTTATTGCAAATATATTTTTAACTGGATTGCAAAAAAAGGAGGACAATGTTTTTCGAATTTGTATATTTCTTCGGATTTTAATAAATGTAATGTCATAAGATTAATCTTAATTATTATCGTGTAATATTACTTACCTTTTTAGTGACTAGAATTTGTTTTTATTGTTAGCTTTTGTAATATCTGTGTATGTTACTAAATACTTTTATATAAATACTTTTTTTCTTTCTTTAGGTGACAGTATGGAAAAATCTCTACAAAATTGATTAGATATTATTCTTAAATTTACTGACAATATGGAGACGTAGCATAATTGCATGGTTTACAATAATGATTATGGTCCTTTATTACAAAGATGTATTGCAATAATTTATTTATTACATTGTATTATTAAAGTATAAAAACTCTTACATCTTACAGTGTGGTATTAGCATTTACTTATAGTAAATAGGTATTCACTATATTTATAAGGTCATCAGAGTATTTTGACTCGTAGGCACGTTTCCGTATTATCAATTTTGGCATGTATCGAAAGGTCAAGTATATTTAAGTACCTTGATCCTTTCCTTAAAATATGCATTTTAATGTCAGATTAATTATATCTCAACAATAAGAATTACGCCAAGGTCTTTTATTGTCTGAAGATGACTTATATGAAGTACCTACATAATTAACTACTAGTATTTATCAGGAATATCATTAAATATTGTGCTACATATACCTACGATTCATGGTTAATTCGTTCCATGTTTTGTTTGTGTAATTGTTGGATTTTTTATTCAATGAGAAGTTCTAACCTATAAAGTTACCGTATAAATAAAAATCTAACTATATGTATTTAAGTCGTAAGTTTCAATAGGTAATAATACAAGGGTATGACTTTTCTTAAATATTTCGATTAAATTAAAATAAATTTAATTTATTACCTATATCTTTTATATGTTAGAATTTATCTGACATAAAAAGAAATAAATTAATAAATAAAAACTTTGGAAAAACAGCGTTTTCTCTGGTTTTATTTCTTTCACCTATTTCAGCACACATATACCATATATGTGTTAATTAATAAGCATTATCTAAAAATAGATTACCACGACACGACTCTGAGTTCAATAGTTAATGCTTAGTTCCATTCAAGGAAACGCATCGTTAAGTATATTAAGTACACGTTATTAATAACTGGAAGTAGTGATAAAAAAAGTAGATCATTGCAACATAATTATTATGTAGTTTCCGGTTTTAAAGTTAGAAGACGTAAACATATTGTTATATCATAATTTAACAAATACGACCTACGTTTGAATTAAAATTAAGATTTTACTGTAATTTGTACTTTCAGAACATATGAACGACCTGCAATAAGAATTAGGTACACTTTCTAGAAATAATAGATATAGAAATAGAGGATTCTGTCTCAGATATAGACCTGCTTAGCGTTAACAAAAGTACTTATTAATAATATGTAAATATTTATTCTTATATTCATGTATTTACTAGTTGAACCGACAAATATTGTTCTGTCAAAAACTATTGTACTGTGACAGTAAAATATTTTATATTATTATTAAAATATTTTATACTTAATTAGAAAAAGAAAAATGGGATTTTAAAGATGTTCAGTAATTTTTTTATATTTTTTTCTTTAAAAGAACCTGCATCAGATTTAGACGCATATTTGTAAAAAAAATTGCCGAGATCAGCCGTTTTCGAATTTTGGGCTTAGAAAATATTTAGTTATTCATATTTATTTATACAGATAAGATTACAGATTTATTTTTATAAGATTGTAAATATTAGTTAAAATGTTTATTAATGTGTATTTTATATTTCGTATAATTGTTTGTGTTATTTATTTTATACCGGTGGATGTTGCTTATTGCAATGCACAGAAGTTACTACTTATGCCCATAAAAATACAATTAATTAGTAGACATAACATTATTTGTAGTACATGAGAAATTTTTCAAAAATCTGTATAAATTATAAAATTCAAATAGCGAATGTACGATTTTCAGCATAGAAGTGTTGTTTTAAAGATTGCTATATTATCAATATCAATAAGAAAGAAATAAGAAAGTGCTTTCAAACCACAATGAGCTTATTTTAAAATAAATGGGAGTTCTTTGTATTCGTATGAATTTTTGTTATATATTTAGCAATTTTGAACCGATTTTTATGATAGTTTTATAATCAGAAGAATTTACTTCCGCATTTGCCTCATTATTTTGTAGAAAAATAAAATCTAAGTTATTTTTATTATTATTTAAATTTTACAAAAATTCTCATCTTCCCTCTTAAGGAGAGGAGATGGCAACTATTATTCTATTACGTAATTATGTATTATGTATCTAAACTGTACTTGACAATAATTAATATTGAATAACAAATAGAAATGAACATTGCTTTATGTATCTTATACCTATTATTGTATTTAAATTTATTTTCGGAAAACGCTACACAATAACAATAACATATAACTAAATTTAAATAATGTAGTGTAAAGTGCGTTAATGATTAATATTAACTAAGTACCTATCATTGTACTCACAAAGAGTAAGTGTTGTTCCAGTTAGGCTCCGAAGTGCCGCGGACCGTGTGAGTTTGTACCCTGCAGTTGTCCAGTTCCAAGACGCAGTACGCGTCCACCTTGCCACTGATCCCTAAGCAGCTCAAACCCTTTGCACTGTGCACTGTCACCAATAATTTTCCCACTTCACTCCAGTTGCTCAATTTATACCAAATCTGAAATTATAATATTATATGTACTTATAGTTTATTTAAGCATTACTATTTAGATAAAAATAGTAACAAATCATAATTTTCAATAAATTAATTGATATTTTTTTATTGTTTAATATAATGACTAAGGAGTCATAATTGAGTAACGTGTACAGTTAATTGTTGAAATAAGAATGTTTATTGTCATACCTCTGAATCATTACCATCGTACTTGTAGTGAATAAAGGTTACGTAACATGGGAAATGGGAATTGTTTATGATGAGACCAAGCAGCTCAATTGCTAGTAATATCGACTTCCACACATTCCCCTCTAGAAATTATCGTGATTAATTTCTGGTTAAATCGTCACAATTAGTCGACTGGCCAGACTGCATCCACACCTATGATCACTTACTAGTACACGGCTATGTATACCAATAGCACTTATTGTTAACCTTAAATGTTAATTCTATAAAAAACATGTGCACCCTTTCTTGTTTTTGAAAGGTTATTTTAAAATATATATTCTTACCATCCTTACTAATATTAATAGTATGAAACTAAGTTTCATTGGTTACCTTTTAGTGTTTACGGCTTAACCAATTATTATGCAATTTAGTATATAGTATATTCTAAATTAATAGAACTTCGAGTTACAGTTACTTAGATACTTTAAAATAAAACTTACATATTGGTCGTCAGAGTGAACACCATGTGGAGTACTTTGTGTGGTAGGTATGTTGTCGGTGGGTCTGATAGAGCCACTGAGGGTGACCAGAAGATGTAAACTGCCGAACCCGCATTCCAAATCATGCCAGAAATCGTGGGTTTTCTCTTTCTCCAGGTTCGAAAGGTCGATAATACATCTGCAATTAAGATTTACCTCTATATAGAATAAGTGCAATTATTTATATTTAGGGTTACGTATTCGATGCGTAAGCGTGGCAACTACTGGCAAAACCCTTTTTTATGAGGGAGGCTTATGTTCAGTAGTAGATAGTTAATGGCCATGGCTGATATAAGGATGATTTGGTGGTTCTACATATTTCTATGTTTACAATAGTGAACTTATCTACTCTTACTTTTATTATATATCCAGATATATGTCTCAAATACAACGTGTTTTGCGATATATATCTATTATATATAATATCTGTTAATCATTCCACTATAAGAGAAGCAAAAATAATGTGTTATAAAATTTGGTATGAACACTCTACATAATGTTTAACCATCATCTTCCTACCCTTATCCCAATTATTTGGGGTCGGCGTAATATGATTTCTTTTCATATTCACAAAGTTTTGTCTTTTGGTTTTATGACCGATTGTCTGCCTAACGGCAATTCTCCTTCTTACGGTATTAAGAAACGGATTGAAAAACACGAGGGAGACGATCAATAATAGACTTCAAAAAAGGAGGACTGTCAATGTTTGAGTGTATTTTTTTATTTATGCCCACTGACTCTCCGTCAATTTTGAACGCATTTAATTTTATTTTATTAAACAACTTTTTTATATAATAGGTTTGCGAATTACATAGCTTGAAGTTATCAAAAACAATAAAAACAAACATTAATGTGTCGTTATGAAATCTAGTATTTGATTTTTTTTTACATATCTGGGTTCTATAAATAAAACGCAGTTTAGTTGTAGACCTTGATTAAATCTCAGTGCGGTAACCTTAGAATATATAAATAGAATATAATAAAATTGTAACTAGATGATGTCTGTACACTGGAAATATTTGAAAAAAAAAATGATATTAAGGCTTAATAAGATCAATAGAATCCAAAACAATAATTAGAAATTTTGTCTATCTGTCTGTTTGCCAGTCAGTCTGTTGGTCTATATGTTTGTTCCGGAATCGCGGAAAAAACTGCATCAAAGCGGATGCGATTTTCACAGTTGTATTCCTGATGTTCCAACTTACAAATTTGCAGATAAACTGGCAGTTTTTTTTAATACGCCATCTAGAAGTGGCCTATTTAATTGGTTTTCCTACCTCTGAAATCCACACTTACGAAGTAGAGGGCAAAATGCTAATAGAAATTAATAGTAAAAGATCGAGATGAAGATGTATTAAAAGATAAAAGTCCTACATAATACACTTTTGTTATATTTTAAGAATAAAAGACATTTTTATGAATAAAAGACACGTTGCTAGCTAGAAAAAAAAAAATATTTTTATTAAGTAACAAAAATGTTTTCATGTTTTAACAATTCTATTTCCGGAGATTCTTGACTCCTCCCTCAGATAGTATGTAGGTGCATTATAAAGAATATAAAGGATGTTGTATATATAGTAGTAGGACTCAGTAGTAAATCATCTTATAAATATACAGATTAGGTGCGGAAGGAATTATTATTAAGCCTACCAGTTTTATTGCTAGCAATATACTTTCTCAGATCGATCCACCACGGGAACGTGGCCTCCCCTGAAAACTATCGTACTGATTTCCAGGTGTATTCATCACGATGGGCTAACTGACATGCCTATTCATTCTCACCTAACATCCCTCTCTGGTGTCCCGCCAGTTTATACCACTAGCGCGTGCGTTATTACCGTTCCATAAAAAAAAACTTGGTTTCATCCTCATCCATCAGAATGCAGATTATATACTTATATACCTACGTATAAACAGAGTATAATAAACGATACTTATTAATTTTATTACTTTACGACTTACCTGCCCATAAAATTCTTCTGTTTCCCTTTACACCACACAGTGACCTCTAAATTATTGTCATCATATAAATAGAGATTAAATCTTTCACACCATGTTGGTTTCTTTGGTATTGCTAGTTTAGACTTATGAGATTCATTACCTAATCTGCAAAAATAACGAAAAATGCGGATAACAATATTAATGTATTATGTATAAGAAAAACTTATTTCTAAGTATAATGCTTGATTACATTAATCAGTTATGTAGTTGTTGCTCTAAATAAATTTAATTAAAATATATTTAATTTTTTTATTTAACTAGTATTGTCATACTTCAATAGTATTAATGGTATTTTTTAAACCAATAACCTCGTTGAGTAAAAACATAATTAAAGACTAAGTAGGTACATAAATTACTTAAAATGGTAATTAATTATGTCTTCCATAATTTAACATTAAATTAATATCTTCGTATTTACTATATTTTGAGTATTGTATGCCTATTTACGTAATAAAAACGTGGCAATATGTTATATAACTAAAATGTTTTGTTACGAAAATTAAAAAATAACAACTTCAATTATGATATAATTTATACAGGACCTAAATCACGTGGAAGTAAATTCTATCGGTTGCAACAAACATAATCAAAATCGGTTTAGAATTAAGGATAATATATCCTTTAACATATATACCAGAGGGAGACTTTGTACAAAAGTCGATTGCTTGGGTACCTCTGTCCCATTCGTGTTTCAACCGTGAAGTAGTTGTGTTTGGCTGTATTTCGGTTTGAAGGGTGGGATATGGCATGAATTTACTGGGTACAGAGGAATAACACCTGAGTCTTCAGGAATGGCAACGCATAGGGGGTATCATAGGCGAAACAGTATACTTTGTTATTTCCATGGTACTGCTCATGTCTATAGGCGACGGTTACCACTTTCCTTCAGGTGGGCCGTCAGCTTGTTTGCCATACTAAGTTGTATAAAAAAAAATACGACAAAATACGGCAGAATTGAGAATCTACTTTTCGCATAATAAATTATAAATGTATGAAATAAAAATCTATCATCTATTAAAGCACAGTTTAAAAAAACATATCATAAACAAATATTAAAAAATATTTTTACCACTAATGATAACATAATTATCCGGGCTGACGTATCTACTTCTATGCTAAATTTAAATTTGCGTCGGCGACCTTCATGGAAAAAAACAAATTGTTTTGTTTGAGCTACCAATAACTTGATGCGAATAAGCACGAAGTTGATTAATAAAAACAGTAACCGAGTTCAAGGGTTAATACACACTGAGAATTCTTATCATGCGATTTTTTCCTATATAACGTAACGTAATGGAAACTGCATTAAGTTACACACTGTGTAAAAAAATCACGCGAAAATAATCTAGATATACTTATTATATTAATTCACAATAGTCCCTCTAGACAAAATGCAAACCAGTCTATTGAGAGAATCGTCATCGCTAGCACATCAATGAGATAGAATGAGACAGCGATGTGCTGTTCTGTCACATGCGAGCTCTGACTGAAGCGATACCAACAATAAATTAGTTTTTTACAACAAGCTCGGCCCCTCTAGATAAGGTACTAACCTTGTCTAGTGGAGCCGAGCTTGTTTGTGACGTCATAATTGTTCAACTAATATGATGGTGTATTTGGGATTACGAATATAGATAATTTTTATTTTCGTCAATCAATATATCCGATTCGTGCGGATGAAGCCAAGAAATTACTTAAAATTTTATATGAAAAAATCGCGCGAAAATATCCGCAATGTGTATTAACCTTATGTATTCTTTTGTATAAATATCGTTAAACAACATAAAAGTACTGATTCTATAATTTTTGAAAGTTATCTAATTATTTTTTATTGATAATATATAACTGAATTATCTTGGGTAAAGGGAATTTAATTATTTTTTATGTATATTGTAAGTTCGTTAAATTCCCATTATACATACACATTATGTACCTATTCTATTTTGCACAAGTTTGTATCAATCCCAACCAGGTGAATAGGGACTACTCTACTATTGTCATTGCCACGTATTGGAGAGCGCCTTGGTCTAGTGGTGGATAACCTTAATTTAGATCTCAAAGGCCATGAATTCGAATCTGACAGACACCAAAATCTGTGTCAAATTAAAATTTGCGTCTAATTTAGGTGAAGGACAACATCGATAAAAAAGCTGGTACTTTCTACATTAGATTCGTTACTTTGGTATATGTCTGGAAAAATGTAGGCACTATGTATATCGAATATTACCATATTATGTTCTCGATTGTAACTGTAGAATTCTTGGCACTTCAATGGTTCGACCAATATTCATGAAATTTGGTATAACTACATATACTATTTTGGATGAAAAAGGATATAAGCTAGATACTAAGGCTAGGTACTATTTACCTCGTTCAATAAACATGTCCTGGGCATCCGGAAGAATTCGCAGGTAGAAGTTAATTACTTAATAAAATTAGTAAGAATTTACTATTTATTAACAGTATTCGTTTTATAACATTACTAAGTGCTAATACGCAAAAAAGAACAAGGACGATTGTCATAGATATTTATTTTATATTATCATAGATATTTTTACACGTTTCTATTAGTTATAACTAACAATTATAAATCAACAAACTGTAGAAATATTTTATGATTAAAATAGATAAAATTAATTTGAAGCTTATATAAGTATACTGTTGAAATTAATGGTGCTCATTTTAAACCCAACTATTTACCTACCTACGAAAGTTCAATGTAACCATAACAACACCACGGAATGAATAGTACCTACTTATAATTTTATACCATAATTGCGACTTCTAAAAATATATGTTTACTAAAATTGTTTGTATTTCTGTGTACTTACTTTTCTTAATAATTTTAGATAGATTTAAATTCCTTTTAAATTTCGATAGGGTTTAGGTACTGTTTAGTTCCATATTAATTTTTTTAACTATTAAAGAGGCCATTTTTCTTTGAGAAGTTTACTTCCCAAAGAAAAAAGACCTCTTTATTAAACCTTATGCATTTAGGAAACATCTCTGTCTTTTGAATTGTTGATATCGACCGCATTTAATATTATATTTTCGGTACCTAAGGTCGGCTCCATATTTATACTAATTATTTTAGTTGTTATAGCAAACAAGGGGATTGAAACAAATACAGACAAAGTATTGTGAGTTTTACAGAATATAAAGTGACACCCATTGAAGTTATTGTGTCTCAGTATACAGAATTATTTAGACAAATTTAATTAAAATAAGAACAGATTATTGTGCACAATACAGTTAAATACGCATTTAAATGTAAATAAGTCAACTTACTTGAACTTGCAGTAAAGGCCACTAGACCCATTATTAGGTCCATCTGGCAAGTCTTTTGCTTCTATTAATACCACATTCACAATTGAGTTCCATGATTTTCTGAGAATATCACGTCTTCTGTTTTTGAAAACAAACTGAAAAGAAAGAAATTTGCAATCAACTTAAGTTACATAAAATACTTATGTTATTTATAAAGTAACATTATTGCAACATGATACAATTAAATTTATTATATATTTATTTTATTTAACTTTTATTATCTTTTGTGACTATTTGTTGCTATTTATCGATTGTTGATCATTGCATTCATAATATTAATAATATAAATCAAAAAAATATAGGTAAGTTTATTTAACAAGCGAATTGCACAACATATATTCACACCCTTCTGTAGGTAACGGATTCTATGATGCTTTATAAAGCGAATTCTGTGTAGATACACCTTTACAAAGAGCAAAACAAAAAGCGACTTAAAAAAATTCTACTTCTAAATCTGAAGTGAATGTCTGTTATGAAATGACGTCTGAATTTATAAATATAAGCACATAAATAGACAATATCCTTAATTAATATATGTAATGGATACTTTTTTGGATGAAATGTAAATATTCAACAGGGCAAAGTGCGAGATACGAGTATTAGATATGAATATATGAATTTGAGACGGAGAACCATGTATTGTTTATATTTATGAAAAAGTAAGTGTTATTATTGCTTAAATAGGAATATAAATTTATTTTCTTGGAAAAGAAAGAAGTCAGTAATGGGAGTAAAATTTGAGTAACTCAAAGAGACAAGGCTAATCTCTACAACCTTAATATAGTTTAAAGTGCTTAAAATTATTGTAAAAAAGAACAATAATTAAAAGAAAACATGATATTATTTCGAAATAAATGAATTATTTAAATTTATTACATCAAAATAGCATCATAGCAATACCATTGAATAGAACTGAATCATAATATCAAAGTCAGTCATATCACTGTCAAGTACACATAAGTTACATGTCATTGCCATTTATAAAATTAGAAACAAATGACTGCATTTGATTATTCATATTATCATTCAATAATTCATGTTAAGAAAATCTATGACTACATTAAAGCATTGAACTGTAGCCATTTTAGTTAAAATCGTCGATGATTACTACGTAGTGCCTTACAGCTAGCTGGTAAGTTCAATTTATCAGAGTATCTAAATAGTATTAAATTCATAAACCTCACACGACTGTTTAGAAATATATGGGTGTTTTTGGCATAGATGGTAGTTTTATAAATTATAAGCTTTTACCCTCTACGTCCTGTGACTGGGATATGTTTACTGAGCGAAATAAGAAATAGCCTATATCCTTCTCCATCACATATGTACTATATGTATATATCCAATTTCATAGTGATTGGTTAATCCGTTAAGGCGGTACAAGATAACAAACATTCAAACAAGCTTTCATCTTTATTATACTCGTAAGGATATGTATATACATGTTAGGAAATGTATTTAATTTTTGAATATAAATATTTGCAATGTTTCTATTCTATGGTCATTCACCGCAGATGGATCGCACGAAAGGACATATTGGTTTTATGCTGTGAAAGCTTTATGAATTTTTACGCTGTTTCCCTCTATTAAAAGTTTATACCTATGTGATTAGATTAAGTATAAAGTTTGTTGTAAGTATCCACGAGTACGCGATTATATTACATTCTTTTTCGTCATTAAACTTCCATGAGCAATCATGAAGATTGTTAGCAGAAATAGTCGGTATAACATTTACTTCCTTTTACTTATAATCATCGTATATTATATTTAATCTTTGTTAAAATGAATGTATTTGATTTATTTTATTGATTTCTTAGTTATTTTCCGTTAACGATGTTACTATAATACACTCCTTATGTAAATTTATGCATTATGCTTCTCGTTTTGTATGCTAGACATTATACATACTTATTTATATATTTTAGTTTTATGAACGAATGAATAAGTTTTATGAGTTTTATGAACTTACAATGTTTTTTTGTTTTTATTTCATCCAAAAATCTTCTTCAGGATAAGTACGGTTCTTTACGTCGCAGAGTCTCGTCGTTTATTATCGAAATGACAAACATACTAAGTTCATAACATTCTCGTTATACATTTATATCGCCATGTGGTCCCAGCATAAAATAAATAAAACAGGCCATTCCTTCTTTTCTCCTGGGTGTTGTAAGAGTCGAGTAAGAAAGAGTAAGAGACGGGCAGCAACGTCCCTCTTAAAATATCTCTAAAGCCTAACTGCGGTTGCCAATCCGCCTGTCAAGCGTGGGCACTACTGGAAAATTTCTCAAATAAGAGGCTTATGTTCAGCTGGGGCAGTTTAAGGCTGATATGATGATGATGATGATGATGATATATATATATAGACATCGTTAGAAAATGAACATAAGCTTTAAAAATAATAGTGATAGATATGGTAAAAGAGATGTAGTATGTGTAGAGTACGTATGTAGAGTGTAGTTATATCTATAATATAAAAATGCATCTCTGAATTTGTTGCTAAGCACAAATATCGAGAACAACTGAACCAATATTATAGAATCTTTTTTTAGAATATTCCTTGAAGTCCGAGGATGATTCTTACGGAGAGAAAAGTTTAAAAAAATGCCTGAAAAATTGTAAAAACAACACTTTTCTTTAATCCCATACAAACGATTCGTAATAATACTTAAAAGTCAATTTGAACTTTAATATCATACTATAAAGTATTAGTGGAGATACTACGGGAAAGCAAAACAATTAAGTGAGTGGACACGGCGTGTTTTATAATTTTTATTTTAATATTTAATATACATTGCCAACTATTGGTGATAAATATTTGCAATGCTGAATATTGTAAATGGTTTTTATACAACACATTTCAATAACTTTTTTTTGACATGCGTTATATATTGTCTGTTATTTATTAAGAATTATCGCAATGAGTACTTCATTGTGTAGGTTATTTTTGTCCAACGAAAGTGTTTAAAAATTAATTATTGAACTGAATATAAACGAAAACTTTTCGTAGTATAGGTACAAATAAAATAAAAAAAACATTACCCGCAGTTCGCGAAGAGACCCTTTTCAACTTTCCGATACGTATTTAATATACATTTAGTTTTTTGCATCAAAATTATGACCAAATATAAAATTAAACGCATGAATTAAAGAAAAATATATCAGCTATAATTTTATATATAAATTTTGAATGTATTTGTATCGGTTTTGACGAAATATTGACTTTTAGAAATAGATGTTTTTTCATTAAAATTTATCTACTCGTAACTTACAATTCAAATCAATTAATTACAAACATATAGATTGTAGTTTAAGGATCAAATTTTAATATATATTTTTTTAGATTTTTTTAATGTTACCTTTATCTGAGAATAACGTTTTAATAATGAGCTGTTAAGAAATTTAGTGCCTTAAAAAATAGCGCGCGAGTAAAAAATTAAATAGGAGTGCATAATAATCCTAAATAATTAAGTAAGTAATCGTGAAGAAAACATACATTATTTTACCATTTTTTGATGGATTTTAATAATTCAGAAAACGAAATACCTGGAAACTTACAGTGCATACAATATTTAAGTGAAAAAATTTGTCAGGTGCGAGTTGATCTCACAAGCGTTTTGGGTTCCGTACACAGATAAGAAATAAAAATACTTTTACTGCATTTCTTATACGAAGTAGATTCCTAATAGTTATTATTATTGATATTTTAATTCGTGATATTTATTTAGAGCCATAGTTTAGGTGAAACCACGTTTGGTTATTAGCTCTTTTTTGAAATTTTGAATACCACTTTTGGGGGTCCAAACTAGAAAACTAAAATAACAAAAAAGAAATAAAAATATTTTTCAATTATTTTAATTACAATATGTGCGAGCCAATAATATGGGAAACTATTCCAAATTTCAAATCGAGAGCATTAGCAGTTGTTGAGATATAGCGCTGTGACAAACAGATGGTTCAATAGATGGTTAGACAGACGGACGGACAGATGGACGGATAAAGTTGCATCATAAGGGTTCCTTTGTACATTCTTAGTACGGAACCCTAACAAATATAATTTTTTGTTATTAATCCTCAACATCGAAGCAGTAAATGACTAGAAGATCAGCCACAATCTGGTTTGTTCACAAGCCGGTTAACGTGGTTATGGAAAGTTTCCAGTTGTTCGACAACAATACGGGCGTAAGCAATCAAAAGAGGATATAGGTATATGTTAATAAACGTAAATAGTGACCTTTGACCATACTTTTAACAATTGTAGTGATGTTTTGAAAATGTGTTTACACTCATGTATCATTTATCTAATAAACTTATGTAAATTAAAAGATGTAACTATGAAATTTTGGTTGTAACAATAGGTAAAGCCCTGTAGGTCCCGCCATAGAATAGGCTACCCCTTCCTTTCCTGTGTGTGTCATAAGAGGCGACTAAGGGAGCTTATGTTCAAGAGATAGGCAACAGAATCCCTCTTAAAACATTACCAAAAGCCTAATTGCGATTGCCAACCCGTCTGTCCAGCGTGACAACTACTGGCAAAACCCCCCTTACAGGGGAAGCTCTGTTCAGCAGTGGACAGTTAACAATACAATAGAAATAGGTAATCGCAATGTTTTCTACCAACTTCAAAAAGAAGGGGGCTCTCAATTCGGTTGTATTTTTTATGTTGTTACCTCATAATTCCATCAATTCTAAATCGTTTCAGAAAAATCTTTTTTTATCTGAAAGGATATACTTACAGATTTGACCCATAGAAATTTTAGTCAAATTTTAAAGTTAAATCAAATAATAGGCTGTCACAAAATTAGTCTTTTTTGTTTTTGGGGGGACACAATTTTTATAATTTTAGGGTAAAAATACGTAATGTATATTTAGGTTTTAGAGGTCACTATTTAAACTAAGATATAGTGATAAGGTTTGACTTTTTGTTTGCAATGCATAAACATATAAAATATTTAACTGATTTTAAAAATTATTTTTCATATTGAAAGCTACATTATCAGTGATTACATGGAGTGTATTTTATTTAAAAAAAAAACAGCACAAAGCTGGCACGAGTCGCTAGTGTTAAATTAAATGTATAAAATGAAAAAAGACATAATGACAATCTTGGTGGTACAGCAATATAACATATTGCCTCGCTTCCCAATGGTTGGGGGTTCAATCAAGTCACAAATAAATTTTTATTATATACATTTATGTTCATGATAGATATATTAGCAAGCGAGTATATTAGCAAGATTATGTCTTTAATGCATGTACCTAATACATTTTTTAATATACTTTTATAAGTAGAATCTTTAAGATACCAATATGTAACATACTCACATACACATTTATAATATTAGTTAAGATATACCAAGATTCATACAAGGTACACAGAGAGTGCCGAGTTTTTATTTATCTATTTAAACTTTATTGACCAATAAAATGTGGTACAAAAGGTGGGTTTAATGCAACAGGCATTTTCTAGTAGTCAACCTTTAGGATGACCTTTTAGTATCAGCGGCTTCTACTCCTAATTCCATAAGTAAATACATTTTTTGCTTCATTCACTTTCGTAATCCGTGTGTGAAAACATACTTCAGATTACATTCTCAAATAATAGTCCTCCAGTTTTAGTTTCTCATAGTATTTTAGTATTTTAGTTAATTTTATAGTATGGATAAATCTTCAAATTAATAGTAAATATGCTCATGACTATAATTTGCAATGGGATAGTCAGAAATGGTAACATTTATTGACTACAGCAGCTGTGATATAAGTAACATATTTAACTTCCCGACTAACACTTTGACAATGAAAAACATCGATAACAATTCAAATTAATATTATATAGTGGATGGCAGAAGATTCGGTGAAATTTATTTATTTCATCAATTTATTGTGTACTATGTTATTTTTACTCAGGTTGTATTATCAAAATCTGGAACAACCTCTCCTCTTATGTATTTTCCCTAGCTTATAATCAAAATACGCGGGAAAGAGCAGCTTGTAAGCCGATGTTTCAAGAGAAATCCGTGAATTAGGTTTATCTTGGATTGATCCTGTTCATGAATACAACAAATCTTGCTTATATTGGAATTTGATGTAAAAAATATATTACTTATATAATAAGATCGTACCTTTTGTACTTTTTTGCCGTGGTCCCTGAGCAATGTGAGGCCGCTGCCGATGCGCTCCATGAACTCCGTGGAGACAGCGAGCGCTGTCGGAGCCAACGGGTCCATCACTAAACCGTCTGGGACCGCGAATGACCTAATGAAAAAATGATATTATGTTATTTTTATTATATTACACACCTATTCTATTAATTATATAAGTGTGATAATGTAAATTGTAACTACTAATAATCGTGTATTCAATACTTTGCACCGCATAAATATTTCTCTTTTTTAAAGATTGACTGGCAAAGAATTTTTTTAAATTTTTAAATTAAGAAAATTAAAAATATCGGCGCTAATGTAACATCTTTTCTTACTTCAGCCTTTCCATACTGATAGCACTGTAACTTCTACGGCTCTAAAACACAATTCTTTAGCTGTTTTAGGTTCGCGACCCGAAAATGAATGACGAGTGACGTCTTTTTAGAGTCACAAACGTCACCATGGTTAGAGTCACATTGTATTCTGCAAAGCCCATAATGTTGTTCGTATCTATAGGCGATAGTTACCCCTTTACATTGAATTGATCATCAATTTGTTTGCTATTCTATATTAAAAAAATAAATTGTTACTGACCACTGCAGAACTATTCGTGTTAACTGTCGCGAACATTTAGAAACTGACTTGGTAAATTTCATTGTCATAATTGATTTAACTCCTAATTTGTAATAGACCTAAATACATTTATATTTATATATTTTTATATATATTGAACTATCCAGTGCTTCTAATAAAATGCGCTTAAATTTTATATACGTTATAATACAATTCTTTATATGCGAAATACAAGGGGAAAACCCGATGTAAACCACTAGCATTGGGATTTTCAAATACCCTTATATATATATAAAAAAAAATCTCCTAATTTGTTCGTTCAGTAGTAAAGGTCAAAATGCAAAAAGTCCGTATTCTTTTAAGGCCGATAGACGTTCTTGTTTGCTACTTATTAAAACGTTTGTAGCGTTTTTGTTATCGGAACGTCCATGTAACTGTGACTTTTAGTGATGGCGACCACTATAAAAAAGAATCATTAGCTTAATTTTACTGCCGCGAACCTATATAAATCTGTTATATCTATTTACTACTTACATGACGTGTATAAGTAAACACTTTAGCAGTAACACTGTGACTAAAGTATTTGCGCAAGAATTGAATTCGTATTCTTAGTATATATATCTACTTATTTCCTTATAATACAAAATTGTTTTAACAGTTACAAATATGATTATTTATTTGAACACTTATTACACAAGTTTATTGATACAAATATTTGTAGGTATATCATCGAACAAATGGCAATAATTTTATATTATGACATTATTCTGAGTCTGCATTACCATTAATATACCGAAATAACGGGACTAGAGTATATTCATGCACTAAATTTTACAATTTTATTTACTAGAATATTTATTTATCAAGTGGTATATATATGTTATACCATTACTGAAATATTTTGATTAGGATTCGAAAAGTGTAAAGTATCGAGTTATAAAATTATAGATATACATTGAAATAAGTACATAAAGAGAAACGAGTATATAAACGAGTATAAACGTATTTTAAAAAAATATTTGAATATATTGATAAGTTCTTGATTAACTCATATTTCAAGCATATCTAATAGCTGTTTTGGTAGTAAAACTACAGGATACGGAAGTGTATGTTAGTACTTAAAAATGACATCACAATATATATTGTGATATCCATAGCCCAGTTCGCGTCTATAACAGATGATTATCAGACTCTATGTTGATGACACGTGGATTGTTCTTAATCTAATTTGACATTTCAAGTTGTATAGTAATGTTTTTATTTACCAAAAATTCTTATTTATGCTCATAAATTATGCGTGCTTATATACATAAATGTATATGTTTACAATATAATTTTGTTCGACTGGTTTGTCTACTCGGTATAGAAAATACTTATTCATATTAATGGAGACTGTGTAAAATCAATTAAGCGATAAGTAGATAGATATGTTTAAGATAAAAAATAAAAATAAACCCCGAGCGGATTTTTGTTTTGCTGTTTATGTTTATAGCATGTTTTTAATACAGATAAATTAAATGAAAGAAAATAATAGTAGAATCTCATTTGATACTAAATTTTATTGAATATAATGAAATCGGAATTAGTCATTCACTTTCAAACTGCGCAGTTTGTCCCGCCACCATCGGTACCATTTATAACTATTATCAATTCTTAATGTTCACTTCCACCCATATTTAGGTTATTTTAGATTACATGACGTTGCGTAACAGTATTTGAATTTAATACAAAGAAATCGGCCAGTCATTGCTTGTCTTTGTTTTCTGTGTAGTTAAGTCGTAAATGCGTTAAGAGGTTTAATGAGAATTATATTAGCTATATATAGTTTGATACTCCCAGCATAGAATAGGCTATCTTTTCTTTTTCTGTGGGTGTCGTAAGAGGCGACTAAAGGTAGAGCGATGGGCAGCAGCGTCCCTCTTAAACATCTCTAAAAGCTTAACTGCGGTTGCTAACCCACGTGCCAAGCGTGGCAACTACTGGCAAAACTGGAGAAGGCTTATGTTCAGCAATAGACAATTAACAGCTGAAATGATGATCATGAGCAAGGTAGAAAATTTCCACATGCGCTAGATTCTTAGATAAGGGGATATAAGTAAAACAGTAATTAAAGTAATATATCGTAGATACACAGTATTAGACGAGAAGAAAACCACACGGGTTTTCCCAGCTGAATAATTTCCCGCGCATCGTTGACAAAACGGGTTTTCTCGGCGTGAATACGCGTATTAAAAAAAATCTTTGTAAAATTTCAAGTTCATATTACGTCGTTAACATTATATTAACATATATACAACATATACTACAGATTTTAACCGATTTCAAAAAAAGGTTCTCAATTCGGTTGTATTTTTTTTTTGTTTGTTACTTCATAACTCCGTGAGTTATAAACCGATTTGGAAAATGATTTTCTTATTTGAAAGAAAGTACATTACAAATTGGTCCCTTTAAAATTTTGATAATATTTCTATGGGACTAATCTGTAAGTGTAATCTGATCAGTAGTTTCGTTTTAGAAAAACTAAACTAACCAGTTTTGTTACAATTGACGTCGGTTTTTTTGTGACACTTATCACACATCTTATATTTTATTTTACATATAATTAAGTACGGAAGATAAATAATAAATATGATTGTAAATACTATCTAAATAAAAAATAAGTGAGATTAGTAATAGTAGTAAGAATATATGAAGGGAAAACTTTAACACATGGTTTTTTCGCCTACCTACCTTAAAAAAATCTCGCGTCAAGATGAATTATTAGAAGATTAATAATCAGTTAAAACTAAAAATAATAAAGGAAGAACATTGAATTTCATTGACAATGAAGTCAATACAGAGAGTATTGCTTCCGAAACATTATTAAAGAAGTCAAGGTTTAATAATTTGTTGTGATCAAAGGAACAATGGCATCGCAATGTATACTGGATTCGTCACGGAAGACCACGTTAAGAATTGAACAAAAACATTCCTTTATTTAATAGACAAGTAAAATAAATTAATGGTTAGATAAAATAATTTACCTTAAGAAAAAAAAAATGCTGTGAAGCTAATCAACAAACCTTTGTATTGAAGTTTTACTAATTCCTTCCAAATGGTTGTACTAGAAATAAAATAACTTGTAAAACCATTATTATGAACTGGGTATTTTCTTATAACTAACATAATAATATTCATACATATAGATAGTATACCTAAAATCCTTTGTTAAAATAATAAATCTATTAAATTAGATATCTGCTTTTTACATGAGAATAGTACTTTTCTTAGCTAAAAGGAGTTTCTTGAATATCAGTAGAATGCGATAGCGTAGCTAAGAATACATTTATGTAAATATTAATGTTTAAAGAAATACGTTTTGTCAATAAGATGTAAACAAATTTTCTTGTAAAACAATAAAATTTCAAAAAAGAGCTTTTGTAAGGTCCTGTTTTTTAAAAGATTTAATTGTAGTTACTTAGTATATACTAAACTCAAGGCAAGTAATATGTACAAAACAAAAAAGTTAATTCAATAATTTTACTATTTAATTTCTTTGATCTTTAATTGGTGACAGCAGATATTTAGTTAATTTAATATTTAAAATTTGTACACAAATGTAATAAATATTTACCCATTGTATCTTGAGTGTATACAAATATGGAGCATGCAAGACCGCTGACCGAGTTAATATTGGAAGGTGGATCAGAAAATCTCACTGACACGTGAAATGGTTTTAAAAATTGGGGGCCTTCGTGAACGCGTCAAGATTGCAAAAAGAAGAAAAGATATACAAACAAATTTTTTTTTCTACTTTTCGAATCCTGAAGGTAGAAAATCATGATGTGGATGTTTTAATTAGTAAATATTATATCTTTGTCAAATAGACCAAATTTATTAATGTTTTGATTGCCCTTATAAAGTTACCATTGATTTTCCTAGGAATACTATTAAATTTAACAAAATGGTCTTAAAAAAATTATATAGAAAAAAAAACAAAAACGCGAAGAACTGTACTGACTAGCAGACAGTACAATCAACTCGATGTCGCATTTATGTTCTCATTGAGTTGTGGGCAGAGCAAATTCACGATCACTCGATAAAAACCGCTATTTTTTATTACTGGCCTTATAAATTTACTAGGGGCATGGCCTTCCTTATTGTAATTCATTCTACATGCTTCACAATGTTATTAAAAAAAATCATTAAATGTTTAAATCATTATCAAAAAAGTCTAAAAATCATATTTACAAATCCAACTTGACGTCATATAGCATGTTATGAATAAAATGTCATGTTCACCACCAAAAATATAGTATTTTTTCATATCACTAAAGTTTTTAACAGAAAGAACTTAAGTTATTCTACAGCTTTCGTAATTTCGCACATTTCTCTACGATATATAGACTTAATAGCATCTATTTTTATTAAAATAGGTTCATTTTAATAAAGGTCATTACAGAATTGACGAATGTAATACATACCAAATTTACCGTAATGTGTTCTATTAAAAAAACATTAAACTTTGCCATTAAACTATGTAACAATCATTAAACTATGTTAGTTTAATATGTGTAACATTATCGAAATAGGTACTTACATATTCACAGAAGATCGTTCAGATAATATTTACTATACGAAAATAAAGAATCATAAAATATATTGCATTGCACTAATCAATTCAAGATGGTTTAGTTTAATTTTATTTCCAATTAATCATAAATTAAAATAATGAAATTAATTAATTTTTTACTGGAGATTCATAATTTGTCTGTATTTTTTAATATGCATGTGACGCGATATTTTTGCTAATTGTGGACCGATTTTAATAATTCCTTTTGCAATTCGGTTTACTTCCGTGTTGGCTTCATGATAATTTTGTTTATAATAGTAGTTATTTCTTTAAATCTTACATGATTAGAAACGGTTAATGCCGATCTATTTAAAACAACATTTATTTTATTTTAACCCAACAAATATTTCTGTAAAAAAAATATTACACCTTTTAAAATATTACCATAAAATATGATAAGAATTCACCTGATCCGATACACCCGACACTAATTTTTTCTACTCGAAACAAACAATAAAATAAAAACAACTCGTTATGTTTATGGGTTCTCACTCTTAACTGCACAATGCATATCTAATGCAAGATCCATCGTTTTGATGATTGATATTGATATCGGTACTCTTTCTGAGCATGAGATAAGACAGGTATTCTGTCACAATACTTACTCAGGCTGCGACCGCGCAAGGTCACGTTCTATGTCATTGCCTACGTTATCTCTTGACACCGGTGACAAAACCTCCAAACTATTCATTGGATTTCCATTATTTTTGTCAAATTGCAACACTGTCTGACCGCTGAAATGCCCGTTCGATGGAGTTGCAACATCTTCCGACAATGTGGCACTAGTCTCTTGTAAGGGTTCTACACCATAACTACTTGTAGAGTCTTGGTTGCGGTCCACATTAGATGCTCCTTTAGATTCCAATTGACTTTTTGTACGGAACGATAATTTTCTTGTGAGCGACATTTCGTTGTGAAAATATTTTAACAATATTTACATTACCCGTAAAGCTTTTATTTTTTGAAACAATCGAATAAATTATTCAGTTTAAATATTTCATAACACAAATAACGACAATTTTAACGACATCAACAGAAATACTAAATTTGTACAAGTGATAACATTATGAATACCTCGACCCTGCTTTTGATAATTGAACTTGTTTGTCATTTCAATACAACCAAATTTAATGAGTAATTAAATAATTGTTATCATTAAAATTTAATTAAGTTATCATTTAAAATGTACGTACATACCTGTCTCCGGATAGAGACAGCCGTGGCGAAGGTTCACTATTGACTGATTTCGCGAAACGACGCCGACCGCTGGTCAACCGACGGAAATCCAGTCGAAACTTCTTTTCGTCGTTCTTCTTGTTCCACGGAAGTAAATGCATATTTACATGTGTAGGCTCGAATATTTTCAGAGAACAGAAAACATGTCCTCACCACGTCAGTTCACACATACATTTGTGCGGTCATTTATTGAAAATGGATCGTCAGTACGGCGCATAAATTACCATACCTAACATTACACTTTACGCGCTCTAAATGGGAATACACTCCATTAGTATTGTTTCAATATAATGATGTGATTCTTGTGAAACGAATAATACCTACACAATTAGATGTTAAGTAAATAATATATAGATAATCCAGTGTACAATATTTTTTTAATAAACCTTAAATGTATACAGGTGACATCGAAAGTAATAAAAAAAATTTAAAATTAAATTTGCATTCTTTGAATAGCTAAAGCTATCGATTTAAAATTGAAGTAGTTTTGGAAATTATAGTTAAGCTATTCTTATTTTATACACATATATTCGCACAGGTAGGTAGGAAGAAATAAAATACAGTCCATATTACTCGTTGGTAATGTAGCTTTCTGAGGGAAAGGAATTAGTAATTGAGTCTAACAGCCCCATTGCTAACCATGTACTCTATCAGGTCGACCTACACGTGGTTCCCGGTTAATTATTGTGGAAATCGTCACGATGGGCTAACTGACCTGCTTGAGGGAAGGGATTGTTAGTAATGGAGTCTAACTGACCCATTGCCAGCAATACACCCTATCAGATTTCTACGCGGTTCCCCCTGGAAACTATCGTGGTTAATTTTAGTAAAATTTGTCACGATGGGCTAACTGACCTGCCTTTTCATTCTCACCTATCGTCCATCACTGGTGCTCCGCCACTGTATACTGTTAGCGCAGGCGGGGCTACCGTTCCATTAGCATTCATTAAAAAAAGGGACCTGCTTTCATCATCATCTATCATCTTACACTGGTGCCTCGTCAGCGTAAACCAATAGCGCAGACATATATATATATATATATATATATATATATATATATATATATATATATATATATATATATATATATATATATATATATATATATATATATATATATATATATATATATATATATATTCTTTATTGCAGTTGTAAAAAGATATAGATATAGAGACTGGTTTAACAACTTTTTAGTAAGGATGGGTTTATCTCTGAAAGAGATCTTTTCAAGCAAATCCAGTGCAGAGAAAGAAAATGATTAGCGGGTCATCTAAAGCGGGAGTCGTGCGGGAAAGTTACAAGAAATAAAGTAACTTAGCGTAAATACAAAATAAGCAGAATACAAATAAAATAAATATACACAAATTGTAAAGAAATATATGTATATGTACAAAAACATAATAAATGATCACAAATAATAATAATATAAGATCAGGTGGTTAAGACGAACAATTAACGGAAGCACGTTCTGAAGGATGGCAGTAAGGACATCTGTCGGGCATGTCACCATCTCAGAGAGTCACTCAGACATGCACTTTCGGGTTGTTCAGCTCTTGCCAACACTGAGTACTTGCACAGACACAACCAGGTAGTCAAAATACTCCATCAAGAGCTAGCTCTGAAGTACGACCTCGCGAATGAGGTTGCCTTACTATAAGTACAAGCCACAGCCTGTCTTCGAAAGCGACAGCGTCAGGCTCTACTGGGACCGATCCATCATCACGGACAGGACAGTTCTTGCGAACAAACCTGATATCGTGGTGATGAATCGGGCACTCTCGAAAGTGTTTTTGGTGGCTGTCACCATACCGCATAACGAGAACTTCGTGAAAGCCGAAACCAAAGAAAATATCTCGACTTGGCTCACGAGGTGACCGAAATGAAGGTGGTGGCGTTCACCGAAATCATTCCAAACGTTTTGTCGGTGAACGGTCTTATGTCAACTAGTCTAGAACAACATTTCAGACGATTGGCATTCCGAGGCGGCTCAGTACTGGGAAAGATGTAAGTGGTGCTCTTAGATATTGCCCGCATTGTACGCCAGTTTCTCGCTCTGAGGCTCTGAACCCCGGCCGACTATGCTTTCGCCGGGGTTTTTTTTTTTAATGGATGATAATGGAATGGTTACCCCGCCTGCGCTAACAGTATACGCTGGCGGGGTACCAGTGAGGGATCATATGTGAGAATGAAAAAAACAAGTCAGTTAGCCCATTGTGATAAATACACTTGGAATCACCAGAGGGAGACTTTGTACAAAAGTCGATTGCTCGGGTACCTCTGTTCCATTCGTGTTTCAACCGTGAAGCAGCTGTGTTTGCATGGCTGCGTTTCGGTTTGAAGGGTGGGATATGGCAGTGAATTTACTGGGTACAGAGGAATAACACCTGAGTCCTCAGGAATGGCAACGCATGGGCGGTATCATGGGCGAAACAGTATACTCTGTTATGTCCATGATACTGCTAATGTCTATAGGCGACGGTTACCACTTTCCATCAGGTGGGCCGTCAGCTTGTTTGCCATTTGAAGTTGTATAAAAAAAAAAGAATTCAGCACGATGGTTTCTAGGGGGGACTACGTGGAGGTCGACCTGGATGGGTATATTGCTAGTATTAGGACCCTTAGTCTCTATTACTAACAATCCCTTCTCCCCTCCGCTGGGAGTTAGTTTGCCATCTCCTCTCCTTAAGAGGGGGATGTGAATATTGTAAAAATAAAAAAAAATCATCCTCATCATATCAGCCTTTAATTTTTCGCTGTTGAACATAAGCCCCCCTCTTGGGGGGTTTTGCCAGTAGTTGCCATACTTGGCAGGCGTATTGGCAACCGCAGTTAGGCTTTAAAGAGGGACGCTGCTGCCCATCCCTTGCCTTCCCTTAGTCGCCTTTTACGACACCCACGGGACGGAAAAGAAAGGGATGACCTATTCTATTCCGGGACCACACGGCAAGAAATAATGATCATTAAATATATTATAAAGTGTAGAGAGGACGCATATCACATCCAAGTCGGATTGGGATCTATTTTAATTGTGCGCGAAAAACGCCCAGTTAAAATAATATTAGATTGAAACTTTTGCTAAAACCAGATAGATTTGTTCTGCAGTTTCTCTCACTGGATAATTTGATCTCGGATAGTAGATGTTTCTATTCTGTTGATATTTTCCACTGCGCTTTTAATTCATTGACGTATTAACAACCTCAGTAAAAAATAATCAAATAACACATAATAATCTATAATAATAGTAATCATAACTAAACGTAGCAAAAATTGTGGCATATAAGCGAAAGTAAGGAATATTGGACCGGCAACTAAATTGGACCATCCACATATCTTAAAAAGTAGTTTTTCAATATTAATATTGCTAACACCAAGCGATTTGCGTATAAATTAATTACACATTAGCTATATTTTTTTCGACGTGACACGGAACGTTTGTATTTTGTTATGAAAAATCCATTTTTGTTATTTTTAATGTTAATTTTATCGATCCGTGCTAAGAATGTAGTTAAGTTAAAGGTAAATCTAGAGTTTTGTTATTTATGGTTTAGCAGTATCATTTCATGTACAATGAATATATGCAAAACGACTACCAGCATTTGTAGGTTATATTTAATTAGATTTATTGTAAGATATATCCACTATGTTGGTTAAAATGGACCACAAACAGTTAGTTAAAATTGATTGTTCCAATTTACCGTACCTTAGACTGTATCTTAGAATGGCAAACAAGCGGACGGCCCACCTGATTAAAAATGAATACTGTCGTCTGTAGCATGAACAGTATAGACACAAAATGCTACAAAGGACTACTACAATGAACGTAAAAAGGAAAAAAAAAAAGAGTCAATAAGAGTGCTAGTGATGAATCTGATAATGAAGGACAAAATCCTTGTTTTGAACGATTCCGATAGCAACCTTTAATCAGAAGACAAGGAGAATGAATGTAACAAATGAAAAAGAAATTACTATAATAAAAAAAGTCTCAAAGTTGATTGGATTCAGTATATACGTTATCATAATTGAAATCACGAAATTTATACCTAAAATGGCTACAATTGCAATGATTATACTATATGAAGACCTTTAAATATTCTTACGGATCTGGATAAATTGGAACAGAACTCAGTTGTCACATTTTGTTGATTATTGAAATATATTTAAAATGTTGTTGATTAATAGATACTTAATAAATGCAACGCATAGGTAATAATAATTTATTTACATTGTACACTACACATTGATAAAAATCTATAAAATATACTTAAAGCGCATTTGAAAAAAAATGGTCCAAATTACCAGACTTTCCCTTGTTACCTACTTATCTATACTAATATATAAAGAGGAAAGATTTGTTTGGAGGTGCTAATTTCTGGAACTATCATTTATATTTGAAAAAAATATTTTTGTATTTGATAGCTTAATTTTTGAAGAAGGATACCCTTGACGATATGATCACGGACAAGGCTGGATATAGCTACTCATCAATAAAGACGTTTATTTAAACTTTTGTTTATTGTAAACTATATTCTCTCTCTCTCTCTTTTTTATTTAATATGTTAACGTAGTAGGTAATTAAGTAAACAGAAAAACAAACATATAAATAAAGGTTTTGTGTCAAATAAATTTAAATGGGACAGTCTTTTACTGCCGACTGTATGTAGGTACCGACAGAATTAGTTCTGTGTTTTTGCTCTTTTAATAATTAAGGCGTCTTAAAATTTACGATCATCAAATATCAAGGATCAATGACTTCCAGAAACAAGGTAGGTATACAAAAGGGCGACTACTGGCATTTAAGTAGACTACTTGGTTAAGGTATACAGCATCATCATAACCTTGTCCTTACGCGGTTATTACCTTATTGGGATTCAATGCAGTAATTCTATAACTAATGGATTAAATTTATGTTTATTTCATTATTATCTGCACCCGTTTTTCTCTTGTTATCTCAAAGAACGTTTCAAATTCATCTCCTCGATTCATTTTCTAATACTATACTCTTCCGAAAACCTTTCCGTTGTGAGTTCTTCTCATTGCATTAAATTTTATCACAATTCCTTCTCTGTTTCTAACGTTAAATTATTGTATTGTCTGTTGTTATTAGAAGTATAAAATCCACTGATACGTTACCCTAATGTTGTCTTGAAAAGATTGCTTTCGGCAATATGACCACCTTACTGCACTTAATACAATTATACAACTGTATCGTTATATTTAATAATTGTCTTGCTTATTCCCTATATTGTATAATGCAAATAAAGTATACTATTCATTCGTTCGTGCTCTATTTCGCTAGGATTTTCGACTTGATGTAAACTAATTAGTATGTAGAAGAAAAATGTATACTAAGATTATTACGGCGCGATAAACGATCAATCATAAGAGCGTTTCCTTTCCCAGGACAGTAAAAGTTGACTAGTAATTTCAGTTACCTTATCCAGGGTTACAATCGCCAGGATAAAGAAAATACAAAAATATCAATATAGATATTACCTTACTATTACAAAGTAGGTACTTGTACTTTGTTATAATCGACCCAGTTACACTGTAGCTACTTATTGCGAACAATAAGTGGAAACAATGACTTTCCCATAACAATAGAATTTCAAAATTATTGAAAGAAATAATTTGGCATACAAGACTGACTTCTTAATTCATGATTAGTGGACAAAATATTAGGAGTGAAAGCGACGGCATATAGATTATAGGTGGACAACGTGAACATTAACAAATACTGTGCCATTTATGACATGCATTTTTAAGGTTTTGTGGGATGAAAATGGACACCTGCTGTTATTAGTGTACGCTTGAAGGATGTTAAAAGATAATAAGTGAAAGCATGGTTGCCAGATGCAAGTTTTACGCAAATGTCAAATATTTTTTCTCCAAATGGATACGACTTCCTTCACTTTCAGCCAAGCGCAAACTACGTTTTGCCATGAATCACAACAATGAAACGACGCGAAGCGAAAAAAAATGGTCCACCTGTATGTTTCTACTTTTAGTTTCTTTGTATTACTCCATCTGCTGTTTTGTTACCTTCTATCATTTATTTGTATATCGCTATATAATTTACAAGTACCAAAATGGCCAAAAAATTTGCCCAAATATCTTCAAGTCCATTTCACTTTTCTCTAAAAATTTTTTAAAATATCTAATAACATATTTTTTTTTTATCTTAAATTGTGAATAATACCCTATTTGGCAACACCGAGGAAGGGTGAATTTAAATCAATTGGCTCTTCGTAATTTGTTTACCAGAAATTAACCACTATGGGTCCTGGAGAAACTACTTAGGCTATCCTATTTGTTATTTTGAGTGTACCTTATAATAGACTTGTTAGAATGGAGTCACGTACGTAATGAATGAGGCATTTAATCAAATCCAATTAAATTCAATTTGCGCGTCTACTGAATAATTAGTTGCATTCCTAATGTCAGTATAACATTTCTGACAATGTACCTACTAATAAAAATAAAATGATGATGTTAGAAATCTCTGACATAAGTGTTCAGAGCAATAAGACATATAAATTGCATTGCAATATATTCGAATAATAATATATTTACATAATCAATAATGCTGGACTTTTGCTAGTTTACTTTTGCATTAGATAATATAATTAAAGTACTAAACAGCTAATGAACAATTCTGTATTATATTACATTAAAAAGGGGTTATACAAAAACATTGATAAAAAATGAACATTTATTAAAAAAACTTATTCTATTTTAATACAATTTGTATTGTTAGAATAACAAGACTTGCCAATTACTAAACTTGGCTCTTAAATAATTGTATAGTTCTGTAAATATTTTGTTGAAGTTGACATATTAGGATTAACATAAAGATCTGTTTAAAGAATCTTACTTTATAACCTAAACCTAATTATAAATAATTCATGGTGATAAATAATGGTGGATTTATTAAAATATACCATATAAAAGCTACATGATAGTCTAACCAATCTCAGGAGGCAGTTTATTGTTACTTTGTACACAAACATTTTATTTTAAAATAATCACAAGAACCAGAAGCACTACTACTTATCAATTTCTCCAATTAAAATTATTTAAGAGGAGATAGATCATGAATTTACTAATTACTAATGTGACATAATTTTTTTTCTTAACAAATAATGTTTTATACTATTAGTCTTCCATTAACTAGTCAGGTATTGTACTAAAAATTTAATAAATATTTATAAATCAATTTTCTGACTCACAAAAAATATTATATTAATACTATTGGCAACATTTTAGTTGCATAACACTGTACCAAGTCATAGGAAATTCTAATGATTCATAAATACTGATTGTATGTCACAATGAGTTAGTAATCTAACTATATAATATAAACAATTATATTTGTTTTAATAAACAAATTAGTCAGTAGGAATGATAATAAATATCTTCTCATCACCATTATAAATGCAGAGCACTTTTTTGTGCTTTTTAAATATAAATTATCATAAACAAAAATATGCACTACAGGAATGTATAAATGGACGAAAATTCTTTAAGTATTATAAAACTAAGTTCACTAATAACAATAGTAGAAAAGAATGTTTAGATATGTTGAAAATATTAGGTATCTTAAGCCAATATGCTGACTTCTATAGAGGTATATCAACCACTGAGCTTCAGTCTTTTAATCAATTTAAGTTTTTCAGTGAACACCTCTTAGCTGCACATAAGGGTGGGTGTGTACCGTGTCACATTTTGGTTGTTGCCTCCAAGGAGCGCAATAGGGGCGCTCGGGCCATATACTAGAACCTATCCTTCGATGAATGCATGTCATTGGTAGCTAAGTACTGTAGCTCCTGCAATTCTTGAAACTTGTCATGATCACGAATATGTGCATAATTAGCAGACAAACACATCAAGTAATGCACTAAACTTAAAATCACAAGCACACATGAAACCATCGCAAGTATAAACATAAACTCTGCTTTCTCAACATAATCTTTACAAAATAATTTAACTTTGTGTGCTTCACATATTTTCATATCTTCTTGTTTAACTGTAGACGGAAACATGAAGTCAAATTGGGTGAAATCAATGCAAGTCATTAATTCTATATTTTTCGGTTTCGAACAGAGCTTCCAAAATATGGTAAAGAGAAATGTTGTTATGACCAGGAATCCCAATAATATAATCCATACGAACGTGAGAATGTAAGTGATAATCATAAATACTGCGCATGATATCCTTCCACCGACTCGCGCTCTCCAAGCCCTATATACTTTTTGTCTCGTAGCACCTGTTGTTAGGCAACCCAAACATAGTAACATAAATCCTAATGCTGCCATACAAGCACTTCCAACAATAAAAATCATTTGCAGGGCTTCAATCCATATGAGTCGAAAGTGAAATACTTCGTCGAACATCAATATAGATAGAGCGGATCCTCGGTACATAGTGCCACAAAATACCCCCACGCCCAAACAACACATAATTGTAGCAATAAGGGTTGCATGAGGAACCCTCGTAAGACAAGCTTGACACGCATCACCCATTATAATACCAATTTTCTTGATTAATACAGTCGATAATACTTGAAATTAATTAATATTGTTATAATTTATTACGATTCACCATTACAAAACACATTACAAAGTGGCTGAATGAGAAAGCAAAAGATAATCAGTTCACAGAACACAATCCGTTCAATTTGGAATCAGCACAGAGTAGTTCAGAGTACTTTATTATAAGTTTGTCTACGATGCGTTGTCAGTTCAAGCAGTCAGCCATATACATCAAAATCTTTGTACGTAGAATGGAATTAATAGAAACAAATTTAAAACTTCATTTCAATTTTTACAAGTTAATCTAGTATTTTTTTCAAGTTATAGTAACATGTAATGATTACAGAGAGAATTCGGGAACTTAATCTTTAAAATTTCATATATTATCAATTAAATCGCTTGGTTTTCTTAGTCTTTTAAAATGTGTTCATTTCTATACGTTCAAAGATAGAGATGAATAGAAATGAGAGAATGGTTAATAGAAAATTTAGCATAGATTGTCACTTTTGTGAAGTTAAGTAGTACCAATGTACGTAAATAGATACTCTTATTTATTAATCTTATATTAGGCAACAAATATATGTAAACAAGTTTGGTGTCTCTTTATATCTTAGTAATAGTGTATAAAATGAAAAAAGTAGCTAGCATAAAAAAATAAATATATAAAATCATTTTCTCACTTAATAATATATTTTCTAATATTAAGGCCTTAAATATGAAATCCTTTATATTGTAAAAAAGGCCTTAATGTTTTTCTATTCACCCCGCGAATTCTATTAATCTCATTCTTCTGTACTGGATTACGTAGTATAAGTATAAATCAGGTGAATGTTACTTAAAATGAAAAGTTTGCAATAAGTCTATGTAACTAGTTAATTAAAATTGAAAATAGTGCATAAAACAGTACCTAGTACTTTTATAATATATATCGATGTCTATATTTTGGAAAGCGATATATACAAAATATTAATATAAAATTACGAATATTCATTTCCATATTTTATTGTGTTGACACTTATTTCCAGGTAGTTGCATAGAATTATTTTTCGGTTATTCATTATACACTCAGTGCCAACTCTTAAAAAATTCAAACTTCATTACTATCACTACTTGTTCTTACGTTTTTTTACTTTACACCTTGTTTATAAGGTATTTTGTTACGTTCTGTTACGAGTGCAAATGTTTTACTTTTGATTTATAATTATTAATTTGATTTTCCAGCAGTCTCTCAGAAATTAGTTTCATACTATTGTAACATTAACATTAAAAATCAAATATTATGGAAGTACTATACCATCAAACCAGTCAACTTATTCAAGAAACATCGGATTTATTTCAAAAGTTAGATAAGAACCCTGCAAATTGTGATGAAATAGAAAGTGCTATTCAATCAAAAATCAATGCAATCAGTGCGTAAGTGTAGCTATTTAATCAATAACGTAATTTATAAGCCTAAATATGTATAAACAGTTACCATATGCTCCCCCCTTAAAATGATAACTACAATACAGGGTTGCTAATTAATGTGTTAAACCTTTTTTTCTATGCAGCTTGGACAACATACAAAGTTTAGTCTCAAACGATTGAAAGTGATGACCATCATTAATAGACATGAATTGCATCACAGTCATTACAAAATACTTTGTTATTACTGTGATACTTCACAATCACATTCCTGTTAAATAGTGTGTGTTTGACTTTTAACCATGTAATTTCACTTCCATATTTCCCCTTTTAAATTAAAGTACTGTTATACAAGTTTGGTAGTGATATTTTGTTATTGTGCTTAATAAATAAGTTTTTAAATTAGTATTCCCCTCAGAATAATATTGATGGCTTAAATGTAATATATTCAATCGAGGATACAGTAGAATTTTGATTAGCCGAATCAAATAAAATTAGGGGTATTCTGTGTAATTGAAAATCTGGTTAATAGATTTTACAGTCGAGTCAAACAATACATAATTAAATTTTAATATTATTTTTATTATGTAAAGGGTTACATATATCATTTAGATAATATGATACATAAAAATATGAGCTATAAAGATAATGGTTTACATAATACCTATTTACCCAATTAATAACATTAATTGGTTAAATAGGTATTCTATTCATATTCATTTCTAAATCAGTAATTAGAACTGTGAACAATAAGTTTAGATATTACAATATTCAGATAATTGATGTTCAGATAATCAGAATTCTATTGTAATAAATAACTATTGAAGATGACTGAAATGATATAGAATGATATGATATAGAGAATGAAATGATATAGAGATATAAAAATAACAAAAAGTCCTTGTTACAAGTAATAATTTGCCTACAGAAACTGTGAAAAGTTGGACATATATGTGTATAAAACCCCAATCAATCAAAGGCCTATGGCCAAAATGAGAGTGGATCAATTGAAATATGACAATAAACATATTCAGGTAAATAATTTTATAAAACTGTAATAAAAGTTACTTTTTAGATCTAATGTAAACAATAAAATGTAACATTATTATCAATATATTTTTACATATTATTAGGATGGAGACAACTTATTTATTGATTAAAGTATGCCTTTATATTTAATGGAAAGTGGGAATCGATGACTATAGAAACGAATAGCACCATGAATATTACAGAGTATACTGTGTTGCCAATAAGGTGTTTAAGTAAATAAATAAAAAAACTGTAGTTTGTGAAATTTATATAATTATTAAATTAGATTATTAATAATAAACTAATGTAATAATTATTTAAATTTTATATAATTGTATATTTTATGTACATAAGTATAAATACCTATATCTTAGCTGATAATTCATTACATGATTCAAAGTCTTATTATTTACTATTTGGTACATTATTAATTTAATAATTTGATAGTTTGAATTTAAATTTTGTTGCATCCATCCTATTTTTTTATATTTTTAAAAGTTTTTATATATATTTATTTTTTTTAATGTAAAAAAAGTAAGTATGAAGTTGTGAAAGTCTTTAGTTACTATTAATATTTTATTAATTACATTAAGTATTCATTTATAACATTTAATTTGTTATAATTTTTGTAGGCTTCACTGACAAATTCACAAAGCAAACGAATAAGACGAGAACAAGAACGATTAGATAGAGAACAACTTTTAAATAGAAGATTTGGGCATGATCATACAGAGATCACTGTGGACTACTTGTCACAGGAACGTAATTCATTGCAAAATTCACATAGAAATGTTGATGAAATGATACACACAGGTTAGTTAATGATATATTTTATCATGCACTAGCTTTTTGCCTGTTACTTTATATGCGTGGATTTTAAAAATAGGAATAGCAATGAAATAGAGCACTTCTAGATGGCATATCAAATACCCTTATCACTTTTAACATAGTTTTATCCCAGAGTTAGAAGGAGGTTAGAAATCTTAATCGAAGGTGTAACAAATACCACGAGGACAAAGTTGTGGGCATCAGCTAGTATAAAAATAAGTGTCATAAAATTTCCATTTTATTCTTTATAAACTATCAAGAGATTTCTATTATTGTTATGTGGAAATTGCTAGCGTCATAAGTCATTAAAAACAGCGTTAAAAGAAATCATATAAAAGTATTATAATATTAATATCTAGCGACTTGCCCTGCTTTCGTACGGGTGCAAATTGTATACCTACCTACAAATTTTCCGTAAAAATTATCTAATAACACAAGAATAATTTAAGATTGTTTCACAGAAAAAATAGACTTCAATTGTGCCAAAGTTATTTTGATTAAAAACAAGGACAGTTAATTTAATTTAAAAACTGAGCTATAAATCGATTTTGATAAAATTTCTCTGAGACAAATGTGAATATATATTCTATCCGATAAAAAAAACTAAATTGGTTTATATCTGACGGAGTTATAACAAACAAAAAGAACCACTGGATTGAGAACTTCCTTCTTTTTTTTAAGTTGGTTGAAAACAATAGCGATTTATCATTGCTTCAGATGTGTAAAAAGTATATCTCCAATTTTTGAAAAAAACATACAGGTGAAGTATTTTTTTGTTTTTCCGTTTGGTACAAACAAAAAATCAATTTATAATATTGGTTCAAATAAAGCTGTAACATTAGTCAATTAAAATTGAATAAATCTTGTTGAAAGTATGTATAAATACGCGTAGATTCTCGGTACCATTATCTGTCTGAGTTTATTGCGCAGATATAGGTAACTAATAGGTTGTGGTGTAGCAAATACGTTATTAAAATAATCTTCGTTATTGCAAAGATACAAAGAGGTAACTTATAAATTGAACTTAGTGTCTATTCTACCGTCTACATTTTCTTTACACTGTCAGTCAGATTGGACCGGTTTCTGTACACATAAATACATTAAAATAAAAAACAAAAAATAAATGTTGTAGAATTGTTCGTATTTTCTAAATTACCATTTAAATTGTAAGTTAAAAATGTATAATAAACTTACCACATTATATTTCGTGACACTGTTTACACTTTGGATTAAACTTGATATGAGCGGTTCGTAGTAAATTAAAATTAAAACAACCGCGAGACTTAATACCAGCTCTCCGCATGAAGGTAGCTTATTTACATTTTATTAATTATACCTACTCTAAGAATAGGTTGCCTAGGTGTAACACATCGTTATTATATCTATTGGTGGTGTCGCGGCGCTACTGCCAGTTCTTCCTATCTGTATATACAAAATATATAAGAACAGTCATTATAATAATGACAGGTAGTGTCATAATTTTCAGATTTTATTTACGAAAAATGCTGCTCACATTTGTATAAAGTTCTAAAGTGGTCACTTGGTCAAATTTGTCAAAATGTCAAAGGGATTTTATAATACCTGTTTTTTTTATATTAACTTATGTCTTTGCCAATTCTAAATTAATTCTAATGATTCTTTTTGCAATTGATAGGGTCACTCTTGTGTTTACTGTAATCAACAGACTTCAAGGTTTTCAATTCGGTTGTATTTTTTTGTTTATGTTTGTTACCTCGTAACTCCGTCAGTTATAAACCAATTTAGAAAATTCTTTTTGTATTTGAAAGGCTATATTTATAGATGGGTCCCATAGAATGTCTATTAAAATTGGTTCAGTAATTTAATTTTTCCATCCAAATAACTGGTTTTACCACAATTGAAGTCGGTTTTGTGGACCACAATCTTAAATTATTGAAGTAATTGTTTTTTGTGTTTAAAATGTGATATGTCGAGTTCTTTTTTATGGGAAGAAAACTAATTGACGCTATTAAGTGATCACTGCAGCTCATTGAGTGAGCGACACCAGAGGATGTGACAATGCGATACCGACTTTTTTAAAAGATTATTAGAGGTCAAATTTGTTTCAATTCGGCGCGTAGTAACCACTGAATGTTGTTTTCAGTATACTCTATTATGTGTGCATAGTAGTTCGTAGTTGGCCTATAGACAACTAAGAATAAAGATTGTTATCACATTCTATCGAGTTGGCCGTCAGCTTGTTTGCCATTTTAAGTTGCAAAAAAAAACCACACCGGTAATAGTCGATAAATACTTACGACTTTGGTTATATTTTACACATTTATCTTCAAAAGTAGGATATTCTTAATTACACGATATCTTCTCTTCTTCGCGAATATTAGATAGATGTTTACAGTAATTTCTCTCATATTTATATATTTATATATATATATATATATATATATTGTGTTATAGTGTTTGTTATCGAACTCCTTTAAACGGCTTGACTGATTTTTAAGTTTTTTTTTTGTATATTTGGTATGTTTGAGAATAGGTAGTAGGCTATTTTTATACCCCTATGAGATAAAGGTGACCCACCCTAGAATTTTTTTATACAATTTTTTTATGTTTTTATGATTTAGCATCAAAAATACATACTTATATTTCAGTTATAAATAGATAGATAGATATATCGTTTATTTGTTTGTTACTAATCACACACAACATGACCTATACCTACTATATTTGTTATTTAACTACCAAAATATTCAGTAGAAATAATTTATATGGCAAAACAATGTTTGCCGGATCAACTAATTACGTAGTAAAATTATTATATCCATTTAATAAGTCGGTTAACGCGACAACGTAATGTTTCTATATTATTTATTACACGTGACTGTATACTTGAATATAAAGTATATATAGCCTCATTACTTATATTCACATTTTAATATTGAATTATTAAGTTTAAGTACCAACTGGTTATGTTAATTGATCATGTAGGTAAATAAGATGATAAATAGAATTGTTTTCCTGATTGATTTTTATTTTAGATGTTCAATAATAAGAATCAACAATAGGTAATTATATTTATGACAACTACACGACTATATCTAATCTTTAATTATTGTTATTAATGGGGACTAACAGTCCTATTGCTAGCTGTAGGGTGGGTATATTGCTTTGTCAGATCGACCTCTCTGAAGTGCGAAGTTTCAATTTCGATATCAGTCTACTGGAATTTATTTTAAGAATAACATATTTGAATTAAAAAAAAATTTTTTTTTCGTTATGTACGTACGAGTACTATTTCATATTGATATTCTCCGCTATTAGTAACACTCTGTATAATATTTACTAACCTCACCAGGTAAACTTAATTGGGTAATAACCTTTTACCATAAGTACTAATTATCGTAAAAGGTTAAGGCAAAGAACTTCCACATGCGGTTCTATTATATATAGTAGATGTTAACCCGCATGTATTAAGTTATCGTGAAGTACGTTTCATTGTGTTAATCTGTTCACCTCAATTAACGAATTGTATAAAAACATATATTTTCACAAATATACATCTATCTATACTTATAATAAATCTGTTAGGAGGTCAACTCTGTACATGAAATACATTTTCAAAATAACTATCAGGAGGTGATTAGTGATCGATACTGATGTCAAAAATGCAATCAGTAAAATTTTCGTCTGTCTGTATGTTCGTTATAGAAATTTATTTCTACTCGACTATAACTACTCGACGGACTTTAACGAAACTTGGTACAATTATTCTTTATACACCTGGGCAGGTTATAGTATACTTTTTATCACGCTACGACTAATAGGAGCAGAGCAATGAAGGGAAATGTTAGAAAAACGGGAGAAGTTACTCCATTTTTAAGCTTCCGTCGCGTGTGCAGCCCTAATGGCCACTTTTTAAAATGTAAAAATGTCCACCCGTGCGAAGACAGGACGGGCCGCTAGTGTTTATTAAGATAACAAGGTTAATTAGAATTTTTAATTTTTGTCACCATCAGGAAGTCATCAATCAGATTTTAATATTGCTCATTGTCGTATGTTCAAAGTCCTTTTAGAATTAAAGATGTGATTGTGTACAATATTGAGCTATACGAGTGTATTGATTTGGGAATAGCAGACATAGAAAATATATATTTTTGAAAATAAACCGTAAAGATCCAGCGCAATATTTTTAAGAGATACCTAGATATTTTAATATTTCATATTGCTTTAAATACAGTAATACGATACGATTTAAAGTTTAAATTTAAAGCGATCCAGAAATTCAGAGATGTAATCGTATTTGGGCAAACTAACAATATTCATAATCTTTATCATACTATTCTACTAACATTATAAGCGTGAATGTTAGTAAAGACGTTTGGATGCTTGTTACTCGATCAATACTCAGTGGCTGAATAAATTTAAATGAAATTCGGTACATGGATACGTTATTATGTTACATGTTATTAACATCGACTCATATTCTGTAGAAAATTATTGAAAAATGTTATTATCATAGGATATGTGATGGTGTTATGTGCATATTAATGCACGCGGACCAAGTTGCGGGTATCACTACATTATATGAAATTAAAACAATGAGTATGTCGATGAAATTTTGTGAATGTGTTATATAAATATATATTATATAAATATATAGTATATATATATATATATATATATATATATATATATATATATATATATATATATATATATATATATATATATATGTATATATATAATTTAGCAGAAAGTTATTTTCTACTTTAAATTACTTAAGTATTTGTTGAATGAAATGTCTACTATATAATTACATACAATATCTAAATTATCTGCTTACGACGATAACCTTCACGTCAGTTGTATTATTATATTACTAATACTAAAGTTTATAAAAACATTTGAATGTTTCTAAATATTTGTCACTGAACACGTTTGAAAGAAAGGTACACATGCCCTATCTTACCAATAGGAAATTTATTTTCCTAAATCACACGGGAACATAGATTTTGGTATTATCTACTTAGGTATAAGACAATATATAGGATAGGATAGTTTAGGAATATATATAGGGTAGGTTGTAATGATGATAATTAATGATGAAGTATCGTGTATATACATATATGTAGTCTAGAACATATATTACTTTTATATCAAAAATGCTCAAGTTTGAATCACTCGCGATCTACATCAATATGGCTAGACAACGATCAATTGACTCTAAGATGTTGCAAATATGTTTTTTTTTATTGGGGATTTTTTTTTAAATGAAATGGAATGGGAACTCCGCCTGCGCTAACGGTACGGCTGGCAGTGTTCTAGTGAGATGATTAATGAAGAAAAAAAGACAGGTCAGTTAGCTCATTGTGATGAATTTACCTGGAATTAAACATGATGGTTTCCACGGGGAACCGCGAGGAGGTCGACCTGACATCTCTTCCTCTTAGTTGCATGTGTGATGTAGAATTGTCATCTAGGTTGTATCGTGGCATAGATATTAGTTTTCTGCACAATATGTATTTTTTTAGTCAAGGTAAGTATAAGTCTGTTCTAAAATGTCAATGAAAAAATTCATAATTATTCAAAATTACGAGTTTATTGATTCTCACAAAACAAACGAGTTCTAGTCTAAAATTAACTATAGAGTGACTTTGGACTTTAAAGCGTGGCACTGTACGTCCTCAGCATATTTATCTTCAGATATAAAACATCAGAATTTTGTATCAAAGGCTTTGACATTATATTTGATATAATCTTCACTAAATCATTTTCAACAGAATATGAGTCCATGTTAAGCAGACTTGCAACATCAGTAGCTAATTCTTTAGTGTTTTTATACAAAAAAACTCATAAATGATGTGATATTTGCCAGTTTAATGAAATTATAAAAATGTATTTCAAATTGGCCCAAAATATTTTATAATTCTGTCTCATAAATATCATAATTCAACTATTAAATCCTCGCTTTCAAAGACGGAAAATGTTTCATATCCTTTTTAGATCTGTAAGTAAGTTGTAGTAATAAGTTGCAACTTAATTTTGAATACGTTTATTGCGCTAATCATTTCAAAAATGGGGTTTCCTTTACTTTAAGCTCCAAATTAAGTTTGTTTAAATGTATTGTGATTTCTGTAAAAGATGCCAAATCAGTCAGATAATTTCCGTTTTCCAATATCTGAGTGTCAGCAACTCTTTCGTCCAGAAAAGTTGTTATTTCTGGCAAAATAATTCCTGAAACCTTTCTAGGAATTTTCTGCGACTCAACCATCTGACATCCGTGTGAAGCACTAAATCAGTGTGTTCAGCTGACTTATTATCATTCTTCTGCAATTTAAAGAACCACCATTGCAAGGTGCGTGCACGCAAGCAAGCAAGCAACGTGCATGGATGGATTTCGCAATTTTTATTGCAATGCCCATAATCTCCTTCATGTTTAGAGTTTTAAGCACAAAATTTGTTGATGTATTATGCAATGGAAGGAGAAAATGAATAAAAAAAAAAAATGCCATAAGACCATTTTTGTTTCCTATCATTGCTGGTGCTCCAGCGATTGTAATGCACACTAGTTGGTAGTTTGTAGTTTATTACAAAATTGTAAAAAACCCCATATATATATTTTCGCCACGAGTTTTTTTTTTCAAAGAACTTGTTAAAAACCTGTCCTTAGCCGACATGTCATTGAATAACATTCGAATAAAAAATATATAGCTGAACAGTATCTGCCATATCGGTGAAATCGTCGAACTGTAAAGAAAAGTATGTACATTTTATGTTTTAGTTTATCTGCCATATCCTGACCTATGACTTCAATATGTGACAGTCGGGCGAGATAACTGAAGTACTCTAATATCAGACATAATCTCTGTTTTATTTTTAAAATCTCCAAATAAAGTCATCCGCTTCAATAAACGCTTTCTTCAGAACTGATTGATCTTAAAACGGTTTGAAGTGTTTCGATCGTTGCAGCTTTTCATTGTTTGGTTGGTCTTGTGAACATGGTTTGTTCTTTTTTCAAACAAGTTCACTTACTTTTTATTTTCTTAATTAACTCTGTGACGGAAAATCTTTTTCATACTTTTAATGAACCGTTTTATGCTGTTTCTCTAAGTTTCCACGTTTTTTTTAATGGAAGAAAATGGGGTGGTAACCCTGCCTGTGCTATCGATATACACTAGCAGGGCATTAGTGAGAGATGATAGGTGAGAATGAAAACAGGTTAGTTAGCCCATCGGGACAAATTCAAAAATTAATCACTATGGACTTATTACGATACAAGGAAGTCATGAGGGGGTTATTCTGGCCTAATTGAGGATCGAATAAATTTTAGTTGTTTATTAATTAATATTAAATGTGAGAATAATTCTATATCGGTTTGTTTTCCCGACATCGACTCGAAAAGCACGATCGACCGTTTGAGTACCCCTGTTCTACAAAATACGCAATAGTAATAAGACAATTACTCTGCTTTTTATTTCTCTCTAAATCTTCACGATAGCGCTTCCTTACGGCATAGGCAGAGTGTCAAGGATCTATATTATACACAGTTGTGTCTTGCCTTCTCCACTCCTCTACTTGTCATTAAACATGCTAATAATAACTTTTATATATATATATATATACATACGTATAGTATGCGCAACGCTTGCATGATGGATTTCGAATTTGTTGATTTTTTGTTGAATAAAAAAATATAATAATTTATATTACCTTATTATTCTTATATATAATAATATAGGTAATAAGTAATTTATTACCTAAATAGCTATATCAGAGTTCCAATTCTAAATATACGTAAGTACAAGTTTTATAAAGCGATACTTATTAGTCTTTTATAACACAAATTTTTCTCTACTCTAGCTTACGAGATTACTTGCTTACCTTATAGTTCATTAATTATTATATTTTTAAAGATATTTTGATGTTTATATGTTTGTAGTAGTAGGTGTAATAGAAAGTACAGGGATATTATAGCATTTCGAAATCTAGGATTCGTTAAAGTGAACAATTCTTCAGAAATATTTGAAATATGGAAATGTTTTGTAAAACAAACTGCACTCATATTGTGTATTTATATAGCTCTAAATGAAGGAACGTGCTAGTCGGAGAAAGATTAAATTATTGGTATTAAAAATTTTATATAACTCTAGAAAAGTATTGTTAAGGTGTTTTTGTCTATGGTTAAATTTAATAATTTATTTCTTATCAATTTCAGGTTCAAACATATTGGGCACACTGAGGGGCAACAGGGAAACATTGAAGGGCGCTCATAGAAGACTGATAGACTTGGCCAATACTTTAGGATTATCAAACGCCACTATTTCTTTGATAGAGAGAAGAGTATCACAAGACAAATACATACTGTTCGGTGGTATGTTTCTTACGTTGACCATTATTGTGCTTGTCATTATATACCTTACGTAGTCAATAATATTTTAAAGGAGAAAATATATAGATAAGTACAAGTAGGGGTGGGTTATATATTAAATTTATATATTTTAGTTACAATATCTATATACTCGTCCAATAACGAATATGTTAAGTTTGTTATCCAAAAAATAATATTGCATAACAGACTTCTAACATATTCTAAAATAGATATCCGACCGATATGGGCGATATCGAAATAGGTGATGACCTTTTTCCGCCATCAATGTCCAAAGAACATTGATGACACTTTATATAGAGATTTCTAGTTTCTATTAATTATATTAGAATTTCTCTCCAACCTATAATTTTTTATTAATAAATATTTCACTTGCTTTAAATATATTTGAATTATATCAGTACAGTAATTTTCAATAAATGTGAAGCAAAATTGTTTTGGGCCGTGATTAATATGAAACAGTAAAGTTAATTGCAAAAGTAAGAATACTATATACTATTAATTTATGAAAAATATATATCAACTATCTGCCCGAGACAGCTTTTGTCCACTCAGATTTCACATTACGTAAATGTAGAAATTTTTAGCTGTTTAATAAAAGTTATTTATATTGTATGCAATTGATTTAAACTCATATCCAAAGTCTAAAATATGTTCGAAATTATATACATAATCTTAAAAATAAATTAATTTAACTTGGGTAATAGTGGTTATTATTATGTTGCCCTTCTGGTTATATAATATAGTTTCAACTAGCACAGAAACTATATTAAAATACAATTATATAGGTTAAGATAAATAAAAACACTAACAGCAATTATAGAACAATAACTAATTTATAATTAGTTGCTTAGATAGGTTGTGTGCTAGTTGTGACTCGATATAACAAAGTATAATGGTTCTGAAACGCAACGTAAGACATTATTATAATACCTGTCGGCCAATCGTCTAGAGTTGTAACTAGTCGACATTCTAGTTTGTGACCGACAGTCTAATTGTCTAGGCACTAATTTATTTATTGTCCGAACTATTCTAGTTTATCTATTGTTTTCATTTTATAAGATATTCTTAGGAAATGGTTCCTACTGTATTTTATATGCAGGCATATTATTATTTTGATAATAATTAAAAATGTTTGCAATGATTTTTCATGTGTAATGTATGCATTAATCTTTGTTAGATGTGTTATATGATTACTTTTTTATATTAAGTCATTAAATAATGCGTATCATAGATACATATTATTTCATTAAATGGGGTATCATTTCGCTTGTATTGTACAACTTTGTACTAGACAAAGTTGCGGGTAAATAATTGTACATATACCAGTGTTTATAAGTTGTTAATATTATTATTACAAAGTAAAAAAATATGCAAAAGTCCAACGTGTTTGTTATTCGGTAATATGTCACCGTGATTTATATTTTACACCCATATCAGCTACGCTACACGCCTACACTTTTCTGACTCGACATTTTTATTGGCTGACTGAAAATAAATAGACGTGGACTGTGATATTATAATGGACTTACAGTTCCATAATTTTGGATAAGTATGTGTTTATCATAAATTAAACATTTCTGAGTTGGATAGATATTATCTAATTATATTTAGTACATTGTTAAGATTTTATTATTGTTTGAATTTTAAGTTTTAAATTTCTATTTAGTGTTTCACTTCCTTATGCACACTAAGCCATTGTAGTTTTAGGAATATATTTAAAATATTTATCAGTTGCCTTAGGCTAGAGAAAAGTATTTGTAATACATATATTATTGATCTATGTTAATATTCATGTACAATTTACGAGTATGTTTATTTATTAAAATTATTATTGAAATTCCATATTAGTATCAACTGTATTTAGAAATAAATATAAGCAGATTATGTGGACATATTTAAAACGACAAAAATATAAGCTATTGTATACATTTATTTGTAATTCACAAATGCCTATATGAATTTTATTCAGACCACAATCGAATTTTTAAGTATAAAAGGGCGTCTTTGTGTCACAGTGATATGTCAAATAGAAAATAAAGGGATAGATATTAATAATAACTTGTACAAATATGTTAAACATTTAAAAATAAACATGTTATACTGTTACCGTAAATTTATGGCTATAGAGTAACTATTTTTAATATATTGTTTTAATTTTGCAATGTTGTTTTATATGCTTTGTGTGTAGGTACGTATCAAATGTACAAATGAATTCGTACATACTTTTACTGTAATTTCCAGTGCTGAGTTTGTTAAAATCATGGTTATGCAATAAAGTTATTATTATTATTAAAGTCGCATAAGAGAAGAGAAAATATTGTTCTTCTTTTATCAGCGTTCATATTTCAAAAAGGAATCTAATATGCGACCAAAATAAACACAAATATTTGATAATTATAGAAATTAAGAGTGAAGAAAATAAACAGTACTAACGTCTCGACATTCTATGATATTCCATAACATTTTGTAATAAATTTGACTGTCGTGATCTACATGGTAAGTAGTACCCACAATTTACGAGACCGCAACTCGTGAGTTCGGATCGGCCCTATATAAAAACTATGAATTTATGTGACATAAATAACAAACCAAAATAATCGGAATGATTGCCACATTGAAACCTAAAATGCTTGGCATTCTAGGCATGATAAGTGTTATGTTCATCATACGGCAACTGTGTCCCTCGGATTATCCCGTTAAGGATCATAGTTGTGAGTATACTTATTATAATGTATTAAACGGTTTTATAATTGTCAATTCATCTGCCTATATTATGCCTTGACTATGTTATGATAGTCTATGAAAATTAATTGGCCCATAACAAATAAGTACATTATTGTAAAAATAAATACATTTTAAAAACAATATAATTTATATAAAAAAAAAAAAGATAATTATACTAAATCACTGAATATATGCATTCATTAAGTTTCTTTTTTGTCTGAGTCGCAACATGGCTTGATAGGTTCAACGTGAGAGCAGGAGAACGCTACATCTTCTTCTTTACGTGGAGCACATGGTCCTGTGGCCTCTTGTGGATTCACGCAAGACTCCACCGTTGTGGACAATTGTGGATAATGCGACACTCTTGTAGCTGCTGGTGATATCTCGGGTACATCGCTACGTAACTTCTTAATTTTTTCATACGCGTTCGGTGAAAGACGCATGTGCTCTGGTACCTATAATGAAAAATTTTGAGTCGAAGATTTTTTATAGCCCGCTGCCTTGATTTCTCAAACTGTTTTCGAAACACTACAGTATTAGCCTTAATTTGTACGTATGAAAAGTTAAAACCTAGTAATGGTATAGTATTCATGAAATGAAGTTGAGCGAGTCTAAATGTATAATATTAATTTAAAACATCTAGTTTTTTTGTGATCTCAAATGTGTTTTAATTATTTATTATTTACTTTCTGTTTTACGAACACCTCAAAAAAAAAAATTAAAAATTTACTTATTTTTTTAATAGATATCAAGTACCTGTTTGCAATCAACTTCATAAGTTCCAAGATATCCTGGTAACTGTGGCTTATCACTACTCTCCTCTCCGGTACCATTGAGTAGCTGTGCGCTAGGTATGATTTCGTATGGACATTCATCTCGAGCGCGTCGCTCTTCGCGTTCTTTTGTGTTCTATAATTGTAAGTAAATTCAATAAGTTGAACTGACTAGACCCTATGATTAGCCGTCTAGTCAGTGATAATAGCAAGTTTAATTCATAATTAATTTTTTGTTTCTTAATTTGGCTCTCCATATTACTCTCACGTTTAAAATGTTATTGAAATGAGTTGGTTAACCAAATGTTATGCTATTTGCATGAATTTTAAATTATCTATATTGTAAAATATGCATCAATAAGTATAAGTACCTTAAAAGCATTTTTATAGACAACATGGAATGGCAAATAAGCTGACTGCTGAATGTGGGCAAACGGACTAATGGAAAGTGCTTGATAACCACTGCCTATAAATATGAACATTGACGTCCATGGTAATCACCATGCGTTGTTATTCCGAAATACTGATTTTATAATAACCATAACGAAGTTTTTTTAATTACTTATGAAATTCATTAATTCTGATAACTTACACTAGCTAAAAAATAAGATGACATATCTCATAATCTTACGTAATACCTACAGTGTAAATTTCAATATTTATGAACGTACATAAATCATTAATGATGCGTCTTATAAACAGTAATTGCTTTTAAATAATGTTTAATTATTTTATGTTATTTAGATCATGGATTTTTTCCTGTCATTCATTCTCAATCATATAGGTACATAAATACATAGTACGATAATAATAGCTAATGACACTAACACATAACACTCTAACAATAGAACTCCTCTGGTGAATATAGGTAAATAGATTCTAGTCTGTAATATGATTTTTTCATTCGTCTCGATAATAGAAAAAAATTCAATTAGGTAAGTACCTATGGGATTTTAAAATTTAATAAATCTTAAATTTGATCAATATTTTGGTATTATACATTACCGTTGTCTTAACTTAGTATACATAAAATACAAAAAAAAATCCTGATTCAAAATTGAGTAGCGACTTTTAGAACAGTTCAAATCCTTATACGTAGGATATATAAATATTTCTGTATTATTTATATACAATTATCTAGGAAATTTTTTTTGTTGGAAGAAAATGGATTGATAACCCCGCCTGCGCTAACGGGATACGCTGGCGGAGCACCAGTGAAGGGTGATAGATGAGAATGAAAACAGGCCAGTTAGCCTATCATGATGAATTAATCAGGAATTAACCATGATAGTTTACAGGGGGAACCGCGTGGAGGTCGACCTGGTTAGATATATTGCTAGCAATGGGATTCTTAGTCTCCATTACTAACAATCCCTTTCCCCCCCAAATTATCTGGGATTAGCTACTTATACATTTGTTTACAATTACAATACCATCAGAATGTCAATTACAATTGGTACAGTTAGATGGTATTGTAAATACTAGGAGGGTTTTGCTTATTGTTTGTACTACGGTGAATGCTCTGAAGAATCGAAGAGTTCCTATCCTATCTAATTCCTCTCTCTCCCTTTCGTAACAATACCTCGTATTCATAAAGAATTCCTTGGGTTGCTAATGGTAAATTTTGATGTTACTGTTCGAACATGTATAATCCATATCGGAGATATTTATTCTCCTTAACCTACCGGGTCTTTGCGCCTCTCACAGAAATCGTCGTTATCGTTAAAGTGCGACTGTTGTCCTGGCGGGTAGATGGGCTTGTCACGCGGTTCCCGGTGTTCGTCCGGCGCCGGCCCGCTGAAGCACACCATCTTCTGGTGGTCATCCTGAGCCGTCCCTGATTTTAGTATGCCTTTTAATGGCAGTATTTCGTCGCAAGTAGGTTTACTGCAAACGAAAATGGAATTACATTCCTATGATATACATAATATTAACATATCGTCATAGTCGTAGAATACTGACGGATCTTTATGTGTATCTTTGTCAGATCCGTCAGTATTCTACGACTATGACGATATGAAATACAAATATGTTAATGCATATTCTCTGACTGGGTGATCAGGACCAGGTAGTTTCGATACACTTACCTCTGTCTAGTTACGCGTAAAGAGTCATCATATGATATGACGTCTGTGGTCATCGGCGGTGTTGGCGGCCGCGGCGGGGTCGCACTGCCTTCGACCACGTCAAGAGCCATCAAACACCGCTCCATTGCATTGGGCTCAGCGACTGCTGCCTGCCCAATCTTGGCAAGCTGGGCTCTTGTCTCAGCAGCTTGTTCTTCGTTGATCGCTTGCTGTGTATATTTACACAAAGTTATAGAGAATATATGATGTTTTTTATTCTGGTCCGTCAATATGTCCCAGTCGGGGAGAAGGGATTGTTAGTAATGGGGATTAGCAACCCCATTGCTAGCAATAAACCCTATCAGGTCGACCTCCTCGCGGTTCCCCCTGGAAACCATCGTGATTGGTTTATTGTTGAATTTGTCACGATGGGCTAACTGACCTGCTTCACCCTCATCTATCATCCCTCACTGGTGTCCCGCCAGCGTATACCAATAGCGCAGGCGGGTTACCATTCCATTATCATACATTAAAAAAAATATGTCCCAGTCACGCGAACGAAGTTGCAGACATTTTCTAACAAAGATAAATAATTTTTTTATACATTACATATACATAACATCTACAATCTATATAAGATGGAATACTTATGTGTATTCTTAGTAGATATACATAAAAAAAGATTTATGAAAAGACATATTGTTGGCACTTTGTAGAAATGGGATTTCATCTTATAAATGACAGCACTTATGAGTTTTACTATACAAATATTACAAAATATTACGCCAGGCCAGACCCGACCTAGTCGGTTTCTTAGTTTATACTGCATTATGATAAGTATAAGTTTTCAACAGATAATCTAAAGCGAATGAGTTCCTACCTCTTGATAATATGGGAGAAAACGGATTAATAATGGGGTCTAACAGCCCCACTACTAGAAATACCTGATAGAGTACTATCAGGTCAACCTCTACGTGGTTCCCCCTGGAGACCATCTTAGTTAGCTCTTCGCCACAATGGGACTGCAACTGACCTGCTTTCATCCTCACCTATCAACTCTCCTTGGACCCCGCCAGCGTAAGCAAGTAAGTATAGCGCAAGCGGGGTTGCTAGTCCATTATCGTCCATTTAATAACCTGTGATAATGTTTTAATACAATAAGACCAGTCGGGTCATGTAATTTCTAGTAAAATAAAACCTGCAGATATAGTGTAAATAGTTACATTTTGAAGTATAAAAACTAGAATTGTTCTAATTACTTTTGAATTAGATATTATTTAGAAATACCTAATAATAATACATAATAATATAGAATTTTTTTTTATAAAAGCAAACTATCGTGCCTCCTTAGCGACTACACAACATGCCCATGAATGCATTCAACCGAAAAGAGAGTTAAGAATGAGAATATTTTATCTTCATACCTTCAATTCGTCTTTAAGATTCCCTTCTCGCATGTGGTAGTTTCTAACGTTATCGATCACCTCCTGCGGGAATTTCTCCGGATTGGCGCTCATGTACCGGTACACATATAAGTCACAGCCGATAATCTTGAAGCGGTGCTTGAACACCGGCACTATTGCACCTGCAGTTTTAATACAAAAACATAATGTAGTTTTAAATGAGATTATTTTAATAATGATAAAAATTTAGATAAACCTGGATAGTGGATAAAATATAATTGAATCTATTAAAGATTACTAAGTACGATATGTAAACATCAAGCGAGGTTTTCGGTACCAGCCCATGCTGTAAGCGGGAAATCCTCGGTACTTTCGATATTTATTTCAACTACTTATAAACTGTTGTTAAAACATCAAACGTGGATATTTTAAGAATATTAATTACAAATAAGGAAATTCCCGGGATTCTTAGCACCTTAATTTCCTACTACTATATAAAGTAAACTATCTAGAATTGAAAATAATTGTATTGGTAGGTATTGTCGGCAATATTAAGGTAATTTTACTGTTCCTATGTGGCTCTATACAATACTCATACAATTATCTATGATTGGCAATCCGCTCTGGTTCCGTATGAGTAGACAGAAAGATATTAAGCTTTAATAGGAAAATTTTTGATACCTTGGTTTACATTATTTGACATTATTTTATATATACAGCCTTATCTTATTTGCTAATAATGTAGTTTTCTATAGATGAAATTTTTTTTAAATGTCTAGTAGTTCTTGAGTATATCTACTATAAAAAAAAAAAACAAATCTTTCCTCTTTATAACATTTGTATAGATGTAGACTAATCCAGAGTCATTTCACTTATGACGTTAAATATATAGGTTACGTGCTTTAGGTTTTATTAAAGATTCAAATATAGGCACTAACATACACTCGAAAAACATTAGGAAGGCTCTCCCTTATTCGGCAATCGGGAAAAAAATTGGGCACTTAAGAGCAGGAATAAAGGTTGTTTGTGTGTGTAGTATATCTAATATATAAAATTCTCGTGTCGCGGTGTTTGTTACCAAACTCCTTCGAAACGGCTTTACCGATTTTTATGAAATTTTGTATGCATATCGGGTAGGTCTGAGAATCATCCAACATCTACTTTTCATACCCCTCAATGATAAGGGTGACCCACCCCTAATTTTTTTTTATTTTTTTGTCAAATTTTTTTATTTTATTGTGATTTAGCATTGAAAAATACATATCTACAAATTCAAATTTTTACACTTACGGTTAACCCCTACTGTTTAATCGCAATTTTTATATGCCGCAATAGGGCTGCAAGATGACAATCGAATATAATAATTGTAGTACGATATATTTTCATGTATAGTTTTAGAAGTAATGTATATGGTAAAACAACGTTTACCGAGTCAGCTAGTTATTCTATAATATAGTTCCAACACGTTTCATTAAGTGTGCCACTTACCATGGGCCATCACATTATTTTGTATTTCTGTAGTAAAAAATAAAAAGAGACAAATGATAGGATAGGTAGATCAATAACATCTAGATAGTGGCTGCCATATCATGACTGGTCAATATCATTATTTTTAAATGGCACGCTTTTAAAATTGTATTTTTTTTACAATTAATAATAATAACTATATTATACTTTCGGATTAATATATACTTATAGGTTATTAATGTATAATAATAGTGTAAAAGTACGTATGCAATGATTGCTCATCGTATTTCCATAGTCTCGGGGTAGCATTATTTATATCGCTCGGACTTTACAGAAATTTTAAATCTACTAAAATTTTCAATTTGTGTTGATTACACCTAAACGCGTTGAATTAGTACCTATAAGGATCAACATTTTTATCGTATTAGACCCATTTTTTTTTCTGATAATGCTCAATTTCCCTAGTAGAACATTCTCTTCCACGGATGTTAACGACTATGCGGAAAACTTAATCCGTCATGCTTTCAAAAGCCAAAGTACAGATGAGTCTATTGGTAGAATCGTTATCACTGTCGTAGCAACGAGCGCTGTTTCGTTCTCTCTCATGTGAAAGCTGATCGAAGCGATTCCATCAATAAATTCGTTTGTACTTTATCTAAGGAGGCATGACAGATTAAGTTTTCTGCAGAGTCAAATCAAAGATCGTTAATGTTTTTGGAAGAGAATTTTAGAAATTTTTAGAAATATTTTGTCTAGGACAGATGAATAGATAAGTATTTCTTTAGATAGAATATTAACCTATGTAAAACTTATCCGGCGTATAGTATGTTGGGAAGTTAGGGTCGGAGTCCGGCATTTGTAACCGCATCGGTTTCAAAAACTTTCCTTCACGAATACCAGAGTTACGTCGCGGTATCTCGCCGATCTTGACTGTGCCATCTGCTAAACTGTAAGCTAGTACGAAACGACGGCCATTGTCCTCTGGGTGGATCCAATCCAGCTCGCAAAGATAACGGAGATACTGGAAAATTAATTGAAATTAGTATTTTATATCCAGATAATCTTAAAAATCTAAACTGAGCATTTAGAAGTACAATTCAAATAAATCAGTATCTATAAAAATAACTTGGTGCAAATTTTGCACTTTCACCAGCATGGTGCTTAGTATATCTCCTCATTAGGTAATAGGGTTGAATTATAGAAGACCCGAGTGTAATTATTTACGTAGGAATTCAATAGTAAACTTGCTAACCCGACTAACATTATCCTATCCATTCTCATTATATTTTATTTCCTTAAAAACCTTAATCAGCCTATTGCCCAAGTACAGTAAATACATACATATTCTGTGCTATTAGAAATATTGAAAAAAATTTTGCTGAACCAGTTCAATTGTATATAAATCGAGCATATAATTTTTATTTATATAGATTGTTGTTGGATTGTTTTATGTATTTGCTCCCTACAAAATTAGTAACAGAACTTGGACTTAGTCGTCCTTGTTTCAATGCACTTTATAAAACTTCAGACGTCTGCTATCAAACAATTTATAGCAAGTTTGAGTTCGCAGCTTCCCCTCGACTCAATTAAACTTGCACCACTCAACAAAAGTCGCAAAGAAGCAAAGTCTCGCAGTTCGTATCATTTCTCCTATCTTTCAGTCTCGGATCGTTGTGCAACTTATTTCCTTGGCACCATACCTACAATATCAACACACTGGCATTCCATTTAAAATTATAGCAGCAATACAAGCAAGCTTGTGAAATTTATAAGGTTGGATACGCATCCCCAGGGAATACGTCTAGGTGCCTATGTTGACAGCCGTGACTCAAGTTAAATTCTCTATGCTTGTTTAGACACCAACGTGTAACAACATACATTTACTTACATGAATAAATATATTTAGTAAACGTTGTAGCACTGAAAATGTAATTTAAATTCATTCAAAGTAGATACTTAAAAGAAAGTTATTATATAGTATTCAAAACTATTTTTTAATGGGTGATAAGCGTATGGTAACCCCGCCTGCGCTATCGGTATTCATTGACGAGGCACCAGTGAGTAATTACGGATGAGAATGAAAACAGGCCAGTTAGCCCATCCTGACAAATCCAACTAAAATTAACCACGATGGTTTCCAAGGGCAACCACATGGAGGTCGACCTGACAGGGTATATTGCTAGTAAAGGGGTTATTTGACCCCATTACTAACAATCCTTTCTTCCCCCTTTCAAAAGTATTAGGTATTAGTAGGTAGTTAAAGGCAGCCTTTGCACTACTTGCAGCTGAAGCATGATTTGAATACATGTTCTTATATGGCCGGCAACGTCGTGTGTTTGTTTGCCACCTCGGTGGTATAAAAGAAAACTCAATTGAAATCTTCCTCATATTTACGACGGTAGCCAATTCTCATTAAGTGGACTGTCAGATTGATTGAAACAAAAATTAAGTACTGCACTCACCTTGTTTGCGTTGAGATTATATTTAATAATATCCTTATGTGGGGGTTTTGGTATCAGACCGAAGCAAGACTGTAATGTATCCTCTGGAGCACCTATACCAATATGAGGAGGTAGACTCTAAAAAAGAGAACACTAAGTAGATACTATACGAGTAAAGTATGAGATGTAATAAATAGATTCCAAGATGATTATAACTTGATTTTATGTCATGTTGCACACAAAAAACAACACATATATTTAACGGAATAAGAATAAAATGTGCCACTAGATCATTCATCCTGCAAAAAGTCATGAGAAACGGCTAAGGGAATAAAATACAAAATAATACTATGATTGGAAATGAAAGGTTCGGAAAGTTAAGGGTCATGTTTAACTAAAAAGGATGATAATCGGCATTGCTTCTGATTACTCCATCTGGGATAACAGTAATAATATAAACGAACATTTCATCCAATGTGTTCAATTAAAATAATATTCGTAAATATTTATACTAAAAAAAAATATAGGTCTCACTCATAATTAAATCATTAATTCAAATCAGCCGTTAACTGTCAATTGCTAAGCATAAGGCTCGATGCTACGCATGACAAGCGGGTTGGGAACCGCAGTTAGGTTTTTGATGATGTTTTAAAAGGGGCCCATTCCTAGACCTTTAAAGTTCCCTTAGTCGCCTCTTATCACCACTGTTACTAGACCAGCATAGGTACCCAAAGCCCATTCTATGCCAAGGTGGCCCATTCTTTTCATGACAATGTGTGATTATTATTACTCATTGACATAACATATTTTAAACATTTTTGCGGTTTATTGACTGGACATATTCAACTGAATATTTCCACGGTTACAGACAACTTAAAATAGCAATAAATTAAGAGCACACATTCACCTTAGGAAACTCCTTTGTTGTCTCATGGCGCACTTCTATGCGAGCTGGCTGGTCGATGTTTAACATCGTCCTAGTTGGTATACATGTAAAAAAATCAAATATGTCTTGATACAACTAGTAATTTTGTCTAGTTATAAATTCTTCTTAAACAGATTTGAAGTAAGAATGTACTTATGCTGAATTGATTCTGAATTTCATACTTACTTGTATATATAATCTTTAGTAGGTAATTATATTCTGACAGTCTAAACTCTATAGTTACCTATCTCTCACAATGAGGAAAGACATCAGTCTGTTTGCCATTCTAACTAGTATAAAAAATAGATACATAAGAAAGAAAAATTACGTTAGATAATTACAACTATGTATAGGCATTATTACACAGTCTACAAATGCTTCTTAGTACCCGAATAGGCATTACAATTGTAAACATATTTATTTATTTCTGCATAACTGGAAATTCAAATAACAATAAAAATATCCCTACCAGGTAGTTTCCGAAAGAAAATTAAATTTCTATAACTAAAATGCATTATATATTATAGATAATCAACAGGCACATTATATTAGATAGCACTGAAGTTGACATTTTCTATCCATTAGTTATTTCTATCCAGATATTTTACCTTGGGGTCGTCTGCCTTTTAATTCGCCTTTTTTTCGATTGATTTTTTTTATTTGAACCATTATTATGTATATTATACGACTATAATGATTTATGCATTTGCTAGGAATGTATTTCATTATACCTAATATTTATAAATTAAATAAGTAAAATATACGGAACGTATTTGTTAATAGTATTGCTTTAAAGTGCAAAAATTTTTTTCTTAGTTAATCTTTTTTTATATAATTATTAATAATTATAATTATTGCAGAGACGGGCGTAGTTTCGTTTAAATTGCCAGTGTGGTAGTACCATCCCACAACGCTATACTTTACAATATTTTACACCATTTTAAGCACCACAATTTTCGTAAAATCTTTAATAATGTAACATAAAAATAATTTTGTCTATTCATTTTAGGAATTTGATGAAAGCCTTTTTATTTTACTCGGCAAGAGATTATTATTTGGTAGCACACACGTAACCAGGATTACGCTTCTTTTATTTTGAGAAATTCGAGCGTTTAAATCATTATTACCACTACATTGTTACAGCAAAATAACGTATCTCCAATCCGCGTGAATAGTTTTATAGACTGAATCTATTTTCAAACTGAATGCTGCCTATTTATCATGAAGATTGATGAAACCAGAGTAAACGTTGGGATAGTTCACTACGTAGATTACAACTATTCGATAGTTTAACCGCTGTCTGTTAAAATATCTATCGATTTAAGGACTTCAATTTTAGATGGAAGAGCTTTATGTCTAGAAGTTGGAATTTGCCTAATTATACAAATCCCAACAGCACTGTTTGAATTAATCGTGATCGGGTTACATAACTGAGGTTGCCTCTAGTATCTAGTGGATTCTGTGTTTCTGGAACTATGGTATTTAATATAATATAGATACCTATAAAATTTTATTCATATTTATTTTTATATAATTATACCTAAAATTACGTTAGTGACTTGACATTTTATATTTAAATTAGTGGTATAAAATGTGATACGATATTTGTATCATTTATGGAAAATCGTCTTTGCTAAAATCGGATGTGAACATTATTTTATTTTCAAATTATTACTATTGCTAGTAGCAACTGGGCCAATCAACCTTTATCATAATGTTTTCTATTTTTATGTTCTTTTTTGTATATTCTATTGAATATCTGAAAAATATTTTTCTGTACATCTTTCCTGTATACATAGTCTGCTATTACTCTATTTAGTTTTATTTTTTCCTTAAACATACTCGTATTTTCCTATTGTGACAAAAAAATCACAAAAAAGTTTTCGCACAAATGAAATTGTAAAAATATTTACGTGATTTACGTGAGATGAGAACAATGAAATTACAGGGTACAGAGGTACCTTAGCACTCAGGAATGGCAATGCATGAAGGGTATCATGAGCGACACAGTATACTCTGTTATATTTATTGTATTGGTAATGTCAATAGGCGACGGTTACCATTTTCCATTAGGTGGACCGTCAGCTTTTTGCCATTCTAAGTTGCACAAAAAATATTGAAATATTCAATTCAACACCTATAATCTATAATTTATATTTGCAACCAACGATTCATTTGTAACTTAAGAAAAATGAATCAGCATGGCTTTTTCGTTGTTTCTCACTTCAAAAGATTTTAGGTTGATTGTTTAATTTTATTTATGAACTCCTAACGCAAATGGACGAATGCTATAGGTTTGAATTATTTATTTGTATTTATATTTAATTTAAAACAAAGTATCTTCAAAGGTCATTTAAGTCGATTTTAAAGTGTTTTGGTTTGGAATCTGGTTCAATTTAGATTATTATTTTAACCTTGTTTAACTAAAAGGAATTTCTGAACCCATAAATTAGGTTCTACGTTAAAGGGTGGGAAGGAGGTAAAAGTATTATGAAATTTGTGTAACATAAATAATTTATATTGGCTCAACCATTTCTATATTAGATAAGCTGTATATTTCGAGAGTTTTATATTTTTCTATATACCTATTGTACTTGTAAAATTGTAATTGTAATCGTTGTACTTACTTGTAATATTTTCGGGTGAAATTATCGCAGTCACAGAGGAGAAATCTGCGCCCAAGCACAAATATAGTTTGCCCCACAATCAAATCCATTGGTGCGTAGTACTCTGTTACTTCGGCGTCCGTGATCTCCATTACCGTCGATGGAAAGGACACTATAGAAATACCACATATATAATATTTTAATGTATAAATACTGAGATAATTTTGTCAGTAGAAAAAGATATCTAGTAATTGTTTTATAATCTTTGCCGCTTCTACCTATATAATAGTAGGCACATAGGGGGAAAGGGTTTGTTAGTAAATGGAGTCCAATGGAGATATTATTAGCTATATGGGGTATATATATGGGGTATCAAGTCTACCTCCACGCGGTTCTTCCTGTAAACTATCGTTGCAAATTTTTGTTGAAGTCATCACGATGGGGCAACTGACATGCTTTCATGTTAATCTATCATCCCTCACTGGTGCCCGTCTCCGCTAGCGTATCCCAATAGTGTAGATGGGATTAATATTCCATTATCAGTCCTTACTTACCTCCGATAGATATAATATTATGTTATCTGTGTCGCATATTTTTTAAATGAGGTGAAAATGGAACGGGAATCTTGCTTGTACTAACGGTATACGCTGACAAAGTACCAGTAACTGATAAATAGATGAGGTGAAGTCGGATCATGGTGTATTCACTAAGATTTAACTACAATAGTTTCCAGTGAGACCCACGTGAAGGTTTAAGTAAGTACTCTTCATTTCTAACAATGCCTTTCCCTCTTATGTTACCTATTAATTACGAATAAAACGAAGGCGGATCAGAAACCCTTGACACCTTTTTTTTTTTTTTTTTTTTCTGAATGTGTTTGCTGTTGGCCGTGTGTGGCCTTTACAGCTTCACCGGACGCGAATGCAGGGGCGAGTGCTGATGGCACTCCAAGCCCGCGAGAGCGGAGCGACAGAGGTGTCGACTCTTTCTTATGGACTGCGGTGTGTGTGTGCGCCTAAGGGCGCCAGAGTGGCTCGGCCTCGGCTTAGGCCACCGCACTTCGACCCCCGTCGAGGGACGGCGAAGGGTCGGTACGTCTGGGTGGGTGAGATTGCGACGCGGTTGTTATGCGCTCGGGCGCAAACCGTGTGTCGCGAGGGTTCTTCGCCCCCGCCGGCGGGGGCGGTGTGTGCGATGTGTGGGTGTGTTTGTAGGGGCTCTTGTCGAGGGTTCCGCGGTAGGTAGGGAGGGAGACGCGTTTGCCGTCGTAGTTGGATCATCGGGGTCCAAGAGTGCGTGCCTCGGGCGACGACGTTTTGGAGCGACGTTCTCTATGGGGGGTTTGTATTTGACCGCTCTTACTATGAGCGGATTTGAATGGGACTCGGCTGAGGCAAAGTAGCGTCGAGACGCTTGCTTCATAAATTGCCTTATAGTGGGTATTTTGAGGTCGCGGTGTAGATCCACGTTGCGCACGTACCACGGGGCGCCCGTGGCCCGTCGCAGAAATTTATTTTGCACCACCTGAAGGGGGTGAAGTAATGAAGGAAGGGCGTGGGCGAAGACGACACTAGCGTACGTCATCACCGGTCTTATACATGCTTTATAGAGCGTCAGCTTTGCGTTAAGCGACAATTGGCTGCGCTTGTTAATAAAGGGATGGAGGCGTCCCAGTATAAAATTGGCCAGGCCTCGGACGCGCTTAAGATGAGATGCGAAACTCAACTTGGAATCTAGTGTCACGCCTAGGTATTTGGCTTCGTTCGTCCAGGGGACGGGCGTGCCAAACAGCTGAATAGAGGCGGGAAGGGATGGTTTTCTTTTGGCCGTGAAAAGCACGGCGGCGCTTTTATCTGGGTTGACTTCGATGCGCCATTTTCTGAACCAGTAGGCCAGCTCGTCCACCGCCCGTTGAAGCCTGTTGGCTGCACAGGCGGCCGACGTGCTGTCCACATATAGGGCTGTATCATCAGCAAAGAGGGCGATTTGCACTCGGGGCTGACGCGGGATGTCGTTGGTGTACAACGAGAAGAGGGTGGGGGAGAGGACAGCGCCTTGAGGGACGCCGGCTCTAATCGGTCGTGCGCTGGAACGCACTCCATTGACGCGATAGCGATATGACCTATTGGACAAGAAGGCTCGTATGATGTGCACGAGCCTGTCTGGCACTCCCATCTTGTGCAGTTTGAAAATCAAGCCGCTGTGCCAGACTTTGTCAAAGGCCTTCGCTACGTCGAGAAACAGGGCACATGTGACCCCGTTGGATTTCAGGTGTCGGGCGTTGAGGACGTGTTCTACTACACGATGTACTTGATGAACAGCTGAGTGCTTGGCTCTAAAGCCGAACTGCTCATCGATCAGGATGCCTTTGGACTGTAGCCAGTCTTTCAGGCGTGCGAGTATTAGCTTCTCATACAGCTTCCCCAGCGAGCTGAGGAGACTGATGGGGCGAAAACTGGTGGGAAGGGACTTATCTTTCCCAGGTTTGGGAAAGCCTACGACATCGGCTTCTTTCCAAGCATCTGGAAAGATGGCATTGGTAATTGCCGCATTGAAGATCGCTACTAGAAGTAGCAGAATGGTTTCTGGCAGACTCTTAAGGAGTCTGTTAGAGATACCGTCGGCACCGGGTGCCTTTCGGTTGGGAGTTCCTTTGATGAGTGTTCGCACCTCATCCAGTGTAACGGGGGGGACCCTTGACACCGAAGAGTGGCGCCCTTATATAAGCAGTAATAATATTAGACACGAATAAAAGTTTTTAATTCGCTTGTTTTAACTGTTCAAATTCCATTTCGATGTTCCACTTTTGTAGAACTTTACTCGGTCTAGAGCTCAGGATTATCCCTAGAGTTCACATGAAAAACGTTTTCTAATTTTCATTGCAGCCGTATTTGAAGCGAATAAATAAGATATCCACTTTGTAATAGGCTGCTTTTAAGGAGATTAAGCTATGAAAGTTTGAGAACTTCTCGAGAGTTTCAACTTGCAACTTATTTACTAAGGAGATTATGAATTATTGCAAGTGATGAAGACGTTTTCAGCAAAGGCTTTGTGATATTATTTCTGTACTGTTTATTTCATACAACTTTGTTGTTTATGAGTTTTCAAGAATACGGGCATCCAAGATTATCTAAACTTTAGTAATATCTCAAATTTGAAAAGATTGCTAAGGTCTTAAAGAGGAAGTACGACAAAGAAACTTAATGATGGAGTGCACTTATTAAGAAAATGTGGTGAACTAAATGGGTAGTCTTATTAAATATTGCTTAATATATTTACTATACTATATAGAGTACCATTGGCCTGCTTTTTATACCCAATTATAAGAGAATTATATACTTATCGTCCATTTATTATTCATATGTCTTTTTCCTATCATATATATCAATAACTAAATAAATTTTCATAATACAGGCGATTCGACTTAAGTCGGTTGTTGAGATTTTTTTTTCGTCATCCCTTAGTAAAACTGCAGAAACCATCAAGACTTTGTTCAAATAAATGAAATTAATACACAAATAAAATAAATAAAAAAAATTGTACCTAGACAATATTTGTATATACATGGGAGATCGTTAACTGTCCACTGCTGAACATAGACTTCCCCTTTGGAGGTTTTGCCAATAGATGCCATGTTTGACAGGAGAGTTGTCAACCACAGTTAGGCTTTGGGAGTAGCGAACAAAAAACTAATTTAATTATGTATTATATTAAATGGTTTTCGTGGATAGTCAAATGCATTACTTGAGAATCATTGAATCGGCTGACAATTTTTTCTAATGCTCGTAGTAGGGAAAGTAAATAAAATTCTAATTTAGTCAGTATATGTCAGGTCGGCTAGTTATTAACATAATCCAGAAAATGTACTTAAACACCTTTTAGCAATATTAAATACAATATTCCAAAATTACTTTGATATTCGATAACTCATGCGGTAAAAGTCACGACATATTCGTACATCTGCTACAATAATATAAACGTCACGAATGAAAAAGGGCTACACGTAATCGATATAAAAGACTTCCATATATTTGTAAAAGCCGTTTATTCTGATTGAGCCATTATAAGAAAAGGAATTCGATATTTTCACCCTCGCCAAAGCACATATCATTCCCACGTTCATTTTTTATCGATATTTCGCGAGCTCCTAACAAACGCCATTGAAAGACCATTATGAGTTTTTGTGTACTACAAGTTAAACGTGATCTTGATTATCTATCTCTAACTGCCACTGACAGTGGCAGTTAGTATCATTTAGTTTGTCATCTAAGCCAAAGATAGGTGTGGTCTACAAGAACTATATTACACAAATTGTGTTTTAATAATGTGTATCGACGCCAACTTGAAGTAGTACAATATAAATACTTACAGTATTACAAATGTATTTATATATGCTTTATACTATAGAAATAGATAATGATTCATGATTATAGATCATCATCATCATATTAGCTTTTTACTGTCCACTGCTAAACACAAGCTTAGGACGGCTTTTGCTAATTATTGTCACGCTTGGCAGGCGGATTAGCAACCGCAGTTTGGCTTTGGAGATGTTTTAGAGGGAGGCTGCTACCCATCCTTTGCCCTACCTTAGTCACCTCTTACGACACCCACGGGAAAGGAAGGTGTAGCTTATTCTACGCCGAGACCACATGACGTAACCTATATACCTATATATTAATTATTAATGAGTGATAGCAGTTGTAATTTTTAACCTTTGATATACAAGTGTATTAATATTGTTAAATTTGTTAACTTTTATTAATCATGTCAGCTATTACCTCTCCGCTGTTGAACGTAGACCTCTTCCTATTGGGAGGGTTATATATGATTATAGATAGATACATATATATCTTTAAATGGTGCAATAAACTTTTTTTTGAGTCATCTATGACATATGTATATTAACCGAATTCTTACAACTAAATAAATGAGTTACTCACTTAAAAAATAGGGCACAAAAGATGAAGCAAAATATACAAAAAATATTGCATAACAAACATCACTCTTGTGATGTAAGGTCTTCAATATCTCATGTCAAGAGGATTAGTAATGCGCGAGTGATGTCTCTGTTGTTATAAACATTTATGGGGCTGCGATATATTTGCCACCAGAGAGACTGTATATCTGATTGCAACGTTTATTGTATAAAATATTATGCATAAAAGAAATATTACCAATTCAGTCATGAGTGATAAAATTTATTTGTAACATGGAACTAACAAGGGAGAAAATCCTATCTATTATAAAAATATATTTATTGAAAACTAGTGAAGTTAATGTAGATAAAAAAATTTAAGTAAGTTAAAAACCTACTTTTTGAATTAGCTTCCAAATTTAATTTTAACAAATTACCACTAGACAAATATATATGTAAACAATTAGATTACTTGATATTACTATCTTTTTATCAAGAAGTCACAACACAAATAAAGAAATAGATAAACAAATGTTTAAAATTCTAAAATAGCTGCCACCTTTTTTCCATACCATACTCCTTTATGGAGGTTAACTAACCAGAATGATGGTAAATGTAAAATCAATAAATTCCATTACATGGATCTCATCTTCAGACGTTCACGAGTATTTTAACTATACTTACTCTGTTAAAGACGTAATGCGACTTTATTAAGTAAATGCTGTTAAGTATTCAATGGCTATATTATTCTTTGGAAACTTTTAAAAATTATTATTTATATAGTACAAGTACGAAGACTAATGCATCACCTGGCTTCTCTTTCCATTTCTTGGGCAGCTTTGTTTTCTTGAGAAGTAAAGGAAATGGGTCTTTTCCTCCTTTTCCATCATGCAGTTCCTAAAAACATTACGTATTATTAAAGTTGCTGATAAAACACCAGTAACAATTTTATAAGTACATAGTAATTTTACAAGTAAGTATTATATTTTTTTAGTTTAATATGGATAATAATATGCTTAAAATAAATTTGTAATTATAAATAAACAGAAAGGAAAATAATAATTTGATCAGCTAACGTAAATCTAGATGTATTTAAATATTATTTAAGAATTCAGAAAGAATTTAGTAATAAAAAAAAATAACGAATATTGACAACAAGGATAATTTCTGGATAAATTGTTGCGCATTATTGGATTGGCCATTTAATTATAACATTATTTCAACTCCCAAAATTATATAGCCCTACCATCTGTATTCTGCGACTTTGCTTGCATATTATTTCAACGAATTGGATATAGTTTATTTATATATTATTATTATTATATTAGCCGTTAACTGTCTACTGCTGCACATAGACCTCTCCCATCTCCCAGGCGGAATGGCAATCGCAGTTAGGCGTTGGTGATGTTTTAAGAGGCACGCTATGTACATATATCTGTGTATAAATATTCTATAATTTTTCTTGTAAAACTGCAGAATTGTAATACGAAAGTTAATCAACCAATTTTACACTTAATAGTTATACGTTTTACGATCTATCAAGAATCTACTACTAAAAGCTACTGACCTTGGAATATAAACAGGAGTATATTTATAATAGGAGTGTTAATATGTACAAAAAATTATATTAAATAATTGTGACTGTTTTAAAAAAAATGTTATATGTGAACAGTAAGGAATTTTTATTGAGCTCCGTAATTGAAGCTCGGCCTGCCAACAGACCTTCAATAAATATATATTACAGTGATTTTCAAAGGTTTTGCCTGTTTCTAAATTAAAGCATGAATGAGCTACATTGAAAGTAGACTTATGTTATTACTATATCAGAGAAGGTATTATCTTTAAAAGTTGGAACTTAAAGAAAATATCAATTTTAAAAATTATGTAATGTAGTGATTACCTCTTTATCATCACCATATCAGCCGTTAACTACCCACTGTTGAACATAACTCTCCACCTATTGGGGGGTTTATTTGTTTTATTATTAAAATTGGTTGTTTGTTTGTAACACTTTATAGTAAAGTCTTAAATTATAGGATACAGAGTTCTTAAGAAAAGAACAAGTACAATGGCTGACCATAAAAGGATTTTCTTTCATTCAATTTTTGATTGACTAATAGAAAAATAATTATAACAATAATAAAATAATAGGTGTTGTAGTTACAATACAAGTACAACATTGATAGTGGACAACATAACACATTTAAATCATACCTAATGCACCTAAAATACTTCTAGTATTCTAAATAAGGAGATACATAAATTTTATGCTTCAAATTTACAAATATATACCAATAAACAATAAAAATACATTCATATAAATACATAACCAAACATACATACATACTAGAAAACTAAACTAACGCATCTGCAGAATAACCCCATAATATCTTAAAACGGGCTTTTAAGACATTAACTGAAGAATATGGAGATTTTGCTAGTAGTTGCCATGATTGGCAGGAGGTTGGCAACCGTAGTTAGGCTTTGGTGATGTTTTAAGAGGGACGCTACTACCCATCTATTAAGATTACCCCTTAGATCTCCCGACTTAGATCAAAATTAATAATACTATGCTATTACTTTTTGAAAGTCGAATTTCTAAAAATAAGTCGTTAGTATTTGTTCATTATAAAAAATGCTCATGAAATTTTATTTAAAATACAATGCAAGATGAAAATTCTCTAGGTTAGTGGAAAATATTTTTTTGATCTTTATATAACCCATTTTTTTATTTTTTTATACTTATTACCGAGACGTCGACGTCTCATCTAATGAAGAAGTTTAATGTGCAAATCAGACCTAAATACCATGAATATAAATAATTTATAGGTACCTGAATAGAACGATATCCATATAATTTCTTTTTTACTTTTGAGAGCTATGATATGTATTTATTTATGGGTATCGTGATGTATAAATGACTATATAAAGTAAAATATTACCTTGATAGCAATTGTATCGTCTTGTAAGAAGTATAGAAGCTTATATTCGCGTAAATCACCATTTTCGGACTCTCGATCATCCCATACAACGTCAAAACTGGAAATAATTTTTTATAAAATCAAATGTTAGCTTTGTACGTATTAAATTTAATTAAAATATTAGAAGTATTGTTAATTTGTTTAGTTTGTAAATTAATTTTTATAAAAAAATACCTTTACCCAGAACCTATATAAACAAAGCTTAGAGATGTACAAAACTATATACAAGTATATGGTTAAACGTGTTTTGATTTAATATTCTACTTATATTCCTATAGTATGATTGATTTTCCAATATTCACTCTTTTTCCCATTCCTGCTAAATTCACAATGAAATATATAACTTTATCGATTATTTCAACAACCTTTTAAAGGTCATTTTCGTTTTCTTTACATTTTATTGTAGGAGTGCTCTTCTTTTATGATAGTGTCTATAAATAGATTTATCTAATGTCTATATACATACACAATGGGAATTTAACGTACGTATTAAAAAATATATGAATATGAAAAAAAATTGAATAGACAATCCTTTTTATATAAGGAAAAATATTTAATTATTATATTAATTAACTTTTAGCTGCTTTTAGATATATAATATAATATAGATAATACTCATTATCTAGAAAAATGTAAATAAACACGAATACAAATCCGAGGGTGGCTGTTACTAATAGATAAGACGAACTTCGGAAATATGGCATTGTGTCCTGTTGGGCGACGCCTGTAACATCACAGGTCGCCTGTTACAATGATTTATTGATAAAATTCTGAGGGGAATTGATGGTGTATTATTATCTTAGCCACAGATAACTAAATAAATAATGTATAAGAACAATTGCTGCCTATAGATAAAAAAATAATCTTAGTAAATAAAATTTTATAAAACACTGAGAACTTATTAAATATTGAATAATAGGAAACTTAAAAAAAGAATTGGTAGGCAATAAAAGAAATATATCATCTGATGCGAGTTTATCTATATATATAAAAGAGGATGCTTCTCACCCATACATCAACGTACAGTCGAAACCGCTGAATGGTATTATTTTGAAATTATGCATACCTACAGGTTTTTTGTATACCGTAGGCGACTTTTGAAAATTAATAAGTTTATTGGCATTTAAATAAATAGGGGATGGAAACTTATATTGGAACGAGCGAAGCTACTGGTTAAAAGCTAATTCTACTATAATATAAAAGTAAAGTTTATAAAGAAGTTTAAATGTTTGGCACTTGATAACATTTAAACAGTTAAACGAATTGGAATGAAGTTAGTAGTAGTAGTAAAATGAACCATATATATTGTCATTTACCTGGATAAAAACCATGGGATATAGTTACGTTATTTAGTCCCATAGGACAAAAAATACATTTCCCAAATTCTTAGCAAAAAAAAAAATTATATTTGTCATAATTACGTTTTAGAGATGTGATTTATAAGTATACTTTAAGAAAATACTGACTTCCAGCGTCGGCACCGCCGCTAGTTTGAACATTGTAGTAGGCATGACTTACTTAAAATTACTTAGGCATATTATGAATATAATAACACTATTTTTTAAATAGAATCTTTATAATAATGGATTTATAAGATATATGTATATAAAAATGTTTTGTGTTAATTCAATGGCATGTACTCGTAAATTCCAATAAAAGTAAATCAATCCGTCATCAGTATTATATAGATAGGTATATAATGTCAAAATTATTCAAAGAACAACTATTTTCTTCTTATTAACATAGAGCTCAGGTCTGCTGAAAGTTTTTTTAATACTTTAATTTACCCACTACTTAATATTCATTTGAGTTTATACAACTGACAATAAGTCCCTATTAAAATTCGTTATTATCTAATAATTATGGATCCTAATTTTTCGAAAAGAAATAATATTGTTGATATCTCTTTAGTGATATCTACTGTTAACGCCGTCTTGTTGTAAACTTTTTTGTCATGGTCTTTACAAATCTCGGAGGTCAGTAAAAAAATGTTTGCTGCTACTAGTGCCTTAAATAGGTGTCGTAATTTCCTCTCTGTTAACACCAAAATTGCGCTTGCACACACCTTAGGTACTCCTGCCTATTTTTGATTATGCCAACTCCTGTTATTTAGACCTTACCAAAAAGCAATTAAACAAGCTTGAGCGTTTTCAACATTTATGTATCCGCTTCGTATTTAGTCTTCTCAAATATGATCACATTACTCAATTTCGTACTCAACTCAAGTGGCTCCCGATCCGTTTTCGTCGTAATCTGCATATCCTGTCTCTTCTTTATGCTATCCTTATGGAATCCAATTTAATCTCGTTGCTCCTGATTATCTAAAAGACCTATTCGTGTTTCTCATTGAGGCTGATGATCATATTTTACGCAGCGTCAATTGCCTTCGCTTGAAATTTCCTACTAATTTTTTTTCCTTTTATTCTAAATTCTTTACTGTTCAGGCAGTTCGCCTGTGGGACTCACTACCTGCCTCTATTCGTTGTGTTCAAACTCTCACTAGCTTCAACAGCTCTGATAAATCCTACTACCTCGCCCTTTAGTACTATTTTTCTGTGTTCTTCCTTCATTTTCCTTCATTCTCTTCTGTTGTATATGTGCTATGTTAAATATGTGTATGTTTATGAATATATTTGATTATATATATATATATATATATATATATATATATATATATATATAATATGTTTGTATACGATAGTATCTATATAATAGTGCGCCACCTACCCTTTGTCTTTTTCTCAATATCCTCTATCCAAAGGTTGTCTAGAAGAGATGGTTTAGCGATAAGGTCGCCTTTTGTATCACTTCTCATTAATATTTACTATATTTATTTTTTAGTCAGTGCAATAAAGTGTAAAATAAATAAAGTCAATTTTTATATCTACTTTTTTTCTTTTTTTTACTTTTATATTATATTATAAAATTTTTAATGCATATATTTATTATCATAATTATCTAAACAAAAATACTCTATTATTGCTATTACTCATGTGAGAGTGATACCTTCTGTAAAGAGTTTCTAGGCTGCCTTCATACGTACACAAAGGTCTTTGACTTGGTTAGACACACTGAATTATGTAAATATGCATATTTAAGCGACTTATAAAAAAAGGAAGTTTTGAGTTCGACTGACTTTTTCCATTTATGTGATTCTGTCGCCAATACTTAACTGATTTTTGCAATTTTTTTACATTCGATAGGGTTCATTCCAGTGTTCGTCCTATATTAATTTTGTGACGATTTCACTTGTCGTTTTTCTTTGATGCGAAACATTTTTGCAAATGAAAAAGTTTTTGTTGTATACCTACTAAACATAAATATTAGTAAAATATAACAATTTTATTCATATATATTTTTAGATAAACCTACTGTGATGTTGTCGAATAGAGGAATAAAGGGACAAGGTCAAGTTGAGAGTTATACTCGTAGTTTTCGTATGGAATATTTATTTCCTACTTCACAGACAATCAGAAAACGTAATACAGCTTTTGTGTATGGGCTCTTAATAGTTGTGCCACCCACATTCAAGCGTATGACGTATGTAAGAATTTCAATATAGCTTGTAATATAGAAAATATATAATAGTGTATAACCGTAGGTTGTAATTTAATTAATACTCCTAATGTTCTGGGTTGTGCTTCTTGACGTTTGCTGGCTGGTTCTCGTAACATTTGGCACTTATATATTATTAGCTTTTACCCGCGACTTCGTTTTCGTAACTGGAATATGTTTATTGACTGTAAACATATCCTGGTCATGTGCCTAGTAGCCAATATCTCTTTTTATCCCATATAGTACGTGTATACTAAATTTCATAGAGATTTCTTAAGCCGTTAAGGCGCTATAAGGTAATAAACAAATAAACTTACTCTCACGTTTATAATATTGGTAAAGTATAATGTTAAAAATATTACATGGTATTTACAACATTATGCTATTATTTATTTTGTGCTATTATTAAATATTAGTAAAATTCCACTTAGTGCAGGTAGAGTATGCCTACTGTATTATATATTGTAAAAAGAATCGTGAAATTCGTTGAAAATAAAAATACCTAATCTCAATACGCAACTCTTTTTTGGAGTCGGTTGAAATTTGTGGTACGTTTCACGTTGAAAATCGAGAAAGTCCTAAGTTATAGTTTGACATATTTAGGTAGGATACTCAGATATGTCAAGCTGTAACTCTGAATTGGATGCGGGTACACAGACAGCCCGAAGACAAATTTATTGGTTATATACGAATATGTGACTTACATATGTATCTACTACAAGATTATAGGTATTCTTTATACACCAGAATGCATAAGGGTTTTTTTTAATACAGTAATTGTTTCATGGAACTACGGAGAACAGTTGGTGTACTTAATATACATATATCTTTCCCAAAACAATGACGTTAAACATAGAAATTTTATAGATACCTAGTTCTCATTGCATGAGACGAAGGCCATCGACGCAATTATTAAAAGTTATTAGTTAAAGTTCTGTTATTTATTTATAGGTACTTTGTTTAAGTTTGCCAATACGTATGATACGTGAATACAAAAATGGCAAATACAATTATATTACTTATGCCTGCGAGCCTTGCCCTCAAGTATCCATTTTGAACGTAAGTTGAGAGGATTGCAATCAACAATGAATGGTATAGGCGTAAAAATGTTTAGGTTGTTTTTTATTTCTATAGGAGATGATTATCTCTCACCAAGAATTACTCTGGTTTTGTTTGTCATTTTCATAATGTTGGTAAAGAAAGAGATATAGAAAAAGATAGCTGGACATTCCAGTAAGATACTTTTTTTTACAACACAGGGGGCAAACGAATCTAATTTAGAACACGAGTAGGTTACGAGTATATCCTTACTTAGCACATAGGAAACATTACATACTTAGTGACTCATATGGGCAAAGTTGCGAAATACAGCTAATAGATCATAGCATATATGATAAGTAGTTTCTTTTTTACAACACAGAGGGCAAACGAGCATGCGGCTCACCTGGTGGTAAGTCACTACCGCCGCCCATGATCACCCACAACACTAACGGCATTGCAGGTGTGCTGCCGGTCTTTTAAAAAGGAATATGCTCTTTTCTTGAAGGTTATGTTGTCGTATCGGTTCGGAAATACTGCTGCTGGAAGTTGATTCCAAAGAGTGGTTAGGCGTGGAAGAAAGTGCCTTGAAAAACGCACGGTGGAGGACCGCCACTCGTCCAGATGGTTGGGATGAAACTTTAGTTTATGGCGGGTTGTACGGTGGTGAAAATCAGCAGCAGGTATCAATCCGAACAATTTCTCAGAACACTCCCCATAATAAATTTGGTAGAAGATGCACAGAGATACAACATCTCTGCGCAGTTTCAGTGGGTCGAGTCGGACAATAAGGCGCTGACTATCAATAATTCGAGCCGCCCGACTTTGAATGCGGTCTAATAGAAGGAGCTGATACTGTGGCGCTCCTGCCCATAGGTGAGAACAATAGTAGTAATAGTATACTTGTCTTAAACATCAAAGTTACGAAAAACCAATCACTTTTACAGTTATGACGATAAAAAATAAAATAAATAACTTCAGCTCTTTCGACTCGTATTATGAAATAAAAAGGCCATGTGAAAAAGTATAGGACAATAAAAAAATACTTAGAACGTACTTAGAGGAAAAAATAACCAAGATATTATAGGTCCACGTTTATGAGCCATAAACAGTGGTTGCTAACAGCCGCGACCAACAATCGAGAGTGGGAATAGAAAAATCCGGATGCACGGAGGGAATTTTGCAATCAAAACTTGGTTTATGTCGTAGAATTATAACTTTTACGTTCATTTTTATTTCAATCATGACAGTTTGAAATTATATTGTAGTCGAATAAAAACGATAACATCTTAATAGCAAACGTAAAATGATGTTTATATTTACTTTCTTTCACTTTATTAGCCGCTATTAAACAGTATTATCTTTTAAAATACTTTAGAAAATAAAAGACATGTTGGTATCTAACAGGGTACAGAGGCATATCATCTTAATCTTAAGAAATGACAATCATAAGCGTAATAGTGTATTCTGTAAGATCCGTAGCACTGTGTAAGTCAATACGCGACACGGTTGTACCACCTTTCGTCATATGGGTCATTATCTTGTTTACATCTAAAGTTTAAGGGAAACATCAACTTATTATGAAATGCATAGAGCTTTAATAAATACGATCAGTATTTAATGATAAATTAATAGTAGCTCTCAATATCAATAACAATTGTAAGAATGTTCAATGTGTCTTCATGTTGATTAAATTTTTAATTACGAAGCTATTGATTAATTATATTATCTGTATCTTATTATATATATTAACAGGAAACTTAATTAATCCAATATATAGTTGACATTGTTAATTTGTTATGAGAAATTTGCCATCATACACGTAATATAGATACAGATGACGGATGTGCAACGATGCACCTTTTTAAATTTTTATTTTTCTTTGCCATTTTGAAATCTTTTTCTATTTGAAATTGTTGTCAATTATTATTATAGTCTCTACCGTTAGTGATTATATTTCACTATTTCAATAAAAAATGCAGTCCTTTATTAAAACACCACTCGTTAAAAATGCATATATTTACCCTTGTTTAGATGAAAACAAAAGCTTATCGTATTATATCGTACGGATACTATCTCCTTGCAGTGACCCTACAAGAGCTTATTAATAATAGAATATCTACCCTTTTCGCCTTTTCTAGTGGTACTCCAATGTTCATTTGTGAGTGTTGTTTATGTAAAAACTTCGAATTGTAATTTAGTCAGGGATTATGAAATGTAGGCATTTTTTTTTTAAATTAACAAATACATACAATTGAGCTATGTTATTCTCTTGACATGTATGTTTGTAATCATGCCCTTATTAGATAAATACTCAGCTTACTCTCTCTTACTCATTTTATTTTTCACACCCAGTAGCTGTTTTATAGCGCAATCGGAAAAAAATATTTTATCGCCTTCAGACGTTTGTCAAACGAATCGCTCAGTAGGTATATATGGGTAAATTGAAAATCAGGTCACACACGTTGACACAATTCTACCATTATTTCACAGGTCAACTCCTACTCCAGTGTGTTTTGTGTCTTACGTCTTGCGAGATTTACATAGTTACTGTTCTTGTACCTAGTCGACATACCTAATTTATTTAGTCAAACCATAAGTAATCGTAGTAGTAATTTATATAATCAATTAGATATATTGAAGTATTAATATTTATAACGTAGAAATAAAAACTAAAATTGTCGACGTAATCACGTATCATACATACATACCAAAAATTATTATATTATTATTCTCTCAATTGATTTTAACTATTTCAGGTGTAGCTTTTTTGGTAAATATAAATAGGTTTAGCTCTAGATCTATTTTAATATGTAAAGCAAAGATAAAACCAGTTAACTCTTAATTAAGAAATGTGTTTTAAAAGGTTGGTGTGTACTTGTTGTAATTTTGTTCTAGTCTCTCCACGGGTAGATTTAATTTTCCAGTGTTTACTTTAAAAATGGGTGGAGAGGGCAGGAGAATAATGTAACTAAGAGGAGGGTCTGAAGGTAGAAATTGAATATTTTGCAGTTAATACCTATTACACTGCTAAAAGAATTAAGAGTTTTAATAAACTAATATTATAAAAAATATTGTTGCGTTTATTTCTTGATGAATCCGTCACGATGAATTAACAGATTTGCTTTCATCCACATCTATCATAATACACTGGTACCCCGCCTGCATATACCGATAGCACAAATGTGGTTACTATTTTATTTAATCAATTAAATCAATTAAAAAATAATATTTTAATTTTAAAATTTAATCAATTAAAAAAAGTAGTGGTGAAAAATCACTCAGTGAATCGGCAAAGTATGGTCAACCGTTGAGAGTAAATCATTCTCTTTTCGGTTGATAGTATTCATGGATCATATTGTTTCTGCGTTCGTGTAGGATGGTGTGGTCGCATATCTTGCTATAATAAAAAAAAAGGTATACAAAGCAGTAACGTGGACGATCGATCCCATTCCTGGTGAATTCGTCATGATGATACTAAATGACAGGACATTCTCACCTACTAGCGTAGATTTAGATGGGGATTACTGAGGCAGACGAGGTTACTATCGGTATAATTTTCGTCTACAAAAATTCTTGTCTACTCACGTACATCTCATTCATAAATTACATAGATATTTTCGTTTCTATCTGGTTAACTATTTTAAATATTTATATAATTTATTCTTATCTTAATATTAATAATTACTAATGAATATTATTAATAATAAATATAAATAATAGCTAATAACAATCAGAAAATCAAGTCGGTATCTGTCATAACAACCCATAACGATAAATCTAGAAGCGAACTAGATAGGTAGGTACTTATCTAATAGTATCTACTGTTTCCAAAGGTTAATAGATTCTTCCAGTTTCGTAACCAGACGTTGATTGTAGAGTAAGTTGATACAATAGGGAAAAGACAATTCGAGTTACCTCGATGTCTCCTTCGGGAACCTTAGTTGGCAGTCTGAGCTGGCACCTGATTAGATTTGTAAAGCCACTAGCGAATTAATTTACGAACAGTTTCCTAGTCTGCGGTGCAGTAAAGCTGACGGGTGCAACATTGCTGCCAGCTTAGACGATTCCAGAAGATTTAATTAGGTATATAAACCATGTCATAATAAAAATCTATAATGAAATTTGCATTAATGTTGGCACGACTGCTTTTGCTGAGTAATATATTAAAACCTCGCTTATAATAAAAAGAATCAGTATATGAACCTACACATACCTATCTACATATATTGGCAAAATGAAGATTAAGGACTGATAAGGGTTAAAAATCAGTTTATCGCCTATTCCTAAACGCTTATAATTTTTGTCGCTATACAATACTTAGTTATTTTTAACTTTTTTTAAGGGTGATAAATATTACGTTTGTTCGAAGCGGCGAATCAGCTGCCGTGTGGCGTCTATTACGTATAAATGTTTAATTCGTATAAAACAGTTACTCTCAATTTTCCCTATAATTATTTTGGGATTTTTCTATAATAAATAAATATATATTATAATAAAAACAAACTTACGCTAAGACTTTCCCATCATACTCCAAGTAACGACGCAAACGATCATCCTGTGACTTCATCTTTTGAGGTGGGCGTACTGTTTTCCAACGTTTCTTTTGCATATATGCATCTATAGGAAGATCTTCTTCTTTCGATAGTTCCAAACCTTGAGATTCCAACCATTCCTGTGAATAAAATAAATTAAAACAAATAAAAGTTAGAATAACAAAAGCACAGAGCTACAGATAAACTGAAAAGCAGTTTCGCGGCACTAAGACATATGTATTGCTTACTTCAATTAAATAAAACAAAATAAAAATATAATTTAAAAATGTTAATAATCGTTGAATGAATCAATAGTTTATAAAATGGATGATGCTGATAAAAAAATAAGCTAATTTATATTGTTAAAGTAAGTAGCCATGTTGTGATCTCGGCATAGAATGGGCTACCCCTTTCTTTTCCACAGGTGTCATAAGAGGCAACTAAGGGAACTTAATGGTCGAGAGATGGGCAGACCTTCCCTGTTAATGCATTACCGAAGCCTAAATGCGGTCGCTAATCCGCCTGCCGAGCGTGGTAACTACTGGCAAAATCCCCAAAGGGTGCAGACTATATTCAACAGTGGATAGTTTAATTAAAATAACAAATAAAAAACTGTTATTATATAACTTATAGTACAGATATGTAATTTTTATGGTTATTGTTTTAATAGTTTTAAAAAAATATTAATTCACTCTTGCGGCACCTACCTATTTCTATCTGTTCACCTTTAACCAAAGATTGTCTGTAAGAGATTGCCCTAGCGATAAGACCGCCTTTTGTACCTTTATATTTTAATCTATATTTATGTTACTGTATTTCACTTGTCATTGTATATTTTTGTTTATGGTGCAATAAAGAGTTAAATAAATAAATAAAAAATTTCATTATTATAAACTAAATACAACAAAAACAACTCTTATAAAACAGTTTTCAATAAAAATTCGTATATATTAGTTGTTATAACTGTGCAAGCTTATGTAATTTAAAACTACGTAAGAATCTATAGCTTTGTAAATTTTGTATTTTTCGTTATAGTCGTAGAATACTGTACGTAGTATTCTACGACTATGACGTTTTGATTGATAAAATTTTGATATAATCTGTCCTATTTGAATGTAGGTCTCTCAATGTAATAATATATATTCACAGTTTCATGCAACTATGTTCCGATACAATGAACATGTGAGAATAAGCCGGCGATGACACTGGCATATATAGTGGAACAAACAAGCTCGTTTGTTATGTATCGGTGATCAGCCATGTTTACTTGCATAATAACTAAGTCATTTTGGAAGTTAAATATTGCAGCTACAATTTCTGCAAGCATTTTTTAAGTAAAATATTATAAAAATATGACTATAGATAGAACAGCTATTCGGTAATATGAGTGATGTAAATCCTTATTATCCTCATTAACATTATGGAAATAGAATTAAGTTATAAATATATATATATATATATATATATTTACCTCTTGATACCATAACAATTTAGATACGTATCTACTTACCTGCTATTTGAAATAAAGAATGGCATTAGTTTTAATCTCTGCTGATCAACTTATTTCAATCACGTAAACAAAATCGTGAGCAAACACTAGTATTTTATATATCAAGTATGTACCTATAATAATTCTTACTAGTATACCCTAGACACTTCATATATTCTGCTCCGTAAAAATGTGTTTTCAAGAAATGCATTTACGAAAGAAGAGCATTTTATTTTTAAAGCTTATGTTCATTTTGATTTTAAAAACGACAAAAAAAAGCAGTGAGTTATATAATCTCCCGTTTTTATATAGAAGATAATTTTATTTATATGAATATTGTTATATATTCGTATTTTATTCATTTAAGATATTATTACAAGTTTATTTAGTATTTAAATTAAATAGACATTACTAATATAAATGCCAGAACAATAATAGTGTACTAAATAATTTATATAAAGTATTTTTTTAATAACAATACTTTAATTTTTTAAATTTTGATAATGATAATTGGTGGTAGTAGAGCAAAAGATCGTAAAATATGTGAACACATAAACACTACAAAGATAGGCCATTGACTAATGTTCTCAGTTCTATTAATGAAAAAATATTTGAAATTGTTATTTAAATTAATAGTTCTTTAAGTGGGCATATCACTGCGAGTACTGTCTACTAGTGTACGGTTTTTCAATAGGAAAAAGGACTTTATTTATATTCCTGATTTTATTTATAGAGTCATTTCACGTTTAATATTGTTTAAACATATTGTTAATTTCATAGATATATTCGTGAAATGCCAGTAACATAATAATGATTTGAAGCAAATGATTTATATCAATATGTAATTTCATATATGCCTAAGTATATGTACCAATTACTTGTATACTTATAAGCTTAGATTATATAGATAGAGCATCGAGTCTCATCAACGGGTCAACTTTTTGTCAGCTAATTGTCAAATTAGCTGACGCGTTTTTTTGTCAGTGTTCTATATACTTACGCACAGAATGTATCTCGACGGACCTATATTTGATTATTTAATAATAAATGTTTTAAGCTTTAAAAAGATACAAAAATCATAAAACAAAATAAATATAGAAGTTATAAAGAAAACATAACTAATTTATCACGCAAAATTGTATGAAAAAGTTGACCCGCTTTTCTCGAAGTATTTGTATGGAGACACTGTATCTATATAATCCAAGCCTATAAGTAATATGTACTCGTGTTATCGAAGAGAAAAGATACGATACCTTATTTATCTATAATGTTTTTGATGTTTATTAAAAGATTTTAAAAACTTAATACAGATAAGCGTGATTTTTAGATAAGATATTATTAATATAGACAAATATTATACATGTTATAATGTTATTTGGAATTAAATAGTAATTTATGTTTCTATTTTTAAGCAGTGTTTTATTAGTATGTTTATGAAATATACAGGTACTACGCTATACGTTAACAAGCTATTTATATTTATTTATATATTTATATTTATTACATAATTTGGTACCAAACACTTTCATTTACTGAGAAATATATTCTATCTAGTTATATATCTTTTCTTTTTCTTCATATTCTATTCTGGTAGTCTATATTCATACGCTCACGCATGCATTGAAGACTGTGGAAAGTACAATATTTACACTTAGCGAGTCGTCCTACCTATAGAATTTGTGATCTGTCTGTCTGTCTATATGTCAAGATTCTTTTTTCAGGAACTCGTGGAAGTATCAAGCTGAAATTAATTAACAAAACTCAAGTCTACAATCCTTTAGACCTGTGAAAAAATCAAACTACTAAGTCAACGCAATCAAACTTTCTGTCAAGTACTTTCTGTTGACCTAAAATTATAAAATATATTTAAAGCAATGCAAACTGTAAATTTACAGTTATTTCAGAAAGAAAACATTCTTTTTCATATATTTTTTTAATTCTAATTTGTACTAAACTCTTGGTGCCCACGGCTTACTCGTACTTGACCGGTTTTATGATAAAACATTTGTGGTGGAATTTTGTATCTAGTTAAATAAACATCCCAGAAAAAGCGCTATCTAGACCTAAACTAATCAGAACTTGTACTATGTTGAACTCCCGAAGCTTCGAAGGTGAAGACTATGCCTCACTAATAAATGAAGACCTTCGAACCAGCGACCCGAGGGTAGTCGCACCCGGAGTTGAAGCCAGGTTGCAAAGGGGCCCGCCCCGAGGCTTCTACCGTAACTCTCCTAGAACCCTCCTCCTAAGGAGGGTGATGTCGTCGTCATCCCAAGCCTCTTACATGCATATTCCACGAAATGTAAAATAACGTAATTCTGATACTCCGCAGCGCGAGCATTGTGAAGAGTTAAGCAAAACCTGTTAGATGAAAAGATTATGAAACAAAATAATTTTCGAATGATAACCTATAGATTTTTTTAAAGGTTTTTAAGACTAAGACAATTTATTATAAAATCAACTTCTCAAGAATAATTTAATTCAAAGGACTTTTCGAGTCTAATCTACTGAGTATAAATTAGTAGTAACAGGCTTTTATTAGTATTATCGCTTATTGGATTGTGAAAACATTTAATGACATAAAAGTTTAAACATTTATGATTTGTTTAATCGAAATAACAGTGCATATACAAATAGCTAGATTCTTAAGTTAATTTATTAAAGTAATATTCTAGACTTTATTTTTTTATATATTACATATTTGAGTAACAAAAAAAACATGTTATAAGTGTTTACTTCTGCAAGCTAAGTATAAAAAAAATTTACATGAATCGATTAAGAGGAAAAGGGTATAATTTCTGTTACTAAATATGACTCACACAAGATTCATACAAGGCGGTTGTTCAGAAACATATTAAAGGCACTCTCTTGCATCTATATTGATACAGCCAAATACTTATTCCTGGGGGGAAAGGGATTGTTAGTAATGGAGACTGAAAATCCCTTTGCTAGCAATATACCCAACCAGGTCAACCTCCTCGTGGTTCTCCCTGGACACTATCATGGTTAATTCCTGGTGAATTCATCATGATGGGCTAACTGACCTGTTTTCATTCTCATCTATCACCCTTCACTGGTGCTCCGCCAGCGTATCCCGTTAGTGCAGGCGGGAATACCATACTACTTTCACTCGTCAAAAAAAACTTATTCCTGTAATTTTAATACCTATTGTTTAAATATCAATTGGCTCCCTAACAGGTTTATTATTTTAACGCCAGATTATTAACTATTTATTATTTTATTGCAGTGAAATTTAATTTTAAAAGTATGAATAAATATGACAAAACGATGCATGTTTCAATGACCACTTATTGTAATAATCATAAATTGATGCACAAAAGAAAAATCAATTAAGCAACTTATCAACAGGGTCCGATCTAGCTATTATGGTGCTTTAAGAAAATTAATATTTGCCATCCTTTATATTAATGATGACCATATCAACTCGTAGTGAACTCATTTTACCCTCATTTTACCGCTATGAACATTTTCCCATCCGACACCCTTAGATTACACCGTGCTTACGAATTCAACAAGATTACTAATTCATAAGATTTTAGAATTATTGCGTAATACGGATTAAAATTAATCTACATGTTATTTATGCAATCATACATATTACTGAAGAGATTATAATTTACTTAATCTAATATCTAATACTACTCGTATTATTATTATTTTTTATACAACTTAGAATGGAAAACAAGCTGACGGCCCACCTGATGGAAAGCGGAAACCGTCGCCTATAGACATGAGCAGTACCATGGACATAACAGTATACTCTGGTATTAGATATATTTAGGTAAATTTTTATCGTAACGGAAGACAGAAAGAGGATCTTTTTACTGAAAATTGTTACAAATTGTACAAAATATGGACTAGAAAACATGAAGATGTACAAAATAATACAGATGAATTAAGAGTCTCGTATTTTTGAAGTCATTAAAAGTTATTTTGAATCTAGAAAACTGTAACACTTAGACAGTTAGCAGAATAAAAAACTTTTCAGAGTCCTGAATATAAATAAATAGATAATTCAGACAGATTTATTTTCTCTAAATAAATAAAGATAAACAATTATGATTAAAATTACAAAATTTATTATTATTAATAATGTGTGACTGTAATCCTCCTAAAACCAATGAGATTGCATAAGCTACGCTAGCATTGCGCCACGTAATGTTCTATAATTATTTAATGTTAGTTGATACTAAAAACGATGATGATACAAGCAAAAAAAAAAATACATTATCAATAAATTACACACACTATGAAGTTGTACCCATTCGTGCTTTATGCTTACGCACCAACTTCACTGTTGATCGTTCATTTATATGCACAGTAATCACTACATACCGGGGCAACTAGCCACAGAAGGTTAACGTATTTTGTGCCGCGCGTGACACTACCGGCAATATGTCTTCAATTAATTTGGATAACCCTGTTGTACGCTCGTACATAGTATATTCAGCTATATTAGCTTTAAAGCTGCTGTTTATTTCTATTTTGACTGCGCTAGCTCGTATGACTAGAAATGTGTTTGCAAATCCCGAAGATGCTGTGTTGACGAAGGGAAAAGTAAAGTTCGATGATCAAGTGGTCGAACGTAAACGGCGAGCGCATCTCAACGATTTGGAGAATATTCCAGCATTCTGGGTGCTCGGCGCATTATATGTGACTACCGGACCAGCTGTTGCGTGGGCGCAGCTACTCTTTCGTGCTTTCACATTGGGCCGTATACTTCACACGATTGTATACGCAATAATACCGTTACCTCAACCGGCGCGCGTTATAGCGTTCGGTGTTCCCTTTGCTATTAATATTTATATTGGTGTACAAGTGATATTACACTATGCAACGGCGTTGTAGTATACATACTTCATAGCAATCTAATTTATTTATTGTATATTTAAATTGGGAACATTTTTGTATGATATTAGTAGAAGTAATATTAAGTATATCATGTGGTCGAAATAATTTTGTTTTATTTTTCCCTTTACTTTGTGAACTTTGAACTATCATAAATTATATTGTCACCTCTCTATCTCTCTCCTTATCTCTCACAATTATTTATAGTAAATGTTATTATAAGAGTGAAATAACTGATAAGACAATAATTATGTAGATATATTTTTTAAATATTTTCTACAGCTGCGACGGACGTATACTCATATAACTTTATTGTTTGCGTAATTATAATCTACCCAGGTTTAAAGAACTTAGGTACAAGTAATAGGTGTCTTTGCGTAGAAGTTACTGGAACATGAGCGAATTAGTCTTTTATAGACTTAATATAGACGTTCAACACTATATTTGGTAGATATGAAGATAACCTAACTATAAATGTCATTCAGTTATTACGCTCGCTTTTTAAGTTGAAACAAAAAAAATTAAAAATTGAAACTGTCAGCTACTTTCATCTTGGCCTTGATCATCGGTTCACTTAAAAAATACGTGTAAGTCTGCCGTATCATACCATGCACAGTTGTGCATATATACTTACTTACAGGCGTTTCATCATGACTAAGCAATAACAATTTGTTATCAGTACCTAAATGACAACAATAATAAAGCTAATGTTATCATTATCATCAACGCCATAAAGAATATTATTCAATAACAAAACTATAACTGTACAGATTAGGTATAAGATGATGACCATTGAACACGTAAGGTTATGTTCCATTTGAACGTCTGGTCTAGCAACAATTTGTAAACGAGATTCTATTTGGAAATAAAACAGATAATTATTTAAAACATAAAAGATACTTACATAAATTTGTTTTTATTTATTATGACATGTTTGTGAATATGTTAAAGTATTCTTTAAAATATTCATTTGGTTAAATCTTGTTTTTATTCGTGAAAATCTGTAATTGGCTTTTTGTTTTTACTGTTATTTTTTTATAATAAAATTTTAAAGCTGTTGGTTTTTCTTTAATAAATAAGTAATATATTTCATATTAAATGGGTTCCGCTAGCGTACTTAGATAGAAGTGTGTGTTAAGTTTGTTAGACCGGTTAACAACAAAATGTATGTATACGTAATAATGGAGCGCTCCGTGTTACGTAATATTTATAAATCGACAACGTCGGTACACAACATAAAAGATACCACATCTTGTTGAAAAATTTAGTAATTTAGACGTTTTCTAGTGAGAGTGTTGCTCGTATCGCAAAAGTAACTTGTTAAACATGGCAGCGTTCAGATTCGATGATCCAGCTGTACAATCCTACGCTTTTTACTCTGGTGTGTTAGCGCTGAAGACACTTGGGATGGCAACACTAACAGCAAGAACGCGTTATGTTAAGAAAGTGTTTGCAAATGAAGAGGACACGAAGATAAAAAATGGTTTTGTAAAGTTCGACGACCCCGACGTGGAGAGAGTGCGTCGCGCTCACCTCAACGATTTAGAGAATATTCCTGCTTTTTGGTTGCTCGGGGGATTATACCTAACTACTGGGCCAGAAACTACAACAGCTATTACTTTATTCCGGGTATACACTATCGGCCGCATATTACATAGCATTGTATACGCCATTAAACCTCTGCCGCAGCCAGCCCGAGGTATTTCATTCGGAATTCCCTTTTTAATTATGTTGTACATGGGCGTCAAAGTTGTCTCATTTTATGCCTCAGCATTATAAATTTAAATGTTGCACTTGTATTAAGTATTCTGTGATTGAATTTAGTAGGTTTGTAAAATGTTTACATCAGTAAGTGCTTACAAAATTTTATTTTAATTTCAATGTTGATTATATTATACCCTTAGATTATACCTTATATAAATTAGAATAGAGTCGAGAATATTTACTAAATATAAAAAATAATTCCTATTAATCGTATTTTAAGATAAAACAATAAAGTATACAATTGGCATTTATTTTAGTATATAACTAATAAAGATTATATTTAATAAAGAGCATTTTTTCTCTTTTGTGTTAATTTATTATAAAACCTATAGTAGTACTGCTATAATTTTACCTCGGGTAGGTAAAGGTACTCGTATATATTATATTAATCCAAGGTATAAAGGTGTGATTGTTACATTTATTAGGTACTAATTAGCGTCCGCGATTTAGAATTTGTGCATTTTGAAAGTAGAAATAAACCACTTCTAGATAGTATACGAGTATTAAGATGAATTATTCACCATATTTTAAGTTAGGCCTTCAAGAACATAATTATGAAAGTCGTATCCAATTTGCTATTTTAGTTATTGCGTATCCCCGATCACACACAGAGACAAAAATTTAAAAAAATATTTTTAGCACTTATTAAGATTTCTTATATCAATTTTTCTTAAGTTCATATCTCTTATGTACAAATGTCGCCTATAGATAAGAGAAATGATTTGTTACAAAACGATAATATAACAATAATTCTTATATCATTATAAAAATAATAATTGTATGTCAAAAGTCGAATAAATGCATGTGTAAAAAATTCATGTCATTATATTACAGTAATTTGAATTAGTATATATTATAATCTACCTATCATATATGCTATGATCTATACTAGCTGTATTTCGCACTTTTGCCCATATAAGTCACTCTAAATATATAATGTATCCTATGTGCTAAGTTAGAATATACTCGTAACCTACTCGTGTTTTTTTTTTATGGGTGAAAATGGTATGGTAACCCCGCCTGCGCTAACGGGATACGCTAGCGGAGCACCAATGAAAGGTGATAGACGAGAATGAAAACAGGCCAGTCAGCCCATCATGATGAATTCATCAGGAATTAACCATGATAGTTTCCAGGGAGAACCGCGAGGAGGCCGACCTGGTTGGGTATATTGCTAGCAATAGGATTCTCAGTCTCCATTACTAACAATCCCTTTCCCCCCAACCTACTCGTGTTCTAAATTAGATTCCAACCTGTTCTGTAGTAGTGTCTGTATGAAACAGTAACAAACATCCATCCATCTGGTTATTACGGTATAGGTTATGTTGTTTTAATAAGGTATTGCACAATACAGGCACAGGTAATATAGTATCATACCTACAGGTTATATATCAACAAGGACCTTATCAGAGCAGAACAAGCAGATTTTTTCGACCATAATCTAGTTTTGGTGACTAAAAATTCAAATCCATCCGTCATTTTTTAAAATGTAACAAATATCCATCTATCGCTACAAACTTTCGCATTTATAATATTAATAAGATATTGAATTAATTGGAGTAATAGCGGTAGACGTACCTTATCACATTGTATTCTACTATTGCTCAGTGAAATATTCTTCTACTATACCGTTATACAACTTATATGTTAATATTATCTCAAAAAACTGTCGTTAACATATTTTTTTTTATGCAGAGTTCTATAGTCATAAATTGTATTTTATAACCAAGTATAAATAAATATCCGTAACCCTATTGGACTATGTCCCATTGTTTCTCAAGCAATAAACACATTTCTTTAAGCCCGTCGACCTCCGTTTCGGCTTATTCTAAAAGCCATTGCGAGGTTTACGGCATCCATTCGTTGTCCGTTATTGCTGTGTTATTGGAGAGGAATCACGTTTTGAATTTTAACCACAAATGAGTATAGGTTTCCAATATATCGAACATTAATAAAACTAATCAGATATTTTCAAGTTTATTTGCAGTGTTTAACAAATGTTATTATCATAATTTATTATTAAAAGTCTCTTCTGTTTAAATGTATTTTAGTTAAGAATGCTTAAGTAGTTTCGGGACTATCCGGGATTCTTGTCTCTTAATTATGAGCCGGCTGTGACGCAAACGCGGGCCTAATTGGGAACACCATTTCCTAAATATCGAAACATTAATATGGGATCATTACAATATAACGTTTAATATATCAAACATTTACCTTTTTAGATCCCGTTTTAATTCTTTTTGATTAAAAAAGGATTTTAATATAGAATCAATATGAAAGTACCTTGTCTATTACAAAAAAAATATCATAATTGGTGAATGTATTAAGAACCCTTCTTTGGAAATTCTTTTAAAAATGGAATTAAAAATTTAGTTATCACTTTAATGTAGGTATATTCTACAGAGTAAAGTTATATACCACAAATCGGCGCCCCTATCTCACGTCATCAATCGATTCACACATTAATAAATTAGTTTTTCTAGAAATAATACTTATACTGTGCTACATACCTATTATTAAACAAAGATGCTGCAGTAAACATTATTTTCAGCCATACCATGTATAATTCAGTTGACTCAGCGTATAAAATTTTGGTTGCATAATGTATCCGGCAGGATGAGTTTGCTTCCCTATGCATTTTTCTCGATATTCTAGTAACTCGTGTATGTTTATTAAGAGTTCATATCGAAGTCTGGCAACATTTGCATTTTCTGACAATTTTCAATAGACTTAATAATAAAAAGCTACTCAATTGGGTTGAATTATTTTATTTTGTTACATTATATCCCCGTTAATTATAAATTGGTTTGAAAAAATCTTTCTTTTTTAATCTGAAGGCATATACTTACAGGTTAGTCTCATAGAATTTTTATCAAGATGAGTTCAGTGATTTAGTTTTTTAAATCAATATAACTGGTTTTGCTACAACTGTAGTATTTTTTTTTTGTGAAACGTAATATTAACAATATCAATAACAACTGGATAGTTTTCATTTTGCCTGAATTACTCTTATTTATTTTATTTACATACATTTAATTACACCAGTTACAAAAATAAGAAATACAATAAATAATTAAGGTGAACTAATAAGAAATTTAGAGGGCAAAAGAGGAAGGAAAAGACCGAGGAATAACTACATGGGACAGATAAAGGAAACGCTAAGTGTCATGTCGTATAGGGAGGTCAAAAATGTTCTAGAATAGAGCTGGCTGGAAGAAAATGCATGAATTAATAGCACTGATAAGAGGAAATACTTAAATGAAAAGAAAGAGAGAGAGAAAGAGAGAATAAGACATTTAATCTATAGTTACTTTTTCATAAATCTAACACTAAAACTTTTGAATCTAGGTAAATTATGTCGTATTTTTAAAGTTCTATAATATCCTTTTATTACATCGATATACAAAATGTCGATATGAATTTTGTTGCATGATTTAGTTTTTAGTATACTATAAGAATACTATTTAATTAATCATTGACAATATTTAAATTATTTTTAATAGATAATGCAAATATTCCTAAAATTCGGTATTCTGGCTGGTTGGTATCGCTCTAAGCCTATGGCTATATTTTCATTGTAGTAAATTCAATTTAACTTACCATGGGAATTGGGTATACGCAAATGGCTACTTTCGAGGAATCATAAATACGAATCATTTTGTATCCCAGCCCAGTTTAATAGGTATCTCGCGTTCGCTAAGGGCGTAACATTAACCCGCAAGTACAATTTCATTGTCGAATTCAGGCGAGTTGTACGAAATGAATCGTATTATAAAGTGACTGTTTTAACACCTAAGCAAATCTAGAGGCAGGATTTCTTTTATGAATAAAAAGTAAATAAATAATTACTATAAATGTTGAAACGAATATTAGTAAAAGAAAAATTTTGATTTTTCATTTATAATGGATAATCTCAAAAAATACTTGACCGATTTTAAAAATTCATTCTTCTATAAAAAATTATATTACCATGTATATGGTAATATAAGGATGGGTGGCTGACAATCATAATAATATTGTCTAATAATTCTTACTATTATTATAAATATGAAAGTGTATTTGATATCTCTTGGCGCCTTAATGGCTTCACCAATCTTTATAAAACTCGGTATACATACAGTATTTTGGATGAAGAAGGAAGTTATAGCCCCTACACAATACGTGGGTACAAAGATGATTTTGTATTTATTAATATTTTGTTATTTTTTAGCCATTTTTCATATGTATATAAAATATGTTAAAGTATATAACAATTTCTGGTAAACTCGCCTCATTTTCGGGATTAAAAAGCGCAGTATAACGTCTAACACATTAGTTCAATTAAAAAACTATTCCTTAATTCCATAATCTCAGTCCGCATAAGCGAAACAAGAAAAATTATATCTCCGTAGGTAATTCTAAAAATAACATTCGGCGTACCAACAACGAGACATATTTTATAAGAACCCTGCAGCATGTGCTCAGTACGACCGGGGCGATCGGTACCACGTGTTATCGACTAGCAACTTGATCTTTCCAACGGCTTGAAGGTAAGAAATTTATTAATTCAAACAATACACTCTCACCTGTACTAATACATAAACGCAACATGGGCATTGAAGTCTTAACTTAGAATACAAGGTTATGTAAATAATCAATCCATCAATACGTATTGTATGTTCATTCATAACGCTTTGTTGGATAGCAAACGAGTTCCTTGTCCTTGTACGACTGACGAATGAGTAAGATATTTTCTGTACTCTTATTTTTATTAATGGCAACTCGTCGAATATTTTTGCCAGTATCGGATTTAGATTTTTCCCATCTATTTGATATTTTTCTGCCAAAAACGAAATATAAAATTTGTATATATAAAAATGTTCGATATCACTTTACGTTCTCCAGTACGAGGTTTGTCCGGAAAGTACGTATAAAAGTTTTTTAAAAATTTTATTTTACAATTATTCAGGTAAATCAATTTTATCCCCTTCAAAGTACTCCCCCTGTGACATAATGCACTTGTGCCAACGCCGTTTCCACTGTGAGAAGGCTCCTTGAAAGTCCTCTGGTTGTAGGTTTCTCAGCTGCCCCGTCGTAGCTTTTTTTATCTCATTTATGTCCCCCAAATGCCGCCCCCGAAGTACCAATTTGGTTTTTGGGAACAAGAAGAAGTCACACGGGGCCAAATCCGGCGAATAGGGGGGGTGTTCGGTCACCGTAATGGAATTTTTACTCAAAAACTCACGGACAACAAGAGAGGTGTGGGCAGGGGCATTGTCGTGGTGAAGAATCCAACGCCCCTCTCGCGCCAATTCTGGACGAACTCGTGCCACACGAGCTTTGAGGCGTCTGAGCACATCGACGTAGAATTTTCCATCAACTGTCTGGCCTGGAGGGACGAATTCTTGATGGACAATCCCCCGAACATCGAAAAAAACAATCAACATTGTCTTGACATTTGAGCGGGATTTTCTTGATTTTTTTGTTCGTGGTTCCCCGGATGTCTTATCGAATTAGATCGGCAAAAATTTCACGGCCATTCTTGCCGAGTTTCGAGAGAAACTTGATTACGACGCGCTGCTCTTCAACGGAAGCGGGCTCCATGCCGACGGGGTTTCGTTAAGAGGTAACTTCACAGATGGCGTGACAAGCCAGTTCGCACCGCACGGCGGTCAGACCAGAACTGAAGCATTGTTAGGGACATAAGGAAGGGGTCCTGCGCTTACCTGGCCTCCCCACTCCTCTTTCTCGCATTCCAGAACACTTTTATACGAACTTTCCGGACAGACCTCGTATATTAGTTTATAATTATTACACAAGTATAATATTCTGAATTGTTGTCGTCTGGATTTTAGATAGATACCAACTATATGAATGATTTATTGTTCATAAAGTATACATTGCTTTTGTTTCTTTAGAAGGGGTGTTAGTAGCCGGCGTTTTATTTCATTTTGTTATAGAAAAATGTTTAATTATATTAACAACTTATAGCATTATGTCCGCCTTTTGTATCACATGTTATTGGTCAATAAAAATTAAATAATAAAAAATTATTAGTGCAATTAATTTCAATAAAGTACATACAAGTACAAAGTCAGTTTGGGAAGCCAAAACAGAGCACCAAGCCACACAAATTAAAACATTTTTTATGCGGATTTTGTTGTCTGATTATTTTTTAAATCGTCACTTTTTAATGAGGATTAACTACGCATAACTTGCCATATAGTCATGTAGCCAGTGTCTGATCTAGCTATTTTCCCACTATGGACTTTACTACCCTTTATAACGAATAACCATGTTAACTCCTAGTAAATTCATTTTGCTGCTATGAACATTTGCTTGAAATGGCGCTCCCTTGATTGAACCCTGGAAGTGGCAGTGGGTTTACGGTTCGAAGAAATGCTAACTGAAAGGGAAGGAAATATTTTCAGATAGTGACCTTGAAAATATTTCCTCCCCTCAAAACCACAAAATGAAATACTTTGAAGAAAATCAATGGATGCAGGCGGTTAAGAACCGTCTACAACAGTGATTCCTAAAATGGGTTTCGTGGGACCTAGGGGTTTTGTAAAAAGTCATCAAGGGTTCCGTAAAAGTATTTATAGTGTGAAACAATTTCATTATTCACATTAAAAATTAAAGGAAACTATAAAGTGTTATCTTTTAAAATATTTCTAATAAAAGCTTTTGTTTTTATATATTATAAATTATTTTATAATTTATAGTGTTTTTGATTTGTACTCGTTTGATATAGGAGTCCGTAAAATAATAGGCATTTCATAGGCCTTCCGTTATCTTAAAAGTTTAGGAACCCCTGGTCTACAACATTCACCATTTCTTTACAATCACGTTACCGATTTTTTTTATTTCGAATTTTAACGACCACATTTTATTTCCTGGACATATTGCGTATATCTTTATTATGAAAAAAAAAAGTTGAAAATATCCAAAGCAATTCCAGTTACAATCGCATTTAAGTACATGAGACCCTACTCAAACCTGCCTCAGCCATTCGCGGCGAAATTAAATTGAAAATATTGGATAGATAATGTTCTGAAGCCATAATAACCGTATCCAAGGAAACCATTACAGCAGTTTCTTTATTCTGATTTATGTATTATTTTCATGAGTACGCATAATAACTACCTAAAATTGCGCATAAAATTTATATGCAAAATTCTTTGTTTTTTTTTTACATGTCACAATTAGTTGACAACCAGTATATGACTTTATCCAATTTAATGATTTATAAGTAAAATAAAGAAAAACGTAGACATTCGTAATATAAATGTCAGAGGAGTTTGTTTGTTTCTTCTTGGTTCAACTGTTTTAAAATTAAGTACACATTTAGTATTTGTAGTACAGTTACCTATTTTGTCTGGGAAGAACATATTACTATTATATCAGCCCTTAACTGTCCACAGCTGAACACAAGCTTTTTTCATAAGGGGAGTTTTGCCAGTAGTTGCCACGCGTGGCAGGTATTGACAACCGCAGTCAACCGTTGTCAATATTTTAAGAGGGACGCTGCTGCCCATCCCTCGATCATCAGTTCCCTTAGCCGCCTCTTACGACACGCACGAGAAAGCAAGGAGTGGTCCATTCTATGTCGGGCCCTACACGGCTAAGGGAAGGACATAATTGTATTACATTTAATCCTCGTCCATCAACACGGTCACGTAAACGAAGTCCAAGAAAAAAAATAGTTTTCAAAATAAGAACCTTTCAACAAATAATTTAGTTAATCTTATAGAAAACAATTTGTTACAGTTACTTACATGAAAATAGACAGAAGACTGTTCATAAGAAGAAGATATATAAAAAAAACAGATCATTATCAGAGTAATTCATTCAATACCTTGGTGAAAAGATCGCAGGAGACTGTATGAAACACCTTCCCGTAGATACAAATATCTTTGCCGATATCTAAGTCTTTCCAGTGCCAGCAATCACCCACGTCGTTCTTCGGTATTTTACCTCTCTTCACCAGTCTTCCTTGCCATAGACCGGAGTTCTAAATGAAATTAACAAATGTTACTTTAAAATGGGAGACGAGATTATTACTATGGGGAATTGACGATAATAATATAGATGGCTACACCTGCCGATATACCCTATCAGGTCGATTTTATTCAAAATTTAAACATTAAAGTAGCATTAATTTTCCAAAAAGTTTTATCCTTTAACTTAATTCAGTAATACTCGTTGTAATAATCTTTTTACAACCTATTATTTATTTCAAATATGATTGTACAATAAAGCTTGTACGAACAAACAATATTTTACACATTTATAGTAGTAATTTTGCTATCTAGAAATAATTGCGCAACAAATTTGATAATATATCTCTAATCAAGATTCATTAACTTCATAATTTTCAAAGTAACAATATTCCTAACGGATCTTTTCAATTAAGCCATTTTGCTAATAAAAAGAATATGAATGGAAGCCGATTATTATTCTCTACTCGGCGATTATCCCGCAAAACGGAACAAGCCAGACTGCTGCAGCCACAACGTATTCAATTGCGAACAAATACAGACTCATTTGTTAGCTCTATTCCATTCCATACACAATAATGCAGAGAGTTACTCTTATTTGCAAATTAAGTGATCTGAATTTACGGGCAATTGTTGTTTTTTAAAGATAAATTATAATACCTATAAGCTATTTCTTTATTCAAGGAAATATAAAGAAAACTACTAATATTTTAATAGTACCTAAACACAAAGTAACGAATTTTTAATTTTTAACTCAATTTTGACATGTATACTTTATTTATTATCTATTAATTTTTACCACGATGTCGCGGTGCGTAGATAAATTAAAAAGAGGTAGGTTCTCAATTCGGGTCTATTTTTTTATGTTTGTTATCTCATAACTCCGACAATTCTTAAGCAATTTGAAAAGTGGGCGACCATCTTTGATCGATGACGATATTGTTAAGGCAATGTTGGAGCAAGATCCTTTTCTGACAACATCGGAGATCGCAAAAAGGCCGATTCAGCTCAACAAACCATTTCTGACCATATTTGGAAGATAGGATTGGTGTGCAAGTATTCAAGATGGGTGCCACATGAATTAAGTCAGAAAAATTTGATTGATCGAGTTGTCATATGCACATCTCTGCTTGCTCGGAACAAAATCGAGCCCTTTTTGAACCGGATGATAACCGGGGATGAAAAGTGGATTACATACAACAACATTGTAAGGAAAAGGGCATATTGTGAACCCGGAAAACCTAGCCCTTCCACCTCTAAACCAAATTTGACTCTGAATAAGAGAATGTTGTGTATATGATGGGACATTCGAGGACTAATACATTATGAGCTTTTAAAACCGAACGAAAAGCTCAATTCGGAGAAGTATTGTCAGCAACTGGATAATTTAAAAACAGCTAAAAAAGGTCTAAAAAAGAGGCCGGCAATGTTCAATAAGAAGGATATCATACTGCACCACGATAACGCCAGACCACACGCTGCTTTAGGGACTCGTCAAAAATTGCAGAATTAGGCTGGGAAATTCTGTCGCACCCACCATATTCCCCTGACATAGCACCCTCTGATTATCACTTCTTTTTGTCCTTACAAAATTTTTTGACGGAAAAAAAATTCAAAAATGAAGATGTCAAACGATGTAATATTTTTTAAAAATGGGATATACAAATTGCCCTCACGTTGGCAAGAGATTATTAATTATGGCAATTATATTATTCAATAAAGTTAATTGGCGGTAAGAAAAAAAATTTATTTTGTTTTATTCCAAAAACGGACAGAAATTTCCGGTAGACCTAATACTATACTATATATGCCTATATATGGACAACACAAGGGGTGTCGCGTGCAGTAACGCGCTTTATTTTGTATTTTTCCTCGAGAGGATTTTATTCATCCATTCATACATAAAATCAACATTATACAGAAGCAAGATGATCTTTTTCAGGCAACCTTAGGACGGAGAGAAATAATTAAACTCGTATGACCAATTTTGCGTTGCTTGGTCGGGGTTTTGCATCCCAAATAATACGTGAATATTAAATTTCATAACGATTCAGGGATAATAAAAAAAAAAAACAAACAAGATCTCTTTCATATTTGTAACATTATTAGTGACGAACGAGGAAACAACTTGATATTACTTTCATAAAATATTTTCATAAACGCAAATGATTTTCTATTAAATCATAAAGTTAATTCGCGACAAACATAAATGATTGTATTTCCTTTTACTACAAATAGAAATTAGGATTCTCATTTGATTATTATTTCTATTTATGTGAATTAAAAAAATGATTGTATATCATTTTGCTACAAACAGAAATTAAGATTCCCATTTAGTTATTATTTCTTTTTAAATGAATTTAAAAAGTGATTGTATTTCCTTTTGCTACAAATGAAAATTGGGATTCTCATTTGACTATTATTTCTATTTAAATGAATTAAAAAAATGATTGTATTTCATTTTGCTACAAACAGAAATTAAGATTCCCATTTGGTTATTATTTCTTTTTAAATGAATTAAAAAAGTATTGTATTTCCTTTTGCTACAAACGAAAATTGCGATCCTCATTTGACTATTATTTCTATGTAATTGGAAAGTAAAGAAATAAAATGGTTCGAAGAAGAAAAGTGTATATATATGTGGTAAATGATTACTATCACCCATAGGCATCCGCAACATTAGAGAAACTGCAGATGTATTCCCAATCTTTAAATTTTGTAAAAATATTTCGTAGTTTACACATAAATAAAATACAGACGAATTAACAGCCTTTTTAAAAACCCAATTTCCTTACAAATAAGATACAAGGCAATTGAACAAACAAATAGAGCTTTTTTAATCTCAATGAGGTCCATTCAAATTAAGCGGATACAGTATAAGAGGGCGGAAATGAGAAGCATTGTTCATGCCGTTATTATTGAGGATGAATGGTGCATTTCACTTGGTTTTGCGAAGAAAATTAAATAGAAATGGGAGGAGGAACAATGTACGAGTATATATAGTTAAATATTATACAGGTTGATTCTTATAATATATCAAGTCAAAAACAAGTAGAAATAATTCTCTTTTTTGCTTGACCTAAAAAACCTCCTAACCTCGGGTATCTATAACTATCCATGGATCTTCTTAAAATTGACGAATATTTATCATAATATTTTTTTATACTCAATTACCGAAGAAAGAAGTGTGATATTTTCTTTGAGTATATACTATATTCGAATGTACTTTGAATATGTGACTATGTTCGAATATTCCGAACAATCTGTTGTCTAAATAGCTTGATTGTTTAAAATGAAATATCGTATACTATCGTAGTCTAATCAACATATATATATATATATATATATTTATTTTAAAAGTTAAAATATGAAGTAAATTTTAATACTTATGACATTATTCTGTTGGCACAAATGTGCAGGTACCAATTACAGATAGAAAGTACTTTCAGACAAAATTAAGATTTTTGTTGAAATTCGCAGAAAAATCATCTTTAAACGCCACAATATTAGTGAATGTAAATAAAGAATACGAGTAAGTTAATAATGGATTTAGTTATTTATTTACCAATCAATAAGTACTATTCAATAATGTATTACAAATTTTTGTGTATCAGTACCTTTTTTAAACGAAAGCATGCCTCAATCTCAGAATATCTACTCCTAAGCTTGTAAGTTACCATTAAGGTTTAAATTTCAATTTCTTACAATGTTCAAACTGTTAAAAAGACGCCGGGAGCATCGTTAGAGGCTTCCCAGAGCTAAAACTCAACGTTTTATTGCTGTCTCCTCAGATCTGTATTATATTGTCCGTAAAATATTTAATCTGAACCAAGTAGTAAATTGTATTTTTAATAAAAACAATACCTACATTTCACTAACAATATAAACTAGCTCTTCGCTTGCTACTTCGTACGCGTGGATTTAAGAAATAGGAAAATCAATGAATTACTTCTAGATGGCGTAGGTTGAAACATACGCCTTTACGAACACAACTGTAAAAACCGTATCCAATTTGGTGTAGTAATTTTTGTGCGATGCCGGTAAAAATATAAAAACTGACAGACAACATTTCTACAAAATATTGTTTTGGCATCTATTGTATTTGTTAAGACCCCTTATATATATATATATTTTTAATATTTCGCACGTAGCCAGAAATATCTCCGATGTATGGTATGTAGCGTCTAGTTACAAACTTATCGTATTAGTAAGATGTGATTGTTTGAAAATTTATTTATAACTTTGAATATTTGTTACTTAATCAAGTTTGTTTAGCTAACCGATATTGAAAAAAAAAGCAAATAGTCCATATTAAAGTTTAAACCATATTTTGTTTTATTTTAATTTTCGCGAGTAAAGTTGCCAGAAACAGCTAAAGTTTGAAACGAAATTTGAGACCAAAATAGTAGATAAAAGAATTATCATTGTCAAAATAACATCCCAATTATCGTCAACATTTCTATAAACAGTTTAATCATTAACTCGATGTATTTTCTTTTACAATTTAGAGTGTTTTTTTTTATAATTTAAAGTGTTTGGTCATTCCATTGAACGGGCGGTGGTAGTCATTAACCATCAGGTGAACCACATGCTTACTTTTTGTGTTATAAAAACGAATCAGATTATAAAAGAATATTTTAAACTAGTCTTAGGTATAACTACATATATCCGTATGCATCGAGGGAATAATTATTTTGAGAATAAGTATTAAAATAATTTTATTCCAACAATACGATTTAAATGTTTTAAAACGATAATTTACGCGACTTTGGAAATGCTCTCAACTAATCGTAAGCAATAATTAATCCTATAAATTAATTCAGTAATAAAAAATTAATACATTTTTCACCCGACACTATACCGATCATATACCGGGCGTCAATTTGCAGGGTATTGACATAGCTCTCAAACAACTTAAAATCGGCAAGGCGCCGGGGGAGGACAGAATTACAGCAGAGCTTCTGAGAAAAGGTGGAAAACCAGTACACATGTAGTCACATTATGTCGGCATTCATTACGGTTACGCCCGAGTCGTGAAGCAGAAGTGCAGTAGTTCTGTCTTTCAAGAAGGGTGATAAATGTGATTCAATAGGGTATGAAGAACTATAGACCGATATTCCTTCTAAATCGCATTTACGTACTGTTGACGACTTCCAGTCACCCGAACAAGCTGGTTACCGAAACAGCTTTAGCACCATAGACCACATACATACGCTACGGTAGATTATACAGAAGACCGAAGAGTATAATCTGTCACTATGTCTGGCGTTTGTGGACTATGAGAAAACCTTTGAATCGGTCGAGACATGGCTGGTATTATGATCCCTCTAGTGGTGCCAGATTGACTATAGGTATATCGAAATGTTGCAGTGTATGTACAGTAAGGCTACGATGTCTGTCCAAGTACAGAACAATAGTACGAAACCCATCCCAGTGCTGATAAGTATAAGACAGGGTGATATCATATCCTCGAAGCTCTTCACGGCTGCGTTGGAAAATGTTTTCAAACTCCAGGAATGGAAAAGATATGGTATAAACATCAATGGCAAATATATTACTCACCTTTGATTTGTCGATGACATAGTAATCATGGCGGAATCCCTGGAGGATCTGAATACTATGCTCAATAATCTCAATAGTGTTTCTCAATAGGCAGGTCTTAAGATGAACTTGGACAAGACTAAAATCATGTCAAACGTCCATGTCACGCCTATACCAGTTACGATTGAGAACACTACGGTCGAAGTTGTCGACGAGTATGTATACCTACCTGGGACAACTTTTTCAAATAGGTAAATCCAACTTCGACCGACAGGGCAACCGACGAATCTAACTCGGCTAGGCAGCATTTGGAAAACTACGTCACAAAGTTTGAAGACAAAGGTCTTTAACCAGTACGTGTTGCCAATGATGACTTATGGAACCAAAACATGATTCTACACGATTGCACGATAGCTTCAAAATACTCAACGGGTAATAGAGAGGGCTATGCTAGATATTTCTGTGCATGATAGAATCCGAAACGATGACATCCGCAAAAGAACCAAAGTACCCGACGTAGTCCAAAGGATAAGTAAGCTGAAGTGACAATAAGCTGGTCACATAGTTCGAAGAACCGACAATCAATATATGTCCAGCAGTGAACAGATAATGGCTAAAATGATAATGATGATGAATTTTTAATTAATTTCCTTTTAATTTTTTTATTCTTTTGCACATATCCCAATTCACCTTCTCAAGCATTAGTATCTCTAGCATACGTACGATATTTCGTTAACAAATAATTAATTAACGTAATTGTACATTAAGAAAATGTCTGCATCTAATCATCATTAATATTATTTATGTACCCGTTTCAGCAGGAAAAAATCTTAAATTATCTATAGCTTAATGTCTTACATATTACTTAAATATGTGACAATAATTTATATTAAATTACTCTATTTGGATTAGATTTTGTTTCATCAAAATGAAATTAATGTGTGTGATTTAAATACCAAGGTTTCAAATGTCGTTTTGTAAAATACGTGCCTTTCAGCGTTTGCGGCTAGAATAACAAGTAGATCAAAAACAATACAAATATTACTTGGGGTTTGTTATACCGATGCCAGTATCCACGCGCCGCCTTCAAATTGCCATATTGTTAACGCGTAAATGTGTATATATGTAGTATATCGTATCACAAACATTTATTTAAATATTTAGATATAAATAAGTAGAAATATATATTGTGTATCTACAAATTAGTAGATAATTTATATAAAAAAATTTAATGTTATAAGTATTAAAATACTAGTAAAATTAAAAGATTATTATAAAATTATTTATGAATAAAAAATTCTTTGAAACCATTGCCAATCGGTAGTGCCCAGTAGACACACATTACTTCGTTTGTTATAAAAAAAAATACCTAATGAATATTAATACACAGTTAATGTAATTTTAATGATATTTTAGGAATTCTAGGAATTACCAGAGAGAGACTTTGTACAAAAGTCGTTTGCTTGGGTAGGTACCTCTGTTCCATTCGTGTTTCAACTGTAAAGCAGTTGTGTTTGTATGGCTGTGTTTTGGTTTGAAGGGTGGGATATGGCAGTGAATTTACAAGGTACAGAGGAATAATACCTTAGTTCTCAGGAATGGCAACACATGGGGGGTATCATGGGCGATACAGTATACTCTATTATGTCCATGGTATTGCTCATGTTTTTAGGTTCATCAGGTCAGCTGTCAGCTTGTTTGCCATTCTAAGCTGCATAAAAAAAATCATACCAAAAAGGTATGCGTGAGCCATTATGCTGTAACTCTGTCTGTTTGTCAATCATAGTCCCTATAATTTAGTTTCCAGTTCTTCCAGGTATTAAACGGCAAAAAAAAATGAGTTTGTGACTCATTTTTTTTTTTTTGGGCGCGCAGCGCCCGTATACACGCAGCAAACAAATTTATTAATAATACGTTTCTGTTAGCACGCCTATAAGTAATAACGAGACGTCAGAAAATGCGTTGTCTTGATTCTCGGTCTACCACTATTAATGCACACCGCAGCGAACTACAAATAACTATCTTTTCATAGATTTGTATTCTATTTAGTTGGAGGGGGGGGGGGGGGGATTTATAGTAAATATACAAAAATATTTCATAATCTTACCTTCACTCTTGGTTCCATTACGGTTAGTGTGTCATCTTCCAAAAAATATACAATGTTGACCACTCGAACTCTATAGTTTTCGTCGGGATTTTCATATACAGGTTGCTTGAAGAACGCGGTAAAATTCAGACACCGTTTGTCGTAATGCACCCAATGTGGTACCACGGCAGGCATTGCCGGTTGCTTTACTCGACCATAAGTCAGAGATGGGTCATAGCTGAGAAAAACATTTATTTATAATAAGTAATTGTTCTGAGATCGCGAGCTTTGTATCTGTAGATCAATGTTACCACTTACCATCAAGTGGCCGTCAGTTTGTTTGGCTTTCTCAATTGTTGAATGTTAAAATTTTAAACTACCTATATATTGATATAAGCGTAGGGCTTGGTGAGTGAAAGTAGGAATAGTATGTCGGAATACGGAATGTCATCGTGTCTTTTTATCACCAGGTTGCCGTAAAAAAATATTAGAGAATGCACCACATGTACTTTGGAACGTAAATGGAATAAATTTTATTTTAACAGAAATTACATTTTCGAAGATTAAAAAATGCACAATTCTATAAAATCTAATAGAGTAGTTCTATAACCGCTAATCGACTATTGCCATTATTGCGAACGTAACGCTCGATTTTCCTATGAATGTAAACATTTATACTATACATAAATGCAATAAAATATAGATACAGATTCGGTTGGAAGTATATTTTAAATCTTCCATCCCAAGTGCAATTTATACACAGTCCCAAAGGTCGCAATTACGTTCATTATTCGGCCGTCACGATGACCTAAAAACCTTATACCAGAACCAAAAATAGCGGCACAAAGCATACATTTAAATAGTAATATAAATAAATAAATAAAATCACTGTAACTCACTTTACAGAATCCTCAGGGAGTGTGAAAGCGTTACTGTCGACATCAGTAGCGGTTCCCCCAGGACCACGGACTACGGTGTCAGGGAATCTATGACCTTGATAGTATCGCAAGGAACTTCTGATGTGATACTGGGTTTTGGTGGGATCCGAGAAAGTCAAGCCTGGTAGTTTTGGAAGACCCCAGGCCATTTTATTCTTAAAAAAAGAAATTAGCTGATTAAAAATTCAGATATTCAATAATTTAATTTTCCTGTTTAACTGACTGTTCTACTAATGCAAAGGCTCTAGGTCAGAAAGCACAAAATTTTTATTTACATGTCTTTTATGAAATATAATTCAGAAAGAATTTCCCATAAGAATAGAAAAAAACGGGTTCCATGCAGACGAAGCCGCGTAAACAGCAAAAAGTTGTCGTTATTATATTAAGCGTACCTACATATATATAACCTTTTATCTAAATTAATATTATAAAGAAGAAAGATTTTATTCTGTGTCTGCAATGGATAAACTCTAAAAATACTTAACCTGTGTTACTGTATTTAAATAAAAAAAAAATACCATGCGATACCGGTATAGGTCGATAACTATTAATATTAAACATACCTATTAATAATACCTATTAATACAAGGGTACCTTCAACGAGGTGTGAAAAGGCTACTTCAAGTTCAGAAACATGCATGCAGTCGATTAGGAATGGGTAATATGGATACCAATGCGATATTTATATATTAGATTCCTCTGAACATTGATGGTAGAAAAATGGGTGCATTTCGATATTGCTCATATCGGTCGGATATCTATTTTAGAATATGTTAAAAATCTGTTATCCAATATTATATTTTGGACAACAGACTTTAACATATTCATTTAACATATACGTTATTGGACTAGTTTGTAGATATTCTAACTAAATACATACATATTGCTATATATTACCTATTCTACGTAGATACCTCTGATATTATAGGCGAGTATTGTGTAAATAAAATAATAAAAAATAAATAATAATTAAATAAATTAAATTTATAGTAAGTTTTCTTGTTCATATGCCCGTAAAATAGTTTACCACCTCATCTCAGTGCATTAAAAATGAACCTAGTGAGAAATTCATTAAAATAAGAAAGCTCAGCTAAACTAAGCCAATGTTACCTCTATAATATTATTATTATCCATCATCGTAAATTCATGAAGTTCAAATATAAGTTAGATCTGCCGCTTTTCAGCCGTCGAGTCTTTTTGGGTGTATAAACGACTGACACATTAGGAGACTCAATTTACATATGAAAAACTCGTGGAAATCCATACTGGTGCGACTTTTGCTTAATGTATTATGAGTACCGAAATATTTTTAGTCTGTATTCATATTAACTATTTTCATTTTTCTGAATGAACTTGAAACAATTGTCGGTAACAACAAACATAGTAAGTTCATAAAATGTCCCGTCACACACACACACACACACACACACACACGCACGCACGCACGCACCCACGCACGCACGCACGCACGCACGCACGCACACATGATGCACGCATGCACACAGACACACACACACACATACACATGTATTACTATGGACTTGTGGAATACCACGTCAATCATTTATTATTTCGAAAAATTATAATGAAATATATTTTATTCAGCAAAAATAAAAGCAGTGACTACAATCATGACAAAATTAATATTAAAATTTTGACTAGTAGTCTACTGTACTAATGAGAGATTAAGATATATACTGGTAATATTATAATTCATATGAGATACTAATTTTAAAACGTATGAAATACATCGATAAACGAGGAAATGGCAGGAAGATTAGATTCAAAATATTTGTATTTAGAACTTGGAATCGTGTATGCGAGTTTATTTTAATTCACAATAAGCAGTATTTTGAAACGAAATTTTGCAATAAAGAATAACAGTTTCATTTATTATAAACAATTTTATACGAAACTAAATTTTATATATTGTAAAAAAATGTCAATCGATTTTGAATACGGGCAGGTACCATGGAAATTCTTTATTTTTGTTACAAAAATAGAGGAAAATACAATCAAATTGAGAAATAGGGACCGCAGGAACTATCCTTAATCTATATTGAAAACATTATCCTTTTTGAAGTCGGTAGAAAAGTGATTGACGTTTGGTTAGACATAAACGTATTATAGTTATGTGGGTCACGAGGGTGATAAATCGTAGCCATGGCCCATAAATAGGCTATGCGCAGTAATGAACTCATGACATTATAAAAATATCATTTTCAGATTTTCATTACTGCTACCTAATATAATAATCGTATGGGATCCTAGTACGAGTAGATAGAGTAAATTTATGATGAATCCAATTTTCATATCAAAAATTCGTCGAAATATTTTCTTGTATAAATTGGGAAGGCAAGCAAGCTGACAACTAGCCTGATACAAAGTGATAACAGACTGGTATAAGAAGTATTATAAATATAATAAAGGATAACTATCTATAACATAGATGGCAGTTCTCGGAATGTGTTATAAAGCTACTGCTCCTGGGTCCTGACATTAAAAATTCGATAAAACAAAAAGCAAATTATAGATAAAACTTGAGGTAATCGTTGCTCCAATCTCTCTTGATACAATCTACGAATACCTAAAAAGAAAAATCGTAGCTTTGCTCGCACGAAACCCTTTTGTAGTTTGGAATTCCTTTCTTAATTAATACACATATAAGTCACACGACATCCTATTTCTACCAAAATATACGCCACAGGAGAAAAGGGTTTGTTAATAATGGGGTCTAACGGTCCCATAGGTATATTGTCAAGTCAATCTCCAGCGGTATCCGCTTGAAAACTATCCTGGTTAATTCAAAAAGCAATGAATCAAGTGACCTGCCTCCATCCTTATCTATTATTGTTATCCTTCAGGGTATACCAATAGCGCAAGCAGGGTTACCATTCCGTTTTAACGTATTAAAAAAAGTACATATCACAAAACAACCATGTGGTTTGAGACTTTTTATTTTGGTGGTCGGTTGTTGTGACAGCAGCATAAATGAATTTTAAGCACGTATCACATCTGTTGTGACACGTAGGAAATTTTGAATAAACTTCGCGCTAATACGTTATGAATATTTTTGCTGGCTACACGGTATAAAAAAAATTAATAATCTTACCTATTACATTTAGTATGTAGAAAGCGAAATCACCTAAATTTCCTTTAGTTTACAATATTACTGAGTATTTACAAGCTATATTTGACGAATTAATAGGTACATCGATAAAATATGACAGACGCAAACATCGTCGCTAAGTAAACAGCTGTTTTCTATAAATAGAGACATTGCTTGGCAACAAGCGAGGTCTATTGTCTTAGTTTAGACGAGTACAAATGTACTTATATAGCATATAACCGTATTATTGACTTATTTATATTTATCTGTGTTATTATATAAGGGAATCGCATGCGTAGACAGGTGCTATCCTTAATCTAAGATCGCATGCAATTATTTCATCAAAGTAAGATTTAAAATTAAAAAATATTTTTTTATAATAAGTAGGTAAGTTATAGTAAAATTGCCCGTGTAAATACTTTTATGTACATGAAAAATACTTCAGTTACATAAATAAAATTTGCATTCTTTAATTTTTACGTAAACAAAATAGGTTATAATAAAACTATTAAAATTATTACTAATTTTTAAAAATAATGGTATCATACAATTAATTTTACTGAGTAAATGTAATATAAACACCAAAACGAAATTATACCGTTTAATAGTCTGTGAAAAGTTAAAAACATTTAAACATGTTTTTGTAAATTGAAAAAGTTTACTGCATTTCACTAGATACCTAGTTTTCTTTGAAGTAAGATACACTTAAAACTTTAAAACGTAGGAATTGAGATTTTTTATATGAATTTAAAAGCATTCATCTATTTATGGTTTTTCTTTTATTTACATGTTAAGTACATATTTCAATCTTATGTCACATTACAATGTAAATAAGTGACAGACCATTCGGACAATGTTCGATTGCGGTCCGAAGATCCCAAGATCGATTCCCAGACTATAACTACAAGACTGTTACTATACTGCAAGAGAGAGGGCAACACTGTGCTCGAGTAAACATTAGCTCCGTTCTTTTTATCACATTAAATAAAATTAACGCGCTATTATTATAAGAATTGTACATAGTGTTCACGAAACTGAGAACTTACAGTGAAATCAAATATATGAATTACATATTCATTCGCATAAAAGTAAAAATAAACAATAAAACTCTTTCAATATTAGCAACATAATTTTACGTTACAATTGAAAACATTCAACTGAAAACCACAACTGTGTCAAGATTACACTAAGAAGAGAAACATATATCACAACTGCAGAACAAAGGTAGGAAAAAGAATAAAAATAAAGTTATAACCCATTAGTCATCTGCTTTTGTCATCAAAATTAACAGTTATTTTGATGACAAAAGCAAATGACTAACCAACTTCAAATCAATCAATTGAAATAGCACTAAGTTCATACTTGTCATAAAGGTTACGATCATTGCTTACTAGATGGCGTTATTATGCGTGGGGTGCCTTCGCAAAATACAAAGGAATATTTAAACTGTTATATATGTAACAATAACTATGATCTTAAATTCTTTAACGTATCAAGCCAGCGATTTTACAATACAATGAAAGCAGAATACAAAAAATCATGGTAATGTCAAGAATGCCGTTGTAAAAATTCCAACACACCACCAGTATGACAACGTGATAGAAAAGTAATACAATTGAAACCACTGAATCCTGAAAATAATAATGCATTAGATTATTAAAATTATTAGAAAAAAATCTGCGTCTACAACCAATACCTATACCAATACCGACTTCTGAGGGCCTGAATTTGTTGGGAGATACAATAAATCCTGAGAGTCCAGAACCTGATATGAGTGTTAGTTTGCCTACTGATTTGACCATACAGAATTTAAGTGAACTCATAATTCTACGACAAAAAAAATAATCTGTCAGTTATATCCCAGATACTGAATACTTTATCACAGGGAGACTTTGTACAAAAGTCGATTGCTTGGGTACCTCTGTCCCATTCGTGTTTCAACCGTAAAGCAGTTGTGTTTGCATGACTGTGTTTCAGTTTGAAGGGTGGGATATGGCGTGAATTTACTGGGTACGGAGGAATAACATCTGAGTCCTTAAGAATGGCAACGCATAGGGGGTATCATGGGCGAAACAGTATACTTTGTTATGTCCATGGTACTGCTCATGTCTATAGGCGACGGTTACCACTTTCCATCAGGTGGGCCGTCGGCTTATCTGCCATTCTGAGTTGTATAAAAAAAAAATACTATCTAAAACGAAAAAAAAAAGCTATCACTGAGTTAAGAATAGACATAGAAAAAGAAAATACTTATTAAAAGAAAAGGAGCAATGAAAATTAGAGATAGAACAAACGACCAACAAGATAAAAAAGACTGGAATTAGAGACAAACAATTTAAAGAAGGAAATCTTTAATCTATAAAGTAAATTATAAACATGCATAAATAATATATCTGAAAACAACAGTAAAAACATTGTTCTATATGGACTTGCCGAACACTATAAAGAGCAAGTACATGAGTTACACTGTAAGATAATAAAAATATTTCATGACTTTCTAATCGTCAACTTGATGAGTTACTTAGAAGACGCTTATAGAAACAGTAGTATCAGCTCAAAGACATGTATAAATTGTTCACTGGTAATCGCATTGATGGGTAAAAAAAATGACAAAATATTATCTAATAGAAAATAACAAATTTTTTCGAGGCTCAAATTTGTCAATATCAGAATTTCTAGATGGAAATGCACTGAAGGCAAAGAAATGTAATACGAGAAGAAATGTTTTCAGTACGAAAAAAAAAAGAATTATACGTAGTTATACGCAATAAAAAATATTATAAGAAGGAAAAGAATAGAAATCCATTTAAAAACATACAAAAACCAGCCTGCAAACTCTTCAATTGAGAAAACTGTGTAATTTGTCCTGTAAGAAGCAGAAGCAGAAGAATATAGATATTATATCAACAAAAATGTATCGGATTTAGATAGGGCTGAAAAAATTAAGAAAAATTTTTTTCGAAAATCTAGAGCAACACTATAATATACTGTTTAAAAATATGTTAAATCTTAACAAATAAAGAACATATACTGAAAGCATTTATTGAAGAAACTATAATATGTAACGCTATCTGCATTACTGAAAGACGATGCTCACAGGAAAAGCTGAACTTAATGCAATTTAAGAATTATAAAATTGCAGCATCTGTATTTTATTGCAAGACCAAATTGATTGTATAGAGAAAAAAATATAATAAAGATGTCTATAGAATATTTATTAGATGTTTATGCGACGGAGATACCAAAGGAAAATTTATTATTATAATAGGAATAGGAGAGAAGAAGACATATTTTATAGTAAATAGGGAAAAATTTTACATTACGTTCGAAGAGCGAGTCCTTACCGGACTTGCCCTAGGAGAGTAAGTCCGATAATCCACGTCCAAGGCCTTCGTGTAAAACGAAGGGAAGGAGGCCCTTTAACTCTTGACATCAGAAGGCGACACCTTCACACAAGTAGTAGTTAAGTTACTAGATTTAGAATATATTCTTCAAAAACAGCGTATTAAGGTTCCTTACATTTACCATCCGAAATGCTATATGTTTGTTTGCCACCATTGGTATACTACAAAATAATTATAATTTGCATTTAAAAAAAATCGACTGAATTCGTTGTTAGTACCAGTCTTTCTTTTTTATTTAAAAACAAAGCTACTGATCCGATTTTTATAAAAAATTTATGGGATCAATCTAAAAATATATTCTTTTTTATTTTCTTTTTTTTATTTATTAAAAGATTACAATCAATAATATTATAAACATTTATATAAAGATAATAGTTTGAACTAGATTGAGACCCAGACAGGTGTACACACAGCATGGTTAAAGCAGTTGGCAAACAATGTTAAATTATAAATTATATAAAGAAAACATATGAATGTGGTAAATAACAATGAAGCACATGCAAATAATAAAAATACATAAAAATATGGACATGTCAAAGATACTTTATGGCTGATTGTCAAATGTTTTTGAAGGTATTTAGACGTGAGTTGAAGATATCAATTTGAGGATATTTAGATGAAAATTCTTTAAAAGTACGACACTTACGGATGAGCGGGTTATAATACGTTGTATTGTTCTTATAAATGCAGAGTGCAAATGTTTTAGAACTCCGTGTTACAGTTTTTATGTTGAAGGTCAAAGCAGAGAGTAGAGAAGCCGAGTGAATGTGGTAATGAACTATTTTGTGTAAAATAAGTAAGTCGATCTGTTTTTGTCTGGTAGAGAAGAGAGTCACATTAAATTTTTCTAGTCTTTTTTCATAACCTGATAGAATACGCCCATAACCACGCCGATAACTTAGAATTTTTTAAGAATTCGCTGAACAGATTCAATTCTATCGGAATGACATTTATAGCAAGATGACCATATAACAGAACCGTATTCAAGAATACTTCGTACCAAAGCATTAACCAAAAGAATAAGACTATGAGGATTCTTAAAATTAACCGTGACCCTAGCATAAAACCAAGAAGTTTAGATGACTTCGCAATCAATGTACTATAATGCTCTTTAAACGATAACTTTTCATCAAATTCTATGCCAAGATCTCTTACCACCATCCTCCTAGTTATAAACTGACCGTCAAGGTCGATATAAGATATTCTTTCAGGTAAAAGAAAATTTGCCTAAAAGGTTTATAAATAACTCCGTAGTTATAAGATAACAAACATAAAAAATACAACGGAATTGAGAAACGCTTCCTTTTTTGAAGTCGATTGAAAAATAATTAAATAAGCCAGGGCGTGTAATTAAAAGGGCGTGTGGCCAAACAAGAGACTAGCGGTTCGCAGGTGAGAGAACCATAGATTGGGAATCGGTCCCGTCAGACGTTGATTAATGTGCACCGGCTGTGAACATCGATAGCCTTCGTCAAACTTCCGGCCAAGTTAACCCGTCTCGCCGTCAATTTACGAGTCCGTTTTTACTAAGCCTGTTACCTGAAATTCCCAGCTAATACCACCTGGATAAATAGCCCCCGAAACGTAAATAATATATAATTCAAAACAGATATTTTACGAGTATTTTAAGCAAATTGTTATTTTTGTGTTGTTCAAGTAGAGTCCAAAATAACCCTATTGTTGTGGCAACATTGTTTAACTATTAAACAAGAATTTTACTTTTAAATGAGACCAGCTTTTACTCACGACTTCGTCCGAGAGACCGGGATAAAAAGCCTAATCCATCCCACATAGTACGTATATACCAAATTTCATATTGATTGGTTAAGCCGCTATAAGATAACAAACAAATAACTCACTTTTACATTTATAATACTAATAAGGATTAAATTAAACTTTTATATATCATGTCATATAATAATTATTTTTTAAATATTTTATACTTGCGCAAACTTTGAATGTGATACGTAAACATATCGGTTATTTGATAATTCATCTTTGAACGTGTGAGTTTAACTTTTTATTTTGCACACTTGCCTACTTACAATGCCTGCACTTTTTTTAAGTTTAATTTAGTTAATATAGATACAAAATAGGTACACTATTAGTAAAAATATCGCATAATTTTCTAACCACTTTTTGAAAATATGATGATTTTCTTCAGATTTCTTTTTATGTATATGTTACACGGTTATATCGCCGATTCTGAATCTGTTTTACAATGATTTAAACTATCGATGAGGTTAAATTGATAGTTTTCACAGAAAAAGGAACAAAAAGAAACAAAATAAACAAAAATGTATCTATGTATGTTGCTATTTTTCTTTACAAGGCACGATTTATTTATAAATTCGCAAATTCACGTTCTAAATTCCCCTCGTTTATCAATGTGCGTATTCATAATTCAAGTCGCTTTTATTTCTACGCAATATGTATTTGTTTATTTTATAATGTACAAACATTCGCAGCCTTCAAAAAGACCTACCTACCTATCAACTAAGATTTCTCTAACATAAAACTCACTGGCTTAGGATGTTAAAATTTCACATAGTTTACAACCTGCAACATTTATAGATATAAGATTAAAATTACATACGAGTAGTTTGGGTCGCTGTCGGGAAAGGTTTTCAGATTATCGATCGATATTGAAGTAGCACGGATGCGGATAACAGAGAACTATTTGAATAGTTCAATCGGTTTTACAGGATCTTACATATCTAACAATGTTGTTTGACTTGGTTCCATAAAGGGAAACCTACTTCAATCGTGGCAAAGTTAATATTGGACTCGGAAGTAAACTCTATCAATCAAAATTCAGAATATATATACATATATGTCTATATATGTATGTCTATAACTTTTTAATTTCTCATTTATAGGCGCTTAAATATAGGTCTTATATTAACACAAAAACAATGTTATATCATTCAATATTTCTTGAATAATATTTATTATACGGTAAATAAATTTCAAAGACAAACAATTCTAATTTTTTATCTGAATCATAGTCAGATTTTTGCGTTGCTTGCTTACTACGAAACTGCATTTAATGAAATCACTTCGTACCTACAGGTTGAAAGTTGAACGAGGTCGTTGACTCGATTTATTGTACAGTAATTGTGTATCTTGCCAACTACCATCGTCGTGAATAGTGAGATGTCTGCCGTGATTGATTAGAACATTAAGTTAGTACAAAAATTATAGAGATGTATTGTTTACTTTGTTGAACTAAGTATTTAAATTTTCTCTTACATATTATTAAAAAAATTCTAAGAATTAAAATCCTAGATGGTAATTTCAAGTATTTTATAGATTGGTTTTGTTATACAATTGCGGGAGTGCAGGCTACAAGATAATGATTATATCCGTATAGTCCTACGATTTAGTTCTATCACATTACAGACAGTAAAATAAAAGGACTTTTTTGTCCATTTAGTTCTAATATTTAATAGAAATTATCTACGTATGGCAGCCATAAACTTTTCAAAATTTTGTAATCTGATTTTTGTGGCATTGTCATCGCTTGTTATGATTGATATCTACAGGTACATTATCACGAGAAAATGACTAATCTGATTTTAATGAAATCGTATAATAGACTTAATATATTTAATGTTACGAGATGTAAAATTATATTATATAAATCTAATTGCCGTGTGGTCCCAGCATAAAACGGGCCGCCTCTGCCTTGAACTGCGATTGTCAATCTGCCTGCCAAGTGTGGCAACTACTGGCAAAGCCCCACAATAAGGGAAGGCCTATGATCAGCAGTGGACAGTTAACGGCTGATATGATGATGATGAAATCTAAATATATATTATAAAATATTACAAAATTATAAATTAATATGTATAAAATTAGGACCATTAGGACTCGCCGTGTGGTCCCATTATATAATGGGACACCCCTTTCTTTCTCATGAGTGTCGTAAGAGACGACTAAGGGAATTTAATGGTCGAGGGATGGACAGCAGGCTTTGGTAATAGTTTAGGCGGGAGCTAAAATATTACCAAAGCCTAACTGTGGTTGCCAACCAGCCGGCCATTCGTGACAATTGTTGACAAAGCCCCCATAGGAGGAGGCCTATGTTCAGCAGTTAATGGCTGATATGATTATCAAATCGAGAATTTGTACAAAAGACTTACGTTCATCTGTGTTATAGTATACTATGAAGGAACGGTATTAGCATAATTGTGTATTCGTTTAAAGGTCAGTTGGTGATGCTTGAGTGGTATTATGAGCATGAAAGTCTATTGTGTAACATCCATGTTGCTGTTCATGCCTATAGACGACGGTTACCTACTACTTTCCATCACATCAGATGAACCGTCAGCTTGTTTACCATTCTAAAAGTAAAAGAAAAGAAATCCTTATATATAAATATTATGTATTTTCGTTTTTTTGTTTGTTTATGTATCCGTTGTTATTTGTATGCTGTACCTAATTTAAATAAATTATATATCTATCTATCTAATGAATGAAAATGGAATGATAACTCTGCCAGCGCTATCGATATACGCTGACGAAGCCTTAGTGAAAGGTGAATATAAAGGCAGGTCTGCTGGGGTTTTGCAGGGGGCTTGGGGCTTGTGGTTTCCAGGGGGAATCTCATGGAGGTTGATCTGATAGGGCATAATGCTAACATAAGGACTGTTGGGCCATGGGGTCTGTTAGTACTGGTACTGACAATCACTTTCCCGTCACAAAGCTGAGATTAGGTAGATATTCTTATGGTAACAGCAGATAACAGATTCGTGTTTTATTTATTCAGAATTCTATTCAATTGATTAAGTAAAAATATCCTAACAAAGCAGGATTATAGTACATTGGCTTTAATTTCTGAATATTGAGTTAATAATAAATAGAAAGCTGTAATAATAGGTTACATTACAAGAATTCCCTGAACAAATTTCCTTCCTAGCAACTAATCTATTTGTTACTTTATATTTCATTTCTATTCTTTCAGAACAATGAATGAGTGGAGCCAAAACTTACCGAAAATATGTAACTCCATGTCTAGATGTAATATTATATATTTGTTTCGGCGCGTTCGACAAAAAACGTCTGATTAGAAATTAGTGCGTTATTTTAGTTGAATACATTCTATTTTCAAAGCAACTTCTTTGTCTATAATTGTATGACTTAAATTTTTATTATATCAATATTTACTAGTTGTTATAATAGAATTATAATAACCGTAAAGTTATTTTGCCAATTATTATAAAAAAATATTTTTAAATTTGTCTGTTCAAGGAATTATTATGGCATATTTGCTGAAGACAATCTACAGAAGTTCTCGTGTAGGCACTCTATATTACTCAAGATATCGCAGCACCAACCCTCAACGTATTGTCTATTCAGAAGAAGTTTCTCAAGCGAAACTAGATGGAAAGCCTATAGTTGCACTGGAATCTACGATAATTACACATGGAATGCCTTATCCCAAGAATTTGCAGACTGCGCTACAAGTTGAACAAATTATTAGAGAAAAAGTATGTATCACAATATTTACTAGCTTTTACCAACGGATTCGTCCGTTTAAATGCAATAACTGGACTGAGCAGAATAAATAGTAGCTTATACTCTTCTTTATTCCAAATAGTACATATACTAGTACGTATATAATTCATTCTACATAATACTAGTACTAAATTTTATAATGCTTTTTATAATATTAATAAGGATTAGTTTACTTAATTCATATCACTTTAAGTTATAATGACACATTTCTATTACACTAAATAAAATATAAATTGTAAATATATTGACAGTCCTACTCACTATTAATATTATGACAGGAAAGCTTGTAAAGATGTTGGTATATCATTAGTTGTATAATAATACTAAAAGGATTTATAAAACTCGTAAACCTATACTAACGGCTACTTTTTAATATGTATCTTACACTTGGATCATAGCAAAGAATAAAACTAATACTTTAATATTTATTGGTATATAAATATATATATATTATTTAAAACGCTGATTATATTTCCTTCTTATCCATCAAGTTATAGCCTAAATCTTCAATTTTTTTTTATTAATTTTGTTTATTTCACAAAAAAGTTTCATGCTGCCACAAGATACAGTGGAAAAATTGCTGAAGTTGAAAATTAGAAATTTTGTGCATAGATTCCTTTTATTACGTAGGCATCTACTGCGAAATTATTTCCTCGAAGCTCTCAGAAAAATGAGAGATAACAGATTCACTTGGATGGAGCTGCCGTGCACGACTTGTCAAAGATACAAAAGTTTAAACTTGTATATATGTATGTATATATACGTCACACCATTTTGCAGACAGGCAGAAACAAACGTCAAATGTTCCAATTCTAACAAACTTCTTTTGCTTTCTTCACATTTATTAGTCCATTCGTACTAGCTGATCAGTTACCGTTACTAATACTGGTCGTAGTGGTCGACATACCCGACATACCCGATCTAACCGACAACCCCACTCAATCGTGTTCGATAAATCACTACCGTAATTCTTTTTTCATCCATCCTCCCTAAATGAATAAACCAACGCAACATGCTCTATTTAATTTTTGTTAATTAGCCATCTTTTATTCTACACTTCTCTTTAATTTTTTTATAATATCACAAAATGTCACATTAAATTGTCCGTACTAAGCTCCATTATAAATAGAACTTATTGATATTTGATTTTCCCATAAAACGGCTGTTCAAGAATATCTTTATATTTGCCCTTATACCGATCCCAGACGTATTGTGTCAAGGTCTTTGTAAGATGCGCAAAAACTATGTGTAGGAGGTCATTTGTAAATAATTGAAAGCACAGATATTTCATATTTTCTGTTACTATGTCACTTTTGTAACATGTATAGAACATGAGGCTGGCATGTGCGAGTAAATATATCTATATTATCTTCGTGCACATTTCTGGAACCAAAATAGTTTTATCGTGGTTTGACCCAAATTTCTTTGAATAAAAAATAAAAGTTTTTACTATTAAAACATTCCGTTGTAAGAATTTCCGTCTGTACATATATTTTAATAGTATAATAAGTATAGCGTCTGTGGCATTCTCTATCAACGAAATTTGTAATATTTATGTTCTTTAGTGACAAGATTACGTCGCCTAAGAACAGAAGTCACTAATCAGCACGGTACCCGCATGACTATAGTTTGTAAAGTAGATAATTAAGATAAGCACTCCTTTCATCTTATAAACAATATATATAAGAAAAAATAAAATAGGTAACAGTGTAGAGATTTATACAACTTAAGCGGTTAGATTTAAGTGACATTTTAGATATAATATTCTATTCTACGAATACAAACTATTAATTTTTATCCTGATTTTGAGCAAAATCGCAAAATAGAGTTAGCAATAATAAAATGTTAATAATTTTTTTTTATTCTCTTTTATTGCTATTTTGTCTTCTCGCATATGAGTGTATAGATAATTGACCATAATAAAAATCATCCTGAAAATTTTGTGAAAATTTATTTGAGCCATTTAAGTATCAATCCTAATACTATAAATGCGAAAGTGAGTTTGTTTGTTACGCTTTTACGCCTAAACCGCTGAATTGTATATGATGAATGAATACTTCGTATAGATTAATTTGTTAATTTTCTGCCAAATAATTAGTATTCAGTTCTATGTTAATAATAGTGTATTTGCATTGCATGTGTGTTTTTTTTTGGACTGTTTAAAGAACGTTATTTTACATCTTATTCTACTTTTTCACTTCCACTGTGCCAAACATTTTCGTTTTCCATTTTATACTTGGTGTAAATTGTTACCTGTGTTTAGTTCTATGTTATTAATATTTTTTTATAACTATTTTATCTCTAGCTATATCAAAAACCAGAATTGTTAAAGAAAATCAATATAAACGCAATTGAAGTCGCGGGTAAAGCTAGTTGATAATAAATAATAAACTCACTTCCACATTTATAAATACAATAGGAAGCAAGGATTAATATTTATCTGTTTATCTATAATAACTGTGCAATACAAAAAAAACTGCAATACCTTATTGTGTTTATTATAAGTACAAAGTATCGTTAATTATATTATATTGCTCAACTTGTACGCTTTCGTAGACCATTCGTAGCACCTGCGAGCCGACCGGGGAATATGATTGTTATGTAGATGCCTCGCGTAATATTACACGAGTCTCGCCAAATTAATTAATGATGCGTAAACCAGTTATGTATCCGTCAATAAATATGATTTTCATAAAGATATACCTACGTATATATTTTTTAATGAATGATAATGAAATGGTAACCCCGCCTGCGCTAATGGTATATGCTGGCGGGGCACCAGTGAGGAATTATAGATGAGAATTAAAAGGCAGATCAGTTAATCCATCGTGATGAATGCATCTGGAATGCAACACAATGGTTTTCAGGGAAGACCACGTGGAAGTCGACCTGATAAGGTATATTACTAGCAATGGGACTGGTAGTCCTCATGACTAACAATCCCTTCCCCCCACCTACGAATATTACCCACAATATTCTTAACTAAGTATTTTTTTAATAAGTTACTTATTTAATTCATTAATGATTTTATCTTCTGATATATCCTTAGGAAATAATATAAGGTTATACTTTTATTTTATGTTACAAATATTACATTATTTAATAACAAAGTAATCTCTACTAGATAGAGATATTTTGTATTTGTTACATATAATATAAACCCGACTTTAAAAAGAATTTTTACATTTACTGTATTTGTATGTTGCACGATATCTTCGCCAATTTGGAACCTATGTATTTTAATGATTCTTTCATTATTAGTCAAAAGTGTTATCTTCATGTTTCTTCCATACAATTTTTAAAACTTACACATAAAATTACTTTTAAAGTTGGTTTTTTTCTCAACAAATTATATGTTCCATAATTTTTATTTATATTATGCAGGTAACTATTTAAGTAGATTTTATTCTTTGTAAGATATTATTTTTAACAATAAATGTACAACATTGTAAATAATATATATTGTGTACAGGGTGCGACACCAGCGACTGTGGCTATCCTCAAAGGACAGTTAACAGTGGGCTTGACTAAGGAACAATTGGAGTACTTAGCACAGAGCAAGAATGCAGTGAAAGCATCACGCAGGGACCTGGCGCCGGTAGCGGCCGCTGGTCTGGACGGTGCCACCACTGTCGCTGGCACCATCATCGCCGCTGAGCTAGCTGATATACCGATTTTCGTGACGGGCGGCATAGGTGAGAGGCTTAGATTATATAGATAGAGTGTCTCCATACAAATGCTTCGAGAAAAGCGAGTCAACTTTTTCATACATATTTGCGTGATAAATAGTTATGAGTGATTCCTTTATAACTTCTATATTTATTTTGTTTTGTGTGTGTAAGTATATAGAACAGTGATAAAAAAAACAAGTCAGTTAATTTGACAATTAGCTGACAAAAAATTAGGTCATTTTTGAGACTCGAGGCTCTATCTATATAATCTAAGGGTTTTATTTATTATTATATTATTGAAGATTTATTATTTGATTCTTACAACAAATTCATTTTCCAAGACTTTGGCTTTGGGATTACACATCTTTTTATAATCATTGTCCAATAATATTATAGAAAAAAAAAATCTGTAAAAAATATTGCCCTTCATCTGTTACAAAGCTCTGAGATATTTATCATTCAAAAAAAAAAAACGGCCCAACTGATGGAATGTGATAACTGTCGCCTAGAGACATAAATAGCTAGCCTACTGTGATGTTTTTAGTATCTATCTTGCGTTGTCATTCCTAAAGACTATGATGTTATGCATTATTACCCCCATAGTTTTAATGCAATACTCCAATCAGAAACACAGCCATACAATTATAGCTCCTACAGAAACATGAGAAGGACGGATGCACGAATATATAAATGACAAATATATTTTTCAAAATGATAGTTGAATTGTCCTATAACATTAAAAAAAAAACATGTGTAATCTGTAAAAAAAGCTAGTATTACTAAAATTTACATTTAAATCTATTTATGAACAGTAGCGGTCTACGGCTTTATTGGTTTCATATTAATTTTATAACGATTGAAGGTACCGTTTTTCTTTACGGAACATTGCGTGTACAGTTGTTATTAGTTAAATATTGTGTAGGATAATTGTTATTTATTGTCCTGTGCTGTTATAATAAATGTGTCCTTCTTTATTATTAAATACCAATTTTCTCATCATTTACACAAACATTTATTGATAATGGTTGTCCTACAAAGTATCCAACTTTATATATTTGTATTCAATATCATTTTTCAAGTACGTACATTTATTTGTAAGTTATTATTTTATCTTCATCTTAAAAATCTGTTGATAATAAGTTACTAACAATGATTGCCAATCCGCTTGCCAAGCGTGGCATCTACTGGCAAAACTACCCTTATAGGGAAGACCTACATTCAGCAGTGGACGGTTAACGGCTGATACAATAACAATAAAGTTAGTAAGTATTAAAAGATACAATAGTAGTTAACAACAATTATGACTAACTACCGATATCTGAAATAAGAGGACATTAAGATGATTATGTTGTTTCAATTTCAAAATTCATATTTCTATTTATTTTCGAGTGGAAATAAAACATCAAAGCAATTAAAATAACGTCTATGATGCTACTTAGCATGGGAATAATTTTGAATTCAAATGCTTTGAAAATCTACATAATATTTCGTAAATACAATTATGTAAATTAAGCATACCTTTACAATTTGTATGTTTATTTCTTGTATCTTTATGAATAGAAGATGTAAAAATACTGTGAATGAATGGGATTTATAAACCTATTAACATTACACTGCTGGGCACACGTACGAGTATTTTTCTAAGCAAAAAAAGGATATTAGCCGCACTGGCCAGACGGTTTAGTATTGGGTTTTATTTTGCATTGTTATATTATGCTTTATTACTTAGTTATGGATAATTCTGTATAGGTATATGTACTTAGTCACCTCTTTCAATATTCTAGAGATGAAAAGAAGTTGTGAAGAATTTATATAATACACACATACACACTCACATAAAGCTTCTTAATAAATAAATAAATATTATAAGAGCGATAAAGATTACCTGTGGCTTATGAATCTAATAGTACCTACATACCCACGTAACGTAATAAGCAAAAAGCTTTCGGGAACGTATCCCTAATACATTTGAAGCTTGCACACATTATGCATAGAAACGTTATTACCTACTTGCGTCATACAGTGACGCAAATAGGTAATATGTTCATGATTGAGTAAACACGGCAATACATTTGCCATCTAATCAATTGCAATATAACTTGAAAACATTATTAACAAACAAGATGTAAATGAAACCCTAAAAGAGAATCTATCAATTGTATATAATTATGAAATATCATTATACTGTAGCACTGCATCGTACACCATGATTGCTTCATATAACGTTGCATCGCCATAATATAATAATAATATAATCGCCGTAATATTTTTTTGTTGTTCTTATCTGCGCTTAAATAATATCTGGTACATATACAGATATACTAATAGGTAACGCTATAGAGTATTATATCTTCAAAGTGTATTAATCCAAGAGACGATAGTAAACTCATCTCCTGCTGTGTTGTATTTTAATATTCTCGGAGAAATGTAGGCTCGTCGAGTTTTACATCCATCACAATGACAACAATTGACAAATACTTCTGACTACTCTATTATCCTTATTAATAATTTATTTATTTATTTCATTTCCTTGTTTACATAATATAAACATAAAAGTGAGTTTGTTTGTTTTTTACCTTATAGCGCCTTAACAGCTTAAGTAATCACTATGAAATTTGGTACTATATGGGGTGGAAAAATATGTAGGCTACTTTTTATCTCGGTCAGTAAACATATAACTGGTCATGCGGAAGTCGCAAATAAAAATTAATAGATTATAATCGTTTACATATATTTTTAGTTATTGTATCAACATTTATTTATTTATTATTACAGGAACCCTATTTCTAGGGTGTAGTAATTTTGGTAGATGAATTTTTCAGTTTCTTATATTTAGGAAGTAACTGATATTATACACAGTTGCACTTTATTCATAATTATATATCACTCATAAATTGATTAAGTAAAACAACAACCATGGGAGTTTAAATAAATGTTCCAAAAATAGTTTAGTTGTAAAAAAGCTAAAGTTTTAAGTAAATATTAAAATAAAATACGACAAATCAGGATGTGACAATGTAAGCATGAAAAGGTGAAACGTGGAGCACGAATTCACCGTTAACACTTCAATTTTCCACGTTTTAAGTTTAGACTTGAATTTCAATGAATTCCGACTGTGGCACCAAATTCATCGCATTCACAACGTTCAATTAGTACAGACAGTTGCCGGAGCGGCCTACGCCGAATGCTCGATGTAATTAACAAACGGTTCCGTGCTACGATCCGCGATCCGACGCCTACAGTTATATATTTTTGTATACAGGGTGAAACCGAAGTCAGTAGTCGTATTTAAAATTAAGACAAGATTCTACCCATAATATAAAATATATTAGAGCAGACATTTTGTAAATCAAAAATTCAAGAACAACAAAAATTGTGAGCCTCTTACATAAGTATTGTACTTGCGGTATTATGGAAGGCTTAAAATGTTTTGATCGTTTTTCGACCCATGTTCCTTTCATAATAATATTTAGTTTCACTAATAAAACACTCTTAAAATGATGCTAACGATTTCGATTTCAACCTGGATATAACTGTGAGAAAACGTTGTTAAATGCGAGGAATTAAATGTGTTTCATTTTTCTGAAGGAATAGATTCATTTTTAAATTCACGTTTTCTAGTTATATATAAATGCATTACGTTCAATCATTATGAGGTACTATCGATCTGACCCGGCTTTGCACAAGTAAAAAGAATTTTTTAAAAATAATATGTAACCTAATAATAATATAGGCTACATACTCTTTTATAATATTTATTTATTTATTAGTACATGTATGTGTACAAGACGGACTTAATGCTTGCTTATTAGTAAAAGAATTTACACAATTAGTTTAGTAGTTTTTTTCTTATCATGCCCATTGTAAACAAACAATCATATCTATCTCCTTTATAATATTTGTATAGACAAGCAATATCCAAATGTATACAAGCGCAGCACTTCAGAACCTCTGCATCTATTTGGCCAATTCTTGTTAATGTTTATAATTATCAAGGTTTACATGACAGAAAATGTTTGAAAAATCATACGGCAAAATGAAAAATTACACCAATGTGAAACTGAAGCCAGCCAGTATGTTATATAAATACCTTATATAAATATAATTAATTAACTGTCATTATGCACTTTTATCATTTACTGTTGTTGTGTTACTGCCCACTGCTGATCATAGCCTTCCTCATAAGAGGGGGTTTGCCAGTAGTTGCCACGCTTGGCAGGCGGGTTAGTAACCGCAGTTTGGCTTTTAATGATATTTTAAGCGGGACGCAGCTACCCATCCCTCCACCATAAGTTCCCGTAGTCGCGTCTTACGACATTCACGAGAAAGGAAGGGTCGGCCTATTCTATGCTGAGACCTATACGTCTACTTCATTTACTGTATACGACACGAACTCGTATAAATTTACCGTCCCAAAGAGCAAAACGTATACAGTTATATGGATTTTAATTTTCCCCAACGACATCGTAAACGTGCAGAGAAATTTTAAATTGTCTCCGGAAATTTCAATTATTATAGCGTGACTGTAAAATGATATCGTGCCGTGCTACAGTAACATATTAAAATACCCAATGCTGCATTCTAGTATGGAATTTAACGTTATAAGTATCACCTCTGTTTTCACCTTAAACATTGTATGTACTTCGATAGTCATTTAACATACAAAAGTAAATAATATATTCAGATGGTAACGCAACATCTGTGTCTCCTCGCTCCTAATATTTCATATTCATAGCCCCAAGCACACCGCAATCGTTTCAATGTAAATCTTATTCAAGTTGGTTTAAGGTATTAGAACTGCCATTCTGGTATTTTCAAAATAAATTTATATTTACAAGAGATATTGAAATAGAGACTCTATAATAACGTAATTTAAAATATTCTTCCAAAAACTATAAGTCATGACAAATTTAATCTAGAACTAATACGGAAATAAAAACCAATTGCAAAAAACAATAAAATTCGTTTAAAAAATAGCAAAGTTATCACGTGATATATACACAAATAATTGAAATTGTATTATTATTTCGTAATTGTATGAAAATTTTAATGAAAGAATTAAAACTTGTACACTTGTAATGAAGATATTTTAGGCATGATTAGTAATATATTAATACATATAATTATATTAAAGAAATGTTCAAGTCACAATTTGTTATGATCTCACCGTATCAAACCCCCTGAGATATATTTACGTATTCTGTTTCCCGATTTCTGCATTAACTTTTTCTCAGCGTTAATGTACCTGCATGAGGAAATATTTGATTTCGCACCGAACCTTGAAGCTTCAAAAAAGGACGATATATGAGTATTGAATGAAAGTACAATATGTCAATAAAATTTGTCGTTGATAAGTAAGTACTCATCATCTATTTACAAAATTATTTGTATTTTTTTTTGTATAATCTGAAAATTTGTCTAAATCAGTAAGAATAATAACAATGAAACATTAATTATACATTTATATTGTATATAAATATTAACAAACATGTACTTGATTATAATATATAACTAGATAATAGAAATTGAATTAACTTACTATGTATGTGTTTTCCGAAGATTAATTAGAAAACATTACATTTTTATTGTAATAAAATAATTTTGTTGCATACAGCTACGTTTGAAACACATTCTAAATAGAAATTAATATTTGATATTTATACTCTTCTATAATATCGTCATGTCTGCAATCAGGGTTATTTGGGTCATTGAGCTTTTGAAAATGTTATGGTTGAGCATGGTTGAACGCAATGATAGCTGTTCATCCGTCATACTCGTGATCATAAACGAGCACTATCTATAAGGGCTGGTCTGTTCAAGATTATTACGGTTGAATAGAGAATATTCTTTATTTTAACTTTCAATGAAATATACTTTTTAAATGTACTCTGTAATTTATGTTCATATATCATATGAGTATACTTGTAATCACTAGCAATAATATACACTATTACTAGCTATACTCTATGTACACAATAGTTTTGAACTCGTAAACAAAACTCCAAATATGTTGTACTTTTGAATCTACAACTATGTTGTTGTAACAAAATTAACTGATACTCAAATCTGACAGTTAAGTAGGTAGTAAACTTAAATTATAAAATTTCTGTAACTTTCCTTTGATAATTCTCCTGGAGAAAATTCTAAATTTATGCATCGTCATTGCTGTTACAATAAGAGGGCTCTTAACAAGAAACCTTTTATGTGCTGAGTCAGCTTAAATTTCCGCGAGTTTATCAGAAAAAAATACACTAGGAATCTTAACTTGACATTTAATATTTTTACTAAAACCTTATAGTTGTACACACAGTATGGAAATTCTACAATTTTCAGTCAAAAAAGGAATTAATAATTTTTTTATCTATTTATAGACAGTTGTTCTTCAATGCACTAATAAAAATATTTATTTATTTGGAGTTCAGTATTGTTTATATACTAGTGTAATATACTTGATTGATTGGCAAGCATTGATTATATTTATACTAGCGGTACGCCGCGACTTCACCCGCGTTAATCAGTATATAAAGTATCCTATTTGCTATGTTAGAATATATCTTACACCTGCAATGCCTTTGGTGTTGTGGGCGTGGGCATCATGAGCGGCGGTAGTCACTTACCATTAGGTGAACCGCCTACTCGTTTGCCCCTGTGTTGTAAAAAAAACATCCACTGCATTCACATGTAGGTTATAACTTACTTTTATATTATGTATTGCGTGAAAGTGTCACAAATATCGATTCTTCCATCCAACGTGACAAACTATCGTATTTCTAATTTTAATAGGGATGAACAAATTCATCATTTGATGTTCATTTCTAAAAACAGATGTGTTACATTTCCGTATTCATTTCAATTTAATTATTATATCTCACCTCTTATTATAAAAAAAAAAAACAGTATTATTTATATGGGAACTGTAATAACAGTTAATGTCTACTTACTTAGGTGGTGTTCACCGCGAAGGAGAAAAGACTCTAGATGTGTCAGCGGACCTGAACGAACTCGGTCGAAGCAAAACCCTTGTTGTGTGCAGCGGAGTAAAATCAATTCTAGACATTGGTAGAACACTGGAATATTTAGTAAGTACTCGTGTATAGTAATTCAGATTAGTGTTATAATAGCTCAAATTATTTGTATATACATTTCTGAAAGATAAGTTCTGATATTAATTGAATATAAGTATTTAAATATAATAATATAATATTTTAAACTACTCTACCTGCTGATGCCCTTTTCCACTTTATATTAGATTTGCTGGAAGAGAACTCACTCGAGAAATTAAAGCTCGTCTTTATATATTTACTTACCTCTGTCATATTTTTTATATATTATTAATGTGTACAATAAAATATAAATAAGTGCGACATAATCACACCAACACTCCTCAAGCTAGGATACCCTGTGTTATGAGGAACTAGGCAATAAACATTTAGGGGCATACCCAGAACATCAAGACCCTGATTTCGAATACTCCAATACATATCATAAAAATCGACATAATCCATGATTTATTATAAAAAAATTCATTCCTCAATTTTAACTTTCTGCTTTTATATAGGAAACTCAAGGTGTATGCGTATGTTCATACGGTGACTCTAACGATTTCCCTGCATTCTATACGCCGCGGTCTGGCTATCGTGCTCCAAACCGAGTAGCAGACGCAAGACAAGCCGCACAATTATTGTTTTCTGCACATACTTTGCAGTTACAATCCGGTATAGTTATTGCGGTGCCGGTTCCTAAAGAATACGCTATGGACGGTAATTTTAAATATTTACTTATAATTTATTATATAATACAAAATTTATTTATCTATTTTCACGCCAAGTCCCGCTATTGCTCATCCACTTTTATAACTTATCTAATACATGCTTCTTGATTTTAAAGACTCTTAATTTCTCCCTCACATCGAACATGATCTATCTAATTACTTTACGTTAGTTTAGATCTTTCGTGCTATTTGTAAAAACAAAATATTTTGTCATATATTTTTATATTTTGTCTTTAGAAAAAGTAATAGAAGAAGCAATACAACTTGCTCTAGAAGAAGCAAAAAAGAAGGGAATCCAAGGCAAGGAAATCACACCTTTCATTCTAGCGGCGGTAGCAAAAGCCACAGGGGGTTCTTCTCTTGAAGCCAGTATCCTTTTCATTTATTATTACGTGTATGTACAGGGTAAAAGAGACAAGTTGGCCAAAACGAAAACAGCTGATTCAGATAAATGGTCTAAATCAGATGGCATATTATTTCCTCATTGGAAATGCACCACAGCCATATAATTAATGATTTTTAGTTTTGACGCTGCGTAATTTATTTGAAATTTTACAACGATCCACTCGACGCGTAATCGTAGGTATAAATGGCCTGTAATGGCGCTTCTTCGTAAGTAGTTTCATACGCTAGGCGTTGACCTTATACAGCTGAGGGCCTACCATGAAATATTTTCCGAAATTTCGGAGCCAAACGAAACACAAATTTGATGTTAAAATTACATAATACATGCCGTTTGGAAATATTAAAATATTGTTTCTTTGGACTTTTATGATAGGATGTATGACGAACGAAATGTTAAACTCGATTTATTGATCCGATTTTGGTATAAACAAAAACACGAAATAGAGTCCGATGAGTCGGAATTTCATTTCATGGTAGACCCGCTGATTCTGCGCGTCGCGGTTGGATTTTAATACGTGTATTGCATTGCTGTTTTTTAATATTTCATAGTATTTCACTATAAAATATTATTATTTCTTTAGATTATGTCAATATCATAGCTTATATAATTTTAAATAAAAAAAGAAACGGGATAAAAATTTGAATATTTCCGGATAGAATTTCCACTGGTTTTCAGTTCAGAATAGTGGTCTGAATTCACTGTTTCAGTTTTTGCCAACCTTTCTCTTACACCCTGTATTTTATAGATATTTTGGAGAACTTTCAACCGTAAAAAATATAGGTACTACTAGATATGGCCAACAAGTAATTCCACCTGATGAAAATAGCAACCGGCGCCTATAGACGTGAATAGTACCATGGATATGCGAAAAACGTAAAATGCTGACTCTCTTGGTATCCCACAACCATTACTATTTATTAAATATTACTAAATTAAAATTATTTAAATATATATTAAATTTCATAGTAAAGGTAAAAATTAATATAGGTATAAATATTTATTCATATTTCACTATATTTATAAAAATATGATATTTTTGCTTTATCGGAATAAAGTAGTTAACATTATAAAACAACTTTCTGTGAACCGAATGAAATTTAATTTATACTCAGTATGTTTTTTATTTAATATTATTTATGTGAAAATAAAAATAAAACAATCTACGAGCATGTAATTCAAATACAATTGGAGTAAAAGATCCCTCGTATTTTCCTCCACCTAACACCTTAGAGTAATGGCGCCATTAAAAATGCTTAATTAGAATTCGGCCCGCTCGTAGCTGCGTAATTCAGTCGTAAATTAAACGTGTAGAAACTCTGACGATCTTAAAATGATAGTAGTGAAGCTAATTGCCTCAATTTCTTTCCTTAACGACTGCCAGACATGGCTCTCATAAAGAATAACGCCAAAGTAGGTGCTGAAATAGCAGTTGAATTCAAAAAACTCAACAATGTTAATAATCCGAATGTCAAATTCCTAAAGAATAAAAAGGATAAACTAAAATCTACGGCAGTTAAATCAGGCAACGATGTCCTGGTGATAGGCGGTGCTAACGTAGATCGAACCTACTCAGTGACTGAAGATCATGTAAAGGTAAGTACAACGAATTCTTAATTTTGAAGATTTTTTTAATTTTAAGACTTAATGTATACTTATATATTTTTTTATTTTATTTTCAGTTTGTTAAAAAATGAAACTAAAATATAATATTAGATATGAAATGATTTTGTTATAAAGACATTGTTTTTATTTTCGTAACAAAGTCGTAGCGATATATTGATAAAAAAAATACGCATTGATCTACAACGTTTTTATACCTGTTTATATTTAAATTACAAGTATTATATAAGATGAGATTGAAGTTAACAGGGGTATTTAAAGTTATACATGTATCTACGCGTTATCTTGACTAATATAATAATAATTTTGACAATGTACTCATTATTATACAGAATTGTTTCACGCTAGTACTGCTCATGTCTATAGGCGACGGTTACCATTTTCCATCGGGTGGGCCGTCAGCTTGTTGTGTTGTAAAAAAAAGAAGACTACAAAGCATTGTCTGTTAAGCAGTTATAATCCTCATGTATTTATAATACTAGGTCATTTTCAGTTTTAATGATTTATCAAACATTTAAATTGTTCTTTGGTGGCACTTTATTATATTTATTTTTAATCTTGAATAGATTAAAAATAAATATAATAAAGTGCCACCAGAGTTGACAGAGTTTGACTATTTTGTTGTTTAATAATCTTTGAATAAATAAAAGATGTAAAATTTTAACAAATTCTTTATTTAATGCATTTATTATGATAATATTAGCTCTCAGTCGCCTAGTGCGTACCTTCGGAAAGTTGTAACAACTCTATAAATACCTACAGTAACAAACATAAAATCAATAGATATAGATTAAAAAAAAAGGTAAAATAAATAAATATTGGTAGTATGATTTTTACCTATTGGATTCCAATTTATTCAGCCGCGAGAAACGCAATATCCAGTTGTCACTTATCGTATTATTGTTTATAACGTCATGTGAATTAATTACATGTCACTGTACAGAATTAATTATCTAATATGATCTACATCTGTTACAATTATTAATTAGGTGGCTAAGTAAATTGAAATCCAGTACACATACTTACATAATTAAAGATTAGTATTTCGAATAAACATAATCTGTGATGAATAAACTTCAAACCTTCATATTTTATAGCATGTTATATTTTGTACAATATTGAACAACGATTGGCATATTTTTATTGATTAGATATCTGTAGTCTGTTAACTGTTACTTAAAATAATAGGCACGTATATATGTAATAAATTATAAAGTATTTACTATACTTATAAAACTTCAACATGCTCAATAATTAGATATTCGCTCATTGCGTTGTATATATTCAATGAAATCCGATTGCCTGTACATGATATAAATACTTTTACCCGTGCATATACAAGTTTATTTAATTTAGTTAACAGACTGCACATATGTTTTAAAAGCATTATTCATCGCAAGATTAGTACATTTGATTGGAGAATACAGTCATAATATATAGAACTAATTAAAACAGAACGTAATAAAAACATTATAATAATTAAAAATATAGAAGTTATATGTTATAAATACGAAGAAATAGGTGACTTAGATCAGGTGTAGGCAGCACATCAGAGACGAGGGTCATATTCCATTTATTTCATATCGATTAGTTTAACACGAAACATAACGTCAGTAATACGATTTATAAGCCAAGGCACATGTTACTTTACCGATTTTTTGGAAGAAATGCGGGATTTAGATTGGATCCTAGCTACAAATTATTCAACTTTCCGAATATAGGTACAAATTTTAATAAGATTGGTACATTCATGTGACAACAATATTAAAAAACTATTTTTCTGCATAAATTCACAAAATATTATACCTACTCTAAGCGAACATAACTTCGTACTCATCATTACAATATATCTATAAAGTTAGATCGTAATAAGTACAAATATGTATGTTTAGGTATTGGGTCATTCGTACTGCATTGTATAGGTACGTGCGAGAACCGCTAGTACTTACTACTTAGTACTAATAACATACATTCGCGCGATACGCGCCTCTGTACTCGAACAAACTTGGAGCTCTGGTAGCGACTATTCCAAATCGTAACAACTCTACTCACGCATGAATTGGTTTATTTTTAATTTGACACAGCCATTAATATTTACTTACATTTTTTTCTCAATGCGTTTTTATGGCCATATTCTACAATCTTGGCGCAATCACTAAATTAGCGTTGAACTCGTCTCTTGTCTTTAGCTATCGAATGATAAAATCGTATGAAAATTTTATATTTTATCTGTGTGAAAAAAATTAATGTAGTTGTTCGTTTTATATTGTTAAGCATATAATTGTAGGCACTACGTCTTTTAAGCTCATATCAGTACTATTTCATCTGTCCATGCACAATTACTCGCTTATTACACATGTACAAATATTATTTACATTTTACCGACACCGTTGATTGGGGTAAAATTTACCGTGAGAATTAAACCGTTAACTAGTTGATATTAAAATTTAACATATAAATCGTTCTTGCATCTTGTTGCATGTAAATGTAAAGTAAGCTTGAATAACTATATTATTGGACTCCTGAAAGAATACCAAAACGGTTTTGTCGGCAGTATGTAATACAAATAGTTTTCGGAAACCTAATCTCATCATGAGTAGGTCCAGTCTGTGATGCTAATTGAAGCAATGGGGCATGAATTCTAATCTACGTCTATAAATACTGGTCGGGATATTTGGTGCATAACGTTAAAAGATAAATCTATATACTAAACTAATTTATCTAGAAATAAAAATTTTTTTCAGAGGTTCAAAGACCATCAATGAGCTAGAATTAAACACTGTGTTGGATTTAGTGTATCGTGATTATAATCTGCAGCGTGATAATGAAGTCGTTTAATACACATATATATTGTAGATTAGTACTTTCTATGTACTAATTATTAGAGATTTTAATAATAATTATCATATTCTATATTTCACTATAACGATAAAAACAATATCACTCAATACAATCTACAATAATCTGTAAATAGATATATTTTTATTTTCATAGTGAAATGGTGACTGAGCCCTCAAACGTACGTAAATAACATATGTAAATAGTGGCTGAAACATCAAACATTGTATAGCAATCATTATTAAGTTAAGCAAATACAATCACACATACGTGCTTAATTCAAGCTACTTGATAATATTTGAACCTCTTTAAAAATCATACATAGAAATAAGTAATATTTCGCATAAAATTAATTTTCTTCTAAATGTTACTCAATACAATCGCTATTGTAGCTGTAAATATTAACAGCAAATTAAAATATTTTAAACAAAACATACATTATATGGACCTTACGTATTAGGCTCATTAGTCTATTGGTATACAATAAAAAGCTTTTCAGACTTATGGCTAACCTGATATAGTCGTCGTTTCTATAAGTACCCACTTTCAATTAATTCCGTTTAGGTACTTAGTGAAACATTTATACAATCACATCGCGCTGATGCTCGATGTCGATGATTTCAATGATTGATCTTTTGTGCAACCATAACAATTATGATAAAGAGTTCACACTGTGATTTTTTTAAATGTTTCCATCTTTTCCCTGTATAGCGTAAAATAATATGTATAATTACATTTCTTCTATTTATTAACAAAATATTTAACTGCCAAGCGTAAGTAGGAACTAAACACAAGCTAGGCTCGTGAAAATCTCCTTGTCTAATTTCTGCATACTACACTTCTCGTCTATAACACGTTCATCACTCATAGTTTTGAATGTTCCTCGTTGACACACTAACACTGAATTTCATCATCGTAACTGTTTTCTCTACCACTATAAACATATTTATATTAAAGTCACACCTAAATGTTCCGGTAGATCGCAATTGACAGCGGCGATAAGAACTCGCGCCGCGATGAAAATGGCTGCAGCACGTGTTAAAGTCACAGTTGGCAGCTTACAGCTCAAATTCGGAGCGAGTGTGGCGACGATGATCAAGCCGAACGCGAGCGCCCGCACGACGCACGCACACGGGCGCAGTACGCATGGGCGGCAAGTCCATATCGCACCCGGCAGTCGGGAAAGACCGCCACCGACGCCCGAACAACCGCTCCAAGTAACATCTTAGTCAGATCCGAGTCGCTGCGCTATCTGCTGCTAGCGGCCGATATTCACCGCGAGCCAGCTCACGCATCTCACAGTTATTATTGCCGTTCACTGTTTTGGGACCGAGAGGTTCATCGTGTATACTTCGCCGTGGACACGGGTCCGATGATCGCCCTAATAAAGCTTCCCGTTCAGGGCTGCCACCGTGCGTTCGTACGCCGCCGTTCGCATTCACAGCATTTACTATTACTGTCTGAGATAGAGGTCCACCATGAATTGGACTACCATCCAGTAATTCGCCAGCCCCAAGTTCACTCCGTAATATTCTAATTTTTTGAATCATCTCCTTTATTTCGTATCGGAGAATCCCGAGGAAGCACAACTTTAAAAATGCTATAACGCAGTATCCTAATACGAATAACGCGTCAGCTGTTCTTCGTAACCACACAAGCAAACGTTCTGCACAAGCGGCTGTATGTGGCGCACAATGAATTGGAGTAAACGGTACAGGTGATGATGCAGAAGTCGTAGCGAGCAATGTCGGTGTGACGGCAGGGGTGTGTGCAGGGATACGGCAACAGCTTGGTGGTAATGTAGTACGGTTGAAAGCTGCAAAGTCAGCTGGACCAGTGACGCCACAACAACGCTGTTCACTTTGAAGGCGATCCCATGCTTCAGAAAAGTCTAGATCCGAGTCGTATTCTTTTGCAAGGCGAATTCTTAACTGCGGACGTAATTCTCGACAAACTCTTTCGAAACGGAATGCCCAATATACTCCTATAGCAGCATCTCCTACGAGCAATGCCAATAAAGCAAGCCAGTAGGCGTTCAACATGCGTTCTGAGAGACGTAATGCAGCAAGGCAACCGAGTAGCTGTAACAGGCCTGCTTGAGCAGGTAACGCAGCGTATCCGTAAAGAAAGCCAGGTTGCGCAGCCCCAAGTCCCGGCACCAAAGCCCGTCGGTAATCAGAGAGCGCGCGGCCCGCCGCCGCGCAGAACGCCAACGCTCCTAGCAGCAGCGCGCCGTTGCACGCGTAGATCCAGATGCGGTAATAGCGCATTGCGCGATGCGCGGCGGGATGCGCGGGGCGCGCGGGCGGCGGCAGCGTCATGGTGGCGGGCGTCGCGTCATGACGCCGCCCGCGCCCGCGCCGCCGCCACGCGCCGCGCCCCACGCCTCTGAAAAACCATAAACGAATAATTTTACAAAATTGACAAACATTATTTTCTTTATTTACTTATTTCTTATTTCGAAATATTAATAATATGTTCCCCCGTAGATATAAGTCTTTTTATCTTAATACCTATTTGTAAGAGAAAGTATTCTAAACTGTAAGTTCAACATCGACTAGTAATTATGAAAAAAAAAGTACCTATATCGTTTCACAGTTCAACACTATAACTGTCCCTTACATTACCTACTTCATAAATGCAATACATTTTATTATTAATTTACTTTTAAGTCAGTGAAACGGATGTTCGATATATGTAATTGAATTTATGTAAGCTTTAAATCACGACTATTTAAAAGAGTCTACAATTGATAGAATTTAAAACGTTTCGTGTAGCATTTAGCTCACGGTCATTTCGCAGTGGAAAAGGTTATTTCATTCCATCAAGATACCCTATCAAGTGTCAAGTGGTGTCAAGATGTCCTATCTTGACACCAAATACAGTGACCAATTAATCAACAATTTAACCACCAAATTAGCAACAAAGAATTTAACGTATTTATGTTGAATTCTTAATTATTTAATCATTAAACAGATATAGCCATGAGCTGATCACTATAAATAAAACCGTACAGCAAAGTAATACTTTCTTGACAAGGAAAGAATTTTTTTTTTTAAGATGCTTCAGGCACAGATAATATAATACTATACAGGTAAAACACCAAAAGTTTCATAACATCAAAGAAGATATGTAGAAACAAGGAAATAAAATAAATCCAGGTACGAAAAATAAACACAAAATACATTTATAGAGAATCATCAAAAACTTGATATCCCTCATATCAAAATTCTATTTAAAATAAATAGTAGAAAGCATTTCTGATGGTTCTATTGAATTGATATAGGTATGTATATACATATTTACATACAGTTTTATAGATCTTATTAGTATATACTAATAAGACCTATAAAACTACCTCTATCTTATCAGACTTACACATTAATATTTATAACATTTATTATATTAATATTTACAATATAGTGACGTAAATATTATGTGAAATTTTATTCCAAAAGATGCAAACAACTTTTAAGCAAACAGTATTTTGACTAAAATATAATAATGTATTCATTGAGCTGAATACTTTGCAAAGCTTTCAACGTATTCTCAACAATACATTTCCCAGTTTGAACATATAACTGTATACGAGAATACGTCGGTGAGAGCTCTCTCTAATAAATAATATCTTTGGTGCGCCTCTGATACACCACCTCGTCATCATTTGATAAATATTTGATGGAATTTTACTGCAGTATGACCAAAATAGGGCGGTTACAGTAAGTAACGAGCAGAAAGAAAGTGACTTATATTTTTAATTTTACAAATGAAATTGGATTTTACATCATGCTGTGAACAGCTAGATTATATTCTGAAACGATTCCGGAGAATCTTGGTTTCATGAAACAAATTATGAATATGCATAATGTAAGAACAAGATTACTTATCTATTTATGCCTGTAATATACATGGCCGTTGGCAGTGATGTGTCTTTTTTTATGCAACTTAGAATGGCAAACAAGCTGACGGTCCACCTGATGTAAAGTGGTAACCGTCGCCTATAGACATGAGCAGTACCATGGACACAACAGAGTACACCGCCTCGCTCATGATACCCCCCATGCGTTGCCATTCTTGAGGACTCGGGTGTTATTCCTCTGTACCCTGTAAATTCACTCCTATATCCCTACATATATAACGTAAGTTAAATAGATTAATTATAATTATTATTAATTATAATTATTATTAATTATAATTAATAAAACATTAGTTTTCATAAATAATTTCCATAAAAATAAAAATCTACAAATCTACATTAACTATTACACTATAACTTTGTAACTTTCTTTCAAATTGAGAATTTAACGCAAAAGAAAGAGACAAACTAATTCGATAGCTAAAATAGATTTTGAGAGATTTGACGTCTTTATGGGTGAGTCAATAAGATTTTTTACACCAATAAATTTTTGTAATTGTATTTATCATCTATAAATATGAATAAATTTTTTTCGTTACAGAAAAAAATAATTGGAAAATATTGCCAAATTTAAGCCAATTTGGCAAAAATATATTAAGCTAGACGTTTAGTTACAATTTGTAAGGTCCATTTAGCGGGTTCATTGGGCGGTCCATTGTACCCAACTACCCAACATTAGGATATGTGGTTCACGAAATGTGCTGTGTTAGCTGTTACAGAGATATATGAACTGCTTTACTACCATACCTATATGTAATTTATTTATTATTATTATTTGTATTATTTTATTATTGTATTTATATGTAATACTAGTATTAAATATATAATAAATAAAAGTATAGCACTCATTCTTTCAAATACTAATACGATTAAATTGACAATCACCTTCCATTTTATTAAATTATTCCTTTCCTTACCAAAAAAAAATCCTATTGATATTAAAACTGAACATGTCGAAACTAAAATATTCCTTAAAACTATTTATATACGTATTGTACGGGAATAAAACCCATAACCAAAGGAAATGTAAACCGCTACGCTGTCAAGGTTTGAGATCGTCAAGAGCCCATTATGTAAATCCGGCGATAATCGGGCTAGATGGAACTCATAAAGTGCTTATACATAATCTGTAGCTCATTAGTGAGTATGCAAATGAGTCATCTGAGATCTGATTATGTGAAGCCAGCAAATTATGAAATTATGGATATGGGCCGAGAAATTATATTACAATGGGTGAAAACTTATGGCGAAACCAATTTTTAGTTTCATTCTATTAGAAGCAATACAATTAAAACATCCTTAAAATAAATAGAAAAATTGACTTTAATTTAAGTTCTTTACATATGAGATAAAATGATCTTATATAGAAATGTATTTATTGTGTTTCTTATACAAAATAGATATATTCGGAATTTCTTATTTTGTTATTATGATGCGATGGACAAATTCACACTATAAGATGTTACCAGAGGGAGACTTTGTACAAAAGTCGATTGCTTGGGTACCTCTGTCCCATTCGTGTTTCAACCGTGAAGCAGTTGTGTTTGCATGGCTGTGTTTCGGTTTGAAAGGTGGGATATGGCGTGAATTTACAGGGTACAAAGGAATAACACCTGAGTCCTCAGGAATGGCAACGCATGGGGGGTATCATGGGCGAAACAGTATACTCTATTATTTCCATGGAACTTCTCATGTCTATAGGCGATGGTTACCACTTTTCATCAGGTGGGCCGTCAGCTTGTTTGCCATTCTAAGTTGTATAAAAAAAATAAGACTTACTTTATACTTTTTTAACACAGAACCCTAAAAAGATCTAATGTTATATGTCTTATATGTAACATTCCTCTTTTTCTTGTGGTGTTTATGAAACAAGATAGGAATGATTCAACTTACAATCCGCCGCCCGTTCCGTGCGCTAGAGCCCTGGCTAGTCACAGGAGGGGGCGGGCTATCCTGAGCAGTGCGCCTACCACGCCGGTGCGAGCTCTGTAACAATACAGTAATTTAAATTAATATATAATGCATACAGATATGCTTTAAATGCAATACTAGATATTACCCACTATATAATTCACACGATTTAATTATTTACATTTATTTACAATTTCATAATACAGAAAGTATATTTCTGTGAGAAAAATTTGTGATATAATTATGATATATATAGTGACGAAATTAAAAATAAAATTTAAAATATAATCATCATAGTATATGCATTTTTTTTTTACTTAAAAATAAACGTAAAACCAGAATTTATACGAGTATCTATACTATACTATAAATACTACAGTGTAAAGTGTAAAGAGTAAAGATTTTATTGTTTGTTTGTAATGGATAAACTCAATACTTCACTAACGATTTTAAAAATTGTTTCACTTGTAAAAATTACATTATTAGCAAGTAACAACTTTATTAATATTATAAATGTGGAAGTGAATTCGTTTATTCGTTGCCTTATAACACCTTAACAGCTAAACCAATCACTATGAAACTTGGTATACATGTATTATATAGAATGGAGAAAGATACGGGCTACTTTTTATCCCGGTCAGTAAACATATCCTAGTCACGTAGGCGAAGTCACGAGTGAATATTATTTTCGAAAATTCTATCTACCCATGCGAATACAAACCGGATCACTTGTTTAAAATATAAAAAAAAAGTTTTGTACAAGTTTTGACAAAATGTAAATGATTTGAGAAACTAATAATGATCAAGTACCAGTACTTTAGACAATTTGTCCCCGAAGTTCAGAACCCCATGAAATATAAATAAAAAAGCTTACTAAATAAATGATAAAACCGAGTGGAGCCAACTTTATCTATTCCTGAAAACTTGAATAGCTGATGAAAAAATTGCCTTTACGTCAATCCAATAGAGTGGGTGTATTTGTTATTTTCCTTTTATATTAAGGAAAATTTGATAGAATTGTATAGTTACAAAAATGAACACAAAAGTAGATTTAGTTATCATATTATATCTTTCAAAATTGTTATTAATATCTTACAAATATATATATTTGTAAGATACGCGTAAGTGTAAGATATTAGTAAGCGGAAAAGTTTGTTTGATTGTTCGTTTGAACATGTTTATCTCTGAAACTATCAGTAAGATTAGAAAATTGCTTTTCCCATTTGATTTCTCATTTCTTGAAGAAGGTAATAGGCTACTCAACACAACAACACAATTGCCGACGCCACAAGATGCAATTTTTAATATTATTAATGTAAAAGTTTGTTTTCTTGTTAGGTCTTAACAGCTTATGGACTTATTTCTTCATTCGTCATGAAATTTGGTATACTCGTAGTTTGAGATGGAGAAAGATATAGGCAAATTTTTTATCCCGATCAATCAATATATTATGATTACACAGATGAAGTCACGGGGAAAAGCTAGTACTACAATTAAAGTTATAGACTTTCTAGGGATTAAAGAGACTGTATATTACGTTTCTTTTGGCAAAAATTAGCTAGTGAGTCCCTAATAATAAAAATAAGGGAACAGATCCCAAATGAGTAATGTTCTTCGTGACTAGACAATTGCTATACAGTTTAAAAGAAATTTTATAATAAATTAACCATAATAATTCCATTAAAATATACAACATTTTAACAGAATCAGTTTAACAAATAATATTGTGATACAGCTTAATTCTTTATTTAGTTTATGTTAATGTGATATTCGACATTCATCATCATCATCATCATCAGTTTTGGCGTGAATTTACTGGGTACAGAGGAATAACACCTGAGTCCTCAGGAATGGCAACGCATAGGGGGTATCATGGGCGAAACAGTATACTCTGTTATGTCCATGGTACTGCTCATGTCTATAGGCGACGGTTACCACTTTCCATCAGGTGGGCCGTCAGCTTGTTTGCCATTCTAAGTTGTATAAAAAAAAAAGTCATATCAGCCTTTAACTGTCCATTGCTGAACATAAGCCTCCCCCTTGGAGGATTTTGCCAGATTTTTCTTAATAGGCGTATTGACAACCGCAATTAGCTTTGGAGATGTTTTAAGAGGGACGCTGCTACTTATCCCTCGCTCGTCTTAGTCGCCCCTTACATCACCCACGGTAAAGGAAGGAGTGGCCTATTCTATGCCGGGACCACACGGACTTTATGTTTACATTACGTTTTTATAAATAAAGCTAATACACTCATACACAATATTATTATTTAATATTGACTACCACACAGATAAATACGAAAATCTACTAGATTGTTTTTATGCAACTTGAAATAACAAACCAACTGACAGCCTATCTGGTGAAAAGTAATTATCGGCTGTAGACATAAAAAGTACCATAGTACAGTTTCTAAATTTAACAGGATCTTGTTTGCCATTTTGAATTGTATAAAAAATGGAAAAATAATACAAAATGTTAAAGTATATCTCTATTAGTTTTGTTTTTGTTTATACTGTTTGCAAGTACAAGTAAAATAGGAAATGATAAAATAAATCAGTCACGAGTCACATTAATGACTAATGTTTTAAAAGCTTTCTATCTATAGAATCAATACAAAGGTTTACAACAGCAATAAAAGTGCACAAACCCGCTATTAAATTCTCACGTCACGAGCCTCGTATTAAATTGTCATAAAGCTGTTGACACCCGATCTATTCAAAGCGGTTAAAGCCTTTGTTTGGAGCTATTAAACGTGGATCAAGTACAAACTATCAAGTGAATGGATTGATTTTCTCATTTTCTTTTTAAAATAGAACAGTATTTTTACATCAATGTTACTTTTATTATTTATCGTAGCACGGTACGGTACCATTTTGTCGCCGCGATATCATAAAAGAGCAAAAATATTATACGTTTTTAATTTTGCGTACATATTCACGATACGTGACATACCATTATAAATTTATTTTTTAAGAATTTCATTAAAATAAATGTTAATAATAAAAATGTCTAACGATCATTTCAGTTTTTTTGTTGTATCAAGAATTTTACCGTTTGCTAACTGTAATATGTTACCACCATTCCTTGTATTCCCATTGTAATTACAAAAACCAAAATGCACTAGTAAAGCATGAAAAACAAATATCAAAATAATAGTTATACCAATCCACTTGGTCAGCGTAGTAATATCGTCCTCTAATGGGAAGAGAACTCTATCGACGAGAACTCGGAACTTAATTAATGAATGAATGAGGAAAAACGTTTCCCTGCACCTAATTATCATCTGCAGTAATTTCTTATAGTATCCTGTATGTATGTATGTTGTCAACCATTAACTGTCCTCAACTTATAAAGGGGGGTTTTATCAGTAGTTGCCACGCTTGACAGGCAGGTTGGCAGCTATATGTATGTAATTTTAGACAATTATAATTAGTAGATTTGAAGGTTATATTACTTGCATATGATTAACTTTTTATAGGTACAATATATTTATCCTTATTTAATTTTCATGAGCACTAATCTTATATACTAATATAACTGAAACAATTTCTTCTTAACTTCTCTGTTACTACCGTTATTTTCAAACTTCCAACAACTAGTATCGCTGGCGTCCATAGGCTACCGTGACTATTTACCATCTGACGGACTGTATGCTTGTTTGGCACCTCTGTGGTATAAAAAAATTCATTCTCAATCTTGTTCATTTTTATCACTCCACACATCCATCTCAACATTCGCTTTTCAAATAAATGTATTTAGTAATTTTTCCTCCGACGCCTTTTCTCAATAATTCTGAAATAAAAAAAAAGAATGCTCCCCTTGCATCTAAATTCACATCCCATTTCTTGAAATAATAGGAAGTGAAATACGTATTCGATTTATTAGCTTCGTGTATAGTAAGCATATCTACTTTAGATTTGTTTACCTTAAAATTTGACAACCTTTTCTCACAATTTTAAATTGTAAGTTATAAGATACTAAATTACTGAAATGTTTCACTATCTTTGTGCACAAGATGTGTCATTAACCGAGAGTCGCGTAAAAGTAAACGTGTGTAGCTGCTCGCTACATCAAATCTCTTGAGCTTAAAATATAGTCGCTATTCTGCACTACTTGATTCTCGACCTTATGCTCCAACTATGTACACTTAGCTGCATGCTCACTGCATCTTACTGTTTGTAAGAAAATTATTATAAGTACTTCAGCACTCGAGAATTTATGTGGCTTATATATCTGTGCATTTTTTAAATTCTAAATATTTGTACAGTATTCTTACAAAATATCAACTTTAAACTAATATACAAACTCATTTTCACATTTATAAGTATTGATTATATTAGTAAAGATGTAATGTTGCAATAATGCAGACAAAACTACTGTACTTATATAGATTTAATCTTCTAGACTATGTTTTATATAATACAAATGCCATAAATACTACAATTGCCTCTGACTACCTTAATAGGAAATTATAGTACTGAATATATTTTACGTAAATCTAAATCCTTTCTCTAAAATGTTATATTGCTGTCCAGTGGCACAGCTAACCTGCAGTATGTATAGATTATTCCTGTATGGACGACCCTATTATAATATAAAGGGTGTGTGTGTAAATGTCAAGTCGTCTTGCCATTCAGCTCCACTGGTCCTATAATGTCGAGTTTCAAGTTATTTTTGGTGTAGCATCTATCCAGTCCCTTGAGGCAGCGATGCGAGGTTGTTATGTGGCGGTCACAGAGGTCACTCATTCCTATAATATTCCTACTGGGAGACGCCATGATGAGCGAGAAATAGCTTCAATTAGATTAGCGTCTGAATAGGGTGAAATCTATGTTATTAACATTCTTTTTTTCCAAAGAAATTACAGATCAAACAATGACAAAAAAAAATCTAATATCCCGTACTAACTTGATAGCTTGAAGTACTGTATTAACACAGTAGGACCAGTTTTATGTCGTATTTCTACACATGGGTTGGAATACCATATCATAGTATCATTGGCTTATTTAAGATTATTTTTCAGAAGGGGCCTGGCCCCTTAAAAAAGACAGATATAATAATCTCTCAGACCTGTC